ATTAGTGTAAGGGGTAAGAGGGAAGAGACAGAGTAGGGTGACAGAGTGAGAGGGGGTGACAGAGTAAGAGAGGGGTGACAGAGTGAGAGGGTTACATTAGTGTAAGGGGTGTGACAGAGTAAGAGGGAAGAGACAGAGTGGAGTGACAGAGTGAGAGGGGGGTGACAGAGTGAGAGGGAGGGTGACAGAGTGAGAGGGGGCAACAGAGTGAGAGGGGGTGACAGAGTGAGAGGGGGCAACAGGGTGAGAGGGGGCAACAGAGTAAGATGGGGGAGACCTAATGTGAGAGGGAGGGTGACATAGTGTAGAGAGGGTGACATAGGGTAGGGAGGGTGACAGAGTGAGAGTGGGTGACAGAGTAGAGGTGGGGTGACAGGTGAGGGGGTGACAGGGTGAGAGGTGAGGGGGGTGACAGGTGGGTGGCAGGTGAGGTGGGGTGAGGGTGGTGACTGGGTGAGAAGGCAGGGTGAGGGGGTGACAGGTGGGGTGTGACAGGGTGAGGGGGTGGCAGAGTGAGAGGGAGTGAGGGATGACAGGTGGGGTGGAAGGGGGATGACAGAATGAGAGGGGTGGGGTGACAGGTGGGGTGGCAGGGTGAGAGGGGGTGACGTGACAGAGTGAGAGGGGGGTGATAGGGTGAGGTGGCAGGGTGAGATGACAGGGTGAAGTTGCAGGGTGAGGGGGTGACTGGGTGAGAGGGTGGTGACAGGTGGGGTGGCAGGGTGAGAGGTGGGGTGGCGGGGTGAGAGGGGGTGACAGGTGGGGTGGCAAGGTGAGAGGGGGGGTAACAGGTGGGGTGGCAAGGTGAGAGGGGGGTGGCTCCCTGGTGGTCCGGTGGGCTTTCCGGTCTGCAGCTCCGCTGGGTGTGAGCTGCAGACCACATGGTGAATGTCTCGCTATCTCCAGTCAGAGCGTTGCCATGGCAACGCTCTGATTGGCTGGAGATCGCGAGGCATCAGTCTGCAGCTCACACCCGGCGGAGCTGCAGACCGGAAAGCCCACCGGACCACCAGGGAGCCATCCAGGACACTGGACCACCAGGCGATTTGGGATATTATCCTCCGTGGAAATCACATCAGGACAAAGGACACTTGCTGACAGCCCTGAGGGACAAAACCCCATATACATTTGAAGGCTCCCAGCTCACGGTCTACCAGGACCTCACAAGGGCCACCCTACAATGGCGCAGATCTCCTATCACAACCTATAAGAGCCTATACAACCTATCACATCTCAACTACGCAGGCACACTATGGGTAACAGCCTTAGTGCGATTTTCTGTAGCATGTTATATAGTCAGGTTGGTGGGGGTGCGGCTGCACCAGTTCTTGGTTACATAAATAATTTCCATGATGATTTAAAAATTTTTTTTTTTTTTTTTTAAATAGCATAGAACATAGGAGAGAGATAGTAACACAGTTGCAAACCAACCAGGATTAGGATACTAGGCACCAGGACAACATTAAAATAGCCAAGTCAATATTTGTAATGTCCACCAACATCCTCCACAATGGCAGCCAAAACGACAATATTCAGTCTTGGTCTCTATTACTCAGGCTTTTTAGGGGGTTTATTGTGACAACCTTGTGACTCCAAAAGATGCAATTGAGTATATGTGGAAGGGATTCTGCAGTGTGTGTGTGATGTTTGCTAGAGGTGACATGAATCGTTTCCATGATCTCTCCTTTGGTTTCTCTTTTTTGTTATCCCTTGAGTACTCCCTGTTTCTTGCATTTCTAAGTCAGTCTCTCCCTGTTCTCATCGCTTTTTCCAATTTAGCATTTTGACATTGATAGTGAGGTTCCACTTTTTAGAACATTTTTTTTTTATATGTGTTAGGAGTCTCGAGTGCAATAGAATCTTTTGTTTCAATTTGTTACAATCTGGACTTCGCCATCAATTTCAGTGGGTGCTATTGCTACTGTTGGATATTTTTAACAAATGATAAAGTGATTTGTGGATAACACAGGATTGCTCAACTCCCAGTTGCCTAGCAGTACTTTTTCCCTAGATAACTAATTAAAGGGACACTACAGGCTGGAAGTTATCTTAAATTTTTTAACACAATAAAGAAAATGATAGCTTAAAGGACCACTATAGTGTCAGGAAAACAAACTCGTTTTCCTGGCTCTATAGGTTTTTGGGTCCCCCTCCCGCCGGGCTGAAGTGGGAGGAAGTGGTTAAACGCTTACCTTTCTCCAGCGCCGGGCTCCCTTGGCGCTGGGGACTCTCCTCCCTCTTCTGACGTCACTAGCTGAATGCTCATGCGCGGCAAGAGTCGCGCGCGCAGTCAGTCAGTCCATAGGAAAGCATTCTCAATGCTATCCTATGGACGCTGGCGTCTTCTCACTGTGAAAATCACAGTGAGAAGCGCAGAAGCAGAAGCGCCTCTAGCGGCTGTCAATGAGACAGCCACTAGAGGCTGGATTAACCCATATGTTCTCTGAAACTGCTATGTTTACAGCAGGCAGGGTTAACCCTAGATGGACCTGGCACCCAGACCACTTCATTGAGCTGAAGTGGTCTGGGTGCCTATAGTGGTCCTTTTGTTAATCAAAAAGTGAATTAAATCAGAATTGTTGAAGATGTTTAACCCAGCACTGTGAATATTAAGATGTTGATCAGGCACTAGCATTTGGAGCTGAGCAAAATTTCTGGTCGCTGTTGCCCTGCCCGGTGATACTTGCGTTGTGTCCAGGAGGTAGGGCCCGAGCCGAACCTGGGGGAGTGCGGGCCGCCCAGTTGCTCTATATAGGCAGGGTATGCAGAGTAATTAGATCCTATGCCCACTCCTTAGGCCCTGCCCCCTCTGCCACCCGGTGCTGTTTGTGTGAGTTCAGGGTCTAATGAGAGGGGGTGGGATTTAACAGAGGGGGTGGAGCCTCACACTGCACACCCTGCCTATCTATAGAGCACCTGGCTGGTCTGCACCTCCCCAAGATTGGCTCTGGCCCTAACTCTTGGACACAACAGGTGCAGACAAGTAAAGCTGGGCAGTACAACAGTGTCAAGAAAGTTCAGCTAAGCTGAAACAATTTTTCCACAAATACAAATATTTTCAAGTCCCCAGACTTTCTATCAGTTGGCAGAAGTACCAAATCATTGATTCAAGAAATGAATCAGATGAACTAAAAGGGGAGAGAAAACGGGTTGGTGTACTGCAAAATATACCAATAGAGAGAATAATTCCCTTTATTGCTCACTTGATCTGTGAATAAAATCATCTTTTTTTTCTCATCAATCATCGCTTTTTCTGACAGGAAACCAGAATCACAAATAAAAATCAACATGCTTGTCCATTGCGCATTTTGTCTGGTTCATGCTTCGGGTGAATTTCGTTTCGGAGTTCAGGAATTCATCTGATCAATGGATTGGCCTAAATTTGGGTCAACTACATATGGATCAAAACAAATCCTCAAATCTTACTGTAGATCACAAGAGAGGGAAGGAAAGGGTGGGCTTACAGAGTTATGATACCATTAATATAGTATAGTATCAAGAAATGAGTAAATAAATTAGAATGGTGAGTGGACATAGAAAACTGTTAAAGGATATCTGTAGTCACTTTTTTCTTATACTCTTTTGAAAGAGCATAAGATTGCATTTCTGCATTGTGCTAGCAGTTTTGCTATGACATTTATAGATTAAGTGAAAAACCTAATTAAAAATAGGTTTTTCTCCTAGCTCTCAGTCAATGCTTTGGCATACACTCAATGACTAGGCACTGACTGACAAGGGAGAGCAGAAAATAGTCCCATAGGAGGTCCTTCTGCTCTCCCAAGCATAGCAACTACAGGATATGTGCTGCGGTTGCTCTTGATTCTCCCTAACCAGCACTTTTAGCACGGGCTAGGGAGTATAGGAACAGAGTGACGTGATGTTACATGAAGAGTAACACCCACAAAGCTTAAAGATGGCATCACTGGAACGGAGGAGAGATGAGTAAATCTCTATATTTTACATTGAGTACATCATATATCTTTGTATGTATTCAATGCATATGGGAATGATTTCAGGTAAAGTAATTATTGCTATGCAGGTTAATTTCAAGATGCAGAATGTTGCAGAACTTTTAATTTTATTAAAGGACACAGAGGCTCATATTATGCTTAATCTCTTTCTTTTTAATCCTCAGCAGAAAATATTGTATATTCATAGAAACAAATCAAACATGTAAACATGCACCCTAAAGGGTTAACCACATAATAATACATCCAATCATAATGCCCCTTGCACCATCAACTCTCCATGTGACCTTAAGCCACTCCTCTTTCTTGCTGCTGCCTCCTCAGCTAAGTACATTTTAATTTTCTCTCTGTATGATACCAGAAATGTGGTGTCATTTAAGCATAATTAGTGTCTAATTTGTGTTTTTTTATTTTCTCCTGCATGTTTGTTTCAGGACTTCTGCCTGGCTTTTTTGTTTCTGTTCAGCTGGCTCTTGGTTGCTTTCCCAAGCCATAGTGCCAACACCTCACCTTCCCCTTCCCCCTCCCCCTCCTGCATTCCCTCGGTCAGGTTGATTATCACCTGGTGTTCTGGGCCAGCTAGCAGCCCTCCGTCGGAGGCTCTTACCACCTTGTGTTGCTCCCTTCTTCCTCCAAGATTCTCTCTTTGTTTTCCTGGTTTGCGGCTGTAGCCACAGCTGGCGCAGCTCGTGCATGCGAACAACGCAAGTGCGCATCACTGCGGCAATATTGTGGTTGGCATTTTTGCTGCGATTTCTATTTCCCGTTCTTTTCTGTTATTTTGGGGGCGGGTATGTGCCGATTGGTCGGCATAGCTGCTGGGCAGCTCACCGGTGCTCCCCAGGAGCCATTCCAGAGATACATATTGCTAAGTTTGTATGTATTGGATTTTAAGGTAACCCTGATAACAGAACAGTGCTTGACATTTGTAATTACTCCTACCCTCCACTATTAGAGATCTCCTCTGTGTTCCAGTTTATTTGCCGTTACTATAATTACTGTGGGTGCTTTCGGGGCAACTTCTATTTGACAATGCAGTCACAAAAGGATTTGGGCATGGCCTCTAACGATACTACCGTTGGTGCCAACAGACACCAGGGGGAATACGCCCAAAAATCGTGCTACATAGATGAAGAAGCCTCCGAAATTGTACAGTCGGACAGGGAACGTCCTTTCATAGATGATGTGGTTGCAACACAACAAAGAGCCGACCACCGGGCAAAATCGGTGAGGAATTGGAAGAGGGCAAAAGCCCTAATAGAATAATTTGAGTCAGATTCGGAACAGGAGGAGGCATTGAGCGAGTCCGATGATGAGGACTCTTACAATTTGGGTACACTTTTCCCCGACTACGGCTCCATATCCGTGTCCGGGAATGACGATAAGGACGGTGTGGAGTACTCCACCCTCCTTGACCCGCACGTCGAACTACTTTTTGACCCGGATGCCCTACAGCATCCGAGTTCAACAGAATGGTTCCCACTGGACCATGTGGCAAAATATATAGCCGCACGTATCAGGAAACCACTTAATAAAGTGGCACGTAGCAAAATGCATACGCCCCACAATTCCAGATTTGGCATGCATCACCCCGGAAGTGGACTCAAAGATTGCCCTGTTTCTGGGCAAAACTGGGTGGAAGGCCAAGAAAGGCCTAGATTTTGCACTACGTCATTGTTAAGATGTCCTCGGACCCAGTGCAAAGATATTCTACATGTTTGAAACAGCCTTGGCGGGTGGTGCTCCCGCAGACCTGCTTGCTATCAGGGGCTGGATCCAACGATCTGTACGTCTACTCGGTAATGCCAATACGGCTTTAGCCACCGAGAGGCAAAAGGAAATTCTAAATAAGATTGAGCCAAAGTTGGTTAATTTGGATATTTAAGAGCCTGGGCAAAAGGCAAAAGGCCTTCTTTTTGGGGACAGTTTCTTAAGGAACTGGGTACCAATGTAGGTACATTTACTGCACCGGACAAGGCAATATGAAAAAGGTATTGTCCCATAGAGTTTTTGGTGGGGCTTGCAGATATCAGGGCCGCCTGCCTGGCCGTTCCTCCTGGGGCTCGTACCGGGTTTCTCGAGGCTCCTTCCAGTCATGATGCCAAGGTCTGGAACCTAAGCCCATCTCTCCATTTTTTCCATTTCGAGGAAGGCCTTGGCATTCTTGTGGAGCCAGAAGCTCTTCCTTTGGCCAATGCCCTTATGGTAAGGTTCCTTCCTTCATCTCTACCTTCAGTACCGTTGGTGGGGGGCAGATTATGCCATTTTGTAAATTCCTGGCACATCTTAACTTCGGATACTTGGGTCCTACAAACTGCACTGTGTTATGCCATAGATTTTGTACAAGCCCAGATATCTCTTCCCAACCAAATTGTCTTCTCCAACCACGACCGGTCCTTAATTGCAGCAGAGATACAGATTCCTTACTTCATTGTTCGACCATGGCCTAGCCTATCACACTATAAATGTGTACCGATTGCATATTTCTGCAGGGCATCAGGGATTGGATTGTTTCCCGGCAGGTAAACATCTCCTGGTATGCCGACTTCTGCGCGGCATCAGATTTGCAAGCTGACCGCAATCTAGGTACTCTTCATCATGGGATGTCATCCTTGTTCTCTGGCTTTGTCCAGTGGCATGTCTTAAAGAATACGAGTCCAGGACTTCTTCTACTCGTGATTCATAATATCCTGATTTGGTTTTGGTCCTTCGACATCCACATCATCCTGTTTCTGCAGTCACATTGTCTCATTGGGTAAAATGGAGTATGACATCATCCACACTTCAGCAAATGGAGCACACTCGGTCAGGGGAGCCATGGCGTCTAAGGCTTTCTTCAAAGGATGCAGGTTGGAGGACCTCCTCTGGGCTGCTGATTGGTCACGCAAATCTACCTTCAAGGAGTTTTACTTTCGGCCAGTTTCTCATTTTTCTGATGTGGTCATTTTGCAGCTTTGAACTAGCATAGTTTAATAAAATTACCAGATTTTACCAATTTCATGACGTAAAGTCATGATTTTATTAAGGACACGGAGGCCAGTATCATTCCACCCGATACAGGTATGTTGCACCCTTCCGTAGATGTTTAGTCATTAAGTTTTACACTGGACTTATGTTACTACAACATATTGCATTTATTGAAAGTTTTTTGATTAGATAATAATCTGTTTACGGATGCATATGTTTCTATGCTTAATACTTTACTATGGTAATAATTGGATATTCAGAAACATATTTTACCAGTTTGTTTCTCTGTTCCTTTCAGCTTCATAATCGGATTTGGCACAGTTGTGCATTGGTTCCTTCTGGGCCTAACAGAGGATCCCATCTTCTACAGAATACCAGATTATTCAACTGTGGAGTTGTTGATTGTTTCTTCAGGTTGACATATGTTCTGCATTGAATTCTTTGTGGGCACCACCAAAGAAAGAGTGGCTTAAGGTCACATGGGAAGTTGATGGTGCAAGGGGCATTAAGATTGGATGTATTGTTATGTGGCTAACCCTTTAGGGTGCATGTTTACATGTTTGATTTGTTTCTATGAATATACAATATTCGCTGCTGAGGATTAAAAAGAAAGAGATTAAGCATAATACTCGCCTCCGTGTCCTTAATAAAATCATGACTTTATGTCATGAAATTAGTAAAATCTGGTAATTGTATGTTGTGAGAACTAAGCATGCAACAATGCAGCTCATTATTTAAGTCATTATTGAACATTTTATTAGTACCTGGAACTCTGCTTTAAATACACCATCTTGTCTTTACCCTACATTCTAGAGCAGCATATACCAAATTGGTGTTCCGTGGACACAGCGCGCTGACTGGAGGGAGAGAGAGTGCGGCGGGGACTGAGCAGCACACCAGCCTCAGCCTGCAGCACTGAAGGAAGTCACCCTCCTGAAGAAAAAAGGTAAATGAACAGGAGGGTGACTGCAAATATAAATATATGTGTGTGTAACTGTATTTCAGTGTGTATCTGCCAGTGTGTGCATCTGTGTGTATTTGTGCCAGTTTGTGTATCTGTGTGTCAAGGTGTGTGTTTATGTCACTGTGTGTGTATCTAAGTGTCTGTCTGTATGTCAGTGTCTGTATGTGTTAGTGTGTATCTGTGTGTGTGCCTGTGTCTATATGTCAGTGTATCTGTCAGTTTGTGTGCATGTGCCAATGTGTGTATCATTGTGCCAGTGTGTGTGTGTATCTGTGTGTGTGTGTGTATGTGTCAATTTGTGTATCTGTGTGTCAATATGTATCTGTGTGTGTATATGTCAGTGTGTAGCTGTCTGTGTGTGTATGTGCCAGTGTATCTGTCAGTGAGTGTTTCTGCCCTTGTGTGTATCTGTGTGTGTGTATGTGCCAATGTGTATCTGTGTGTGTGTGTGCCAGTGTGTGTATCTGTATGTCAGTATGTTGATGTGTTTGCCTGTGTCTGTATGTATCAGTGTACCTGTGTGTCAAGGTGTGTGTATTTGTGTGTGTTAGTGTGTATCTGCCAGCGTGTGTATCTGTATTTGTATGTGCCAGTTTGTATTTGTGTATCAAGGTGTGTGTATCTGCCAGTGTGTGTATCTGTGTTTGTATGTACCAATGTGTATCTCTGTGTCAAATTGTGTATATCTGTGTATATGTGCTTGTGTGTATCTATGTTTGTATGTGCCAGTGTATGTCTTTGTGTCAAGGTGTGTGTATCTGTGTCAGTGTGTGTATGTATTAGTGTGAATATGACTGTGTATGTGTCAGTGTGTTTCTGTTTGTTAATGTGTATGTATATGTGTAAGTATGTATGTGGCAGTACATGTACAGACATCCCAACAATCAAACACCAACCACAACACACATTACTCCAAACACAAACATGACATACAAAGACACCCTGAACTCCAACATTATATACAAACACTCTAACACCAATACTGCACACAAATGTACATGTGCATTTAAAGTCCAAAACTACATCCAAACACACGTCTGCACACAAACATTACATACAACACATCCTTGTATTAAAATGCTAAAATTATATATAAACACCAACTCTACACACAGAAGCACACTTGCTTCTAAGTACTACAATCTGTTTACTATCTGTAGAAATTAGTGCGTATATTTTAAAAAAAATTGCCAAAATTTGCTCTGCTAACTAAAAGGTTTATGCTATCTCGTGAAATTTTTGGGGGGGTTCCACGATGTTAATACACTAGGTAAAAAGGGTTCCACGGGAAAAATTAATTGAGAACCCCTGTTCTAGTGGGTCACAGACGAACAAGAGCCCTGATCAAATCTTTGCCATAAAGGGGTCTGCTACAATAAATCTACATGTTATAATTATGGGTTGGTAACTCAGTAACTGTGTTACTTATTGATTGCAATAATTGTGTTTTAACTGGGGTTTGTGATTTTAAAGTGAATCAATAACAGCAAATTAGTAAATGTGTGAGTAACCAATTCAGGCAAGCAATAAAATAAAGAAATACAATTAGGGATCGACCAATATTGAACTTTCAGACCGATAGCCGATAACTTACCGATATTCTGTACATTTACTGTTTTGAAATAAGAAACTATTTTTACACAAATCTACTGTTAACTTAACATGTTTATTATTATTTATGTATTTTTGCAAAACTGTTTTTTTATTAAGTGGTAAATGCACCAAATATAAATGCCAGTCAGATTGTTTTATGTTTTCAAGAATATTTAGAGTTCTTTTCCCCTCCCTTCCCTGTCTCTTAGTGTACCTCTCCCCTCCCTTCCCTGTCTCTTAGTGTACCTCTCGCCTCCCCTCCCTGTCCCTTAGTGTTCCTCTTCCTTACCCTCCCTGTCCCTTAGTGTTTCTCTCCCCTCCCCTCCCTGTCCCTTAGTGTACCTCTCCCCCCTAGTTCCTTAGTGTTCCTCTCCCCTCCCCTACATGTCCCTTAGTGAACATCTCCCCTCCACTCCCTGTCCATTATTGTTCCTCTACCCTCCCCTCCCCTCCTTAGTGTACCCATCTTAGTGTTTCCCTTCCTGTCCTTTAGTGTCCCCCCATTGTCTTTCTCTCCCCTTCTATGTCATTTAGTGCCTCCTACCTTTTTTTTTAGCGTGGCAGAGCGGAGTGCACCGCGGTACGGGAGCTTCAGTTTCCTGTAACCGGCCGGACTGACAATAATTGCTCTCTCAGTGAGCACTTCCCCATTGTCTTTCTCTCCCCTTTTCTGTCCTTTAGTGCCTCCTAGCATTTTTTTTTGCGTGGCAGAGAGGAGGGCACCGCGGTACGGGAGCTTCAGTTTCCTGTAACCAGCCGGACTGACAATAATTGCTCTCTCAGTGAGCACTTCCTGTCAGTTCGGGCGCGTATAGGAATCAGAAGCTCCTGTACCGCAGTCCGCTCCACTTGGCCACGCTATACTGAGTGACTGGCAGGAGGGAGCGCTGTGCACTTCCTCCTGCTGGTCACTCTAATCTTGCGCCCCCCGTGCCGGTGCGCCCTAATGCGGCCAATAACGATATTTGCCAAAATCCGTAATATCGGCCGAACCGATAATCGGTCGATTCTCTAAATACAACTATACATTATAATGCAGTGTACCACTGTTCCTTATTGTTCCTCTCCCCCTCTAAGTGTTTCTCTCCCTGTCCTTTAGTGTTCCCATCTAAGTGTTTCTCTTCCCTTCCTGTCCTTTAGTGTCCCCCCATTGTCTTTCTCTCCCCTTCTCTGTCCTTTAGTGCCTCCTACCTTTTTTTTTAGCGTGGCAGAGCGGAGTGCACCGCGGTACGGGAGCTTCAGTTTCCTGTAACCGGCCGGACTGACAATAATTGCTCTCTCAGTGAGCACTTCCTGTCAGTCCGGCCGTGTATAGGAATCAGAAGCTCCTGTACCGCAGTCCGCTCCACTTGGTCACGCTACACTGAGTGACTGGCAGGAGGGAGCGCTGTGCACTTCCTCCCGCTGGTCACTCTAATCTTGCGCCCCCTGTGCCAGTGCGCCCTAACGTGGCAAATAACGATATTTGCCAAAATCCGTAATATCGGCCGAACCGATAATCGGTCGATTCTCTAAATATAACTATACATTATAATGCAGCTTTATAACCAAATTTGTATTCCAAATTACATACTCTCAGTATGAAGCAGCTATGCAGATAGACACATATATTGCATTATTGTAGTATGCACTATGCATTATAGAAATACTTAAAATTAATGTTAAAGATTTGCTAGCAGCTTTTCACCCACGAGTACTTAAGGAGCTAAGTGTGGAAATAAGTGAACTTCTGTATTTAAAGTGACACTATAGTCACCAGAACAACTACAGCTCATTGAATTTGTTCTGGTGAGTATAATCATTACCTTCAGGCTTTTTGCTGTAAACACTGTCTTTTCAGAGAAAATGCAGTGTTTACATGACAGCCTAGTGATAACTTCACTGGCCACACCTAAAATGCATCCAAACATTCAGTATCTCCTCCCTCTGCATGCAGACACTGAACTTTCCTCATAGAGATGCATTGATTCAATTCATCTCTATGCGGAGATGCTGTTTGGCCAGGGCTGTATTTGAATTGTGCTGGCTTTGCCCCTGATCTGCCTCTTTGTCAGTCTCAGCCAATCCTATTGGGAAGCTTTGCGATTGGATCAGGCTGCCACTTCTGCTGATGTCAGCAGACAGTGGGCAGGCCAAAAGGAAACAGGGACAAAGCCTGCAGCTTCAAGCTTGAATACAAGTAAGATTCTACTATATTTAGGGAGGCATGAGGGGCACTTGGTGGTTTTAACCCTATAGGGTCAGGAATGCATGTTTGTGTTCCTGTCCCTATAGTGCTCCTTTAATCTTTCAAGATTCTTTTGTTTCAGGTATTGTACCGGAAGATTGGAGGAAGGCAGATGTTCTTATATTTAGAAAGGGTTTAACATCCTTGCCTGGAAATTATACACCTGTGAGCTTAACTTCTGTGACTGGGAAAGTATTTGAAGGGCTATTAGGTGATAATATTCAGGAATTAATTGAGGAGAACTTTGTTATTGTCAGGTATAGCATGGCATGTATTTCGCCGTCGGAACCCACTTCCAGGTTCACGGCGCTTAGCCCCGCCCCTTTTTTCTGACGCGGTCCCTCCACGATACTTAGGAAGACCGCGCCAGATTCAGCTGCTCTACTTTTGATCCTACCTGCTCCACTTCTAGACCTCGGATTGTAAAACGGATTTCTACCTTCTCCACTTCTCGACCTCGGCTTGTAAAACGAATTTCTACCTTCTCCACTCCCAGACCTCGGCTTGTTAAAACGGACTTCCACACTCTCCACTCCTAGTTCTCGGCTTGTTAAAACGGACTTCTAATTGCTCCTCCATTGGGTGAATTAACCCTTCCAGTGCCAGAACTGCCTTTAAGTTAAGTAAAACTTTTTGCCAAACAAGCCAATTCCTATTATTTATGTTACACAGTATCTAAAGCTCACTAAAGTGTCACTTTGTCAAGCTATTCCTCTTATTCATAAGGGATTGCTACTAAGGCTAATTCTTCCTGCAATAATCAACTTATTCTAATTGCAAGCCTGTCCAGCTTCATTAATACATTTCTCATAATTTATTCCATCTTAATTAAGTTGGAAACTAGCACTGCCTATTTCCCTGCATGTGTATTTAAAGATACAATAACCATTGTTTCATATCAGTATAAAAGGAGGTGAAACTTATTGTTGCTGCAATCAGAAAATTCTGCAGTTGAGTTCCAATTAAAGAAGTATTACAAAATAAGTATTACAGAATAATCCAGCCTATTCAATGGAACCAGCAGATATCAACTCTAAAGTTTCTGCCCTAACCAATAGAGTGGATACGATTGCTCAGGGGTTACAGGAACTGCAAATTACAAATGAGAGAATATTAACCTATGTTAGAGACATGCAAGGCCATCTTCCTCATGCCACTCTTCAATCGGCTGGTGATCCTGCTGTCTGTAATCCAGAAAAATTTTATGGAGATAGAACAAAGTACAGAGAGTTTTTGAATTCTTGCAAACTACTAATAGCTTTAAAACCTAGATCTTATCCCACCGAAAGATCCAAAGTCTGTTCAGTGATCTCTTTTTTAAGAGGTGAACCTATGGCCTGGGCCCATTCCTTTTTGGAAAATGATGATCCCATATTAGATTCATTGGATGAGTTCTTTGAAGCTATGTCTTTATTATATGAAGATCCTTTTAAACAAACTACTGCTGATTTAACCATCAGAACATTACACCAAAAGAATAGACCTGTTGAAGATTATATTGCAGAATTCAAAAGATGGGCTACAGAAACCCAATGGAATGACATTACTTTACGCAATCAATTCCGTCTCGGATTATCTGAAGCTGTGAAAGATGAACTCTCTCGTACAGAACTTCCTCCTACCTTAAATGCATTGATTCAACTGTCCATCAGTATTGATAGACGTCTAAGAGAAAGAAAAGCTGAAAGGGTTCTTACTAATTCTACCTGGAGAAAACCTTTCACTACTCCAAAACTACCTGAAAAAATTCCTCCTCAAACTGAACCTATGGAAGTAGGTATAATAAAAAGTCCTCTTACTTCTGAAGAAAGAATAAGAAGGAGACAACTAAACTTATGTATGTATTGTGCTTCGAAAGAACATCTAATTTCCGAATGTCCTCTACTGAAACATTCAAAAGGTGGTAAGCTTCATTCATCTACTTCTATATTGAACGTTCTTCAAAAAAGAAAAACATCTACTTATTTTTCTATATCTCTCATATTACAGTGGGATACAAAAAGAATCGTGACTGAGGCCATTATTGATTCTGGTGCTAATGGAACTTTCCTTGATTTTTCTTTTGTTACAAAGAATAAAATTCCTTGTGTTCGAAAAACTAACTTTGTTCCAATCAGAGTTATTGATGGTTCATTTATATCCTCAGGACCCATAAAAGATGAAACAATTCCTCTAAGAATGATTACCAACAATGTACATTCCGAATTCCTTACATTTGATGTTATTAAATCTCCACTTTATCCCGTCATTTTAGGAATTAATTGGTTAAAAACCCATGATCCTCTAATTAAGTGGTCTCCCTTTTCCATTTCCTTTGCTTCTGATTTTTGTAAACAAACGTGTTTACAACATATTCCTATTCTCCAAGCTACTAAAGAATCAGTTATACCTCCATTCTACTCCGATTTTGCAGATGTCTTTTGTAAAAAAGAAGCGGAAACACTTCCACCTCATCGGGTATATGATTGTCCAATAGATCTCATACCCGGAGCTCCTATTCCTTATGGCCATATTTATCCACTCTCTGAAAAGGAGTTAGAAATTTTAAAAGAATATCTTAATGAAAATCTACACAAAGGGTTCATCAGACCCTCGACCTCCCCAGCTGCTTCTAGTATTTTCTTCGTGAGGAATAAAGACCAAACCATCCGTCCTATTATAGATTACAGAGCCTTAAATAAAATAACAATTAAAAATCGTTATCCTCTTCCACTAATAAATGAATTAATTGAAAGGTTAAGAACCGCAACTATATTCACTAAACTCGACCTTCGAGGCGCATATAACCTCATTAGAATAAAACAGGATGATGAATGGAAGACCGCCTTCCGGACAAGATATGGTCTCTACGAATATCTAGTGATGCCTTTTGGGCTCTGTAATGCCCCTGCAACATTTCAACATTTTATAAATGATATCTTTAGAGATCTTTTGGATATATGTGTTATTATCTACTTAGATGATATCTTAATATATTCTAACAATTTGGATGAACATAGGAAGCATGTTAGATGGGTTCTATCTAGACTGAGAACTCATAAATTATACGCTAAACCAGAAAAATGCCTTTTTGAGGTTACTGAACTCTCTTTTCTAGGATACATTATTTCACCTCATTCTTTGAAGATGGATAATTCCAAAATCGAATGTATTATTAACTGGCCCGCTCCTACTACTACAAAAGAATTGCAACGTTTTCTTGGATTTTCAGACTTCTATGGAAAATGTATTAGAAACTATTCGGATGTATCACATCCTCTTAACCTCCTCAACAGTAGTAAACGTCCTTTCAATTGGAATAAAGATGCACAAACAACCTTCGACGAATTAAAAAAAAGATTTACAACTGCACCTATTCTACAACTACCTAATCCAACATTCTTATATGTTCTTGAAGTTGATGCATCAGATACAGCCATCGGAGCAGTTCTTTCTCAACAAAAGACTCCACAAGATCCACTTCATCCAGTTGCCTTCTTTTCAAGATCCTTGAGCTCTGCTGAAAAAAATTATCCTATTGGTGAAAAAGAATTATTAAGTGTTAAAGCTGCCTTCGAAAATTGGCGTCATCTTCTAGAAGATACAAAACAACCTATAATAGTTTATACTGACCATAAAAATCTTGAATATCTGTATACTAACAAAACCCTTACGGCTAGACAAGTTAGATGGAACCTATTCTTTAACCGATTTAACTTCCAATTAATATACAGACCTGGAACTAGAAATAAAAAGGCTGACGCTCTTTCTTGAATTCCTTCTAAAACTACTACTGATGATTATCCTCCTAACAAAATAATAGGGATCCTCTCTTCTCTTCATGATGACATAAAGAATTTGAATCAGAAGGATCTTGAACTTCCCAAAACACCTATACTAACAAAAAAGGATGGTATATTTTATTTTAAAAATAGAATTTATATTCCTCCCATTCTTAGGAATAAATTACTTAAGATGGTTCATGATTCACCCCTAGCTGGACATCCTGGAATAAAGAAAACTCTTGAACTAACTTCACGATATTATTGGTGGCCTCGCCAGGATATAATTTTGAATTATATGTCAAAACTTGTCCTATCTGTCAAAGGTCTAAACCTGAACATAATCAACCTTTTGGATTAATACTTAACTTACCTATTCCAGAAAAACCTTGGCAATCCATTTCTATGGATTTTATCGTTGATCTCCCACCTTCTCAACATTTCACCACTATTCTTGTCGTTGTGGATCGCTTCACAAAAATGTCCCATTTCATTTCTTTAAAAAAATTACCCTCCTCTGTAGAATTGTCTAAGGTCTTTATTGACAATATTGTGAAACTTCATGGTCTTCCTGAAGAAATTATTTCTGATAGGGGGACACAATTTACCTCCAAATTCTGGAAAGAGATGTGTCTCTCCCTTCAAATTCAACGCAAACTCTCTTCCGCTTATCATCCCCAAACTAATGGGCAAACAGAAAGGGTTAATCAATGTTTGGAACAATATCTTCGATGTTATTGTTCATACCTCCAAGATGACTGGACCACATGGTTACCTATGGCCGAATTTTCTTACAATAATACCATTCATTCTAGTACGAAAATGACTCCTTTCTTCTCCAACTATGGTTTTCATCCGTCTTCATTTCCCATCCAAACTATTACATCAAAAAACGAATTTATGTCTTCTCTATTTCTCAAATTACGGGAGAATCTTCAACTCGCCCAAAATAACCAGAAAAAGTTTTTTGACAATAATAGAAGAATTCCCCCTCCTTACAAGGTAGGGGATCTTGTCTGGCTCTCTTCAAGGAATATTACCACAAGCCGTCCTTCAAAGAAATTGAGCTCTCTTTTTCTTGGTCCCTTTCAAGTAATTACAATCATTAATGATAACGTCGTTAAACTAAAACTTCCTCCAAGTTTTAAACTTCATCCAGTATTCCATGTCTCCTTGCTTAAACCACACATCCCTGATCCTTTTCATAGAGAAATAGTAACAACTCCTGAACCTATCATTGTCCAAGGTGAAGAAGAATATGAAATTCACAAAATTTTGGATTCTCGTGTCCACCGTGGCTCCTTACAATACCTTATTAGATGGAAAGGTTATGGAGTTGATGAAGACACTTGGGAAGATTCATCTAATGTACATGCTAGGAGGTTAGTTGCTGCCTTTCACAAACGCTACCCCTCCAAACCGAAATAGTGCACCCAGAGGATGCCCCATGAGAAGGGGGTACTGTCAGGTATAGCATGGCATGTATTTCGCCGTCGGAACCCACTTCCGGGTTCACTGCGCTTAGCCCCGCCCCTTTTTTCTGACGCAGTCCCTCCACGATACTTAGGAAGACCGCGCCAGATTCAAAGGGCTGGATTATTCGCACAGGTGCTGCAGAGAGATCAGCTGATCTACTTTTGATCCTACCTGCTCCACTTCTAGACCTCGGATTGTAAAACGGATTTCTACCTTCTCCACTTCTCGACCTCGGCTTGTAAAACGGATTTCTACCTTCTCCACTCCCAGACCTCGGCTTGTTAAAACGGACTTCCACACTCTCCACTCCTAGTTCTCGGCTTGTTAAAACGGATTTCTAATTGCTCCTCCATTGGGTGAATTAACCCTTCCAGTGCCAGAACTGCCTTTAAGTTAAGTAAAACTTTTTGCCAAACAAGCCAATTCCTATTATTTATGTTACACAGTATCTAAAGCTCACTAAAGTGTCACTTTGTCAAGCTATTCCTCTTATTCATAAGGGATTGCTACTAAGGCTAATTCTTCCTGCAATAATCAACTTATTCTAATTGCAAGCCTGTCCAGCTTCATTAATAAATTTCTCATAATTTATTCCATCTTAATTAAGTTGGAAACTAGCACTGCCTATTTCCCTGCATGTGTATTTAAAGATACAATAACCATTGTTTCATATCAGTATAAAAGGAGGTGAAACTTATTGTTGCTGCAATCAGAAAATTCTGCAGTTGAGTTCCAATTAAAGAAGTATTACAAAATAAGTATTACAGTTATTAGCAATAATCAGCATAGTTTTATGAAACATAAGTCATGCCAAACTAACCTGATTGCATTCTAGTAGAATAATAGATCAAGGTGTTGCAGTGGATGTGATCTACTTGGATTTTACCAAGGCATTTGATACGGTTCCTCATAATAGGTTAGTCTTCAAACCAAAAGAAATTGGTCTAGATTAATATTCTTGTTCTTGGGTAGAACATTGGCTTAAGGATAGAGTACGAGTTGTCATTAATGGTAAATTTTCAAGCTGGACAAAAGTGGTAAGTGGTGTCCCTCAGGGTTCCATTTTGGGACCGCTTCTATTTAACATATTTATAAATGATCTTGCAATAGGCATTGAAAGCCACGTTTTAGTGTTTGCAGATGTAATAAAATGTGAGCAGGATATTGCTTTGCTGCAGAGGGATTTAGATAGATTGGGGGACTGGGCACTAAAATGGCAGATTAAATTTAATGTAGAGAAATGCAAAGTTATGCACTTCGGGGTCAAGGATGCACAAGCAATTTACACTCTAAATGGTAGTGAATTAGGGATAACCACACACGAGAAGGATTTGGGAATTGTTATAGACAACAAATTAGGCAGCAATATACAATGTCAATCTGCAGTTGCCAAGGCCAGTAAGGTTTTGTCATGTATAAATATTGGCATAAATTCTATGGCTGAAAATATAATTTTGCCTCTTTATAAATCGCTGGTATAAACCTTGAATATGCTGTGCAATTTTGGGCACCTGTTCTAAAGAAGGATATCATGGCACTAGAAAAAGTGCAAAGACGAGCTACAAAATTGATAAAAGGAATGGAGCACTTTAGTTACGAAGAAAGGTTAAAAATTTAAATCTCTTTAGTTTGGAAAAACGGCGCCTCAGAGGGGATATGATAACATTATACAAATATATTCAGGGCCAGTACAAACCATTATCTGGAAATCTATTCATAAACAGGGCTATAAGACTCAAGGTCACACATTTAGGCTGGAAGAAAGGTGATTTAATCTAAGACAAAGGAAAGGTTTTTTTTTTTTTTACAGTAACAACTATAAGGATATGGAATTCTCTGCCTGAAGAGGTGGTTTTATCAGAGTCCATACAGATGTTTAAACAGAAATTGGATAAATACTTCCAAAAACATAACATACAGGGATATAATTTCTAATTAGTGGGGTAATAGCTGCTTGATAAAAGGAAAGGTTAAAGGACCACTCTAGGCACCCAGACCACTTCAGCTTAATGAAGTGGTCTGGGTGCCAGGTCCTTCTAGGGTTAACCCATTTTTTCATAATTATAGCAGTTTCAGAGAAACTGCTATAATTATGAATGGGTTAAGCCTTCCCCCAAAGCCTCTAGTGGCTGTCTCATTGACAGCCACTAGAGGCGCTTGCGTGCTTCTCACTGTGATTTTCATAGTGAGAGCACGCCAGCGTCCATAGGAAAGCATTATGAATGCTTTCCTATGTGACCGGCTGAATGCGCGCGCAGCTCTTGCCACGCGTGCGCATTCAGCCGACGGGGAGGAGAGAAGGAGGATCGGAAGAGAGCTCCCCGCCCAGCGCTGGAAAAAGGTAAGTTTTAACCCCTTTCTCCCTTCCAGAGCTGGGCGGGAGGGGGTCCCTGAGGGTGGGGGCACCCTCAGGGCACTATAGTGCCAGGAAAACGAGTATGTTTTCCTGGCACTATAGTGGTCCTTTAAAGGAACTTAACATGTATAGCTTGGAGGAAAGACGAGACTGGGGGATATGATAGAAACATTTAAATACATAAAGGGAATCAACACGGTAAAGGAGGAGACTATATTTAAAAGAAGAAAAGCTACCACAACAAGAGTACATAGTCTTAAATTAGAGGGGCAAAGGTTTAAAAATAATATCCGGAAGTATTACTTTAATGAGGGTAGTGGATGCATGGAATAGCCTTCCAGCTGAAGTGGTAGAGGTTAACACAGTAAAGGAGTTTAAGCATGCCTGGGATAGGCATAAGGCTATCCTAACTATAAGATAAGGCCAGGGACTAATGAAAGTATTTAAAAAATTGGGCAGACTAGATGGGCCGAATGGTTCTTATCTGCCATCACATTCTATGTTTCTATTAGATATCTGACTGTCATTTTGCGGTTAAGAAGGATTTTTTTCCTAGTTTGTTGCAAAATTGGGAGCGCTTCAGACTGGGTTTTTTTTTTGCCTTATTTTGGATCAACAGCAAAAATATATGTGAGGAAGGCTGAACTTGATGGACTCAAGTCTCTTTTCAGCTATGTATGTAATGCATGTAAATGCACATTATAGTTGCCAAAACACTTTAACTTAATGAAGCAGTTTAAGTGTATAGAATAGATCATTCCCCTTCAGTCTCACTGCTCATTTCTCTGCCATTTAGGCGTTAAATCACTTTGTTTATGCATGCAGCTCTAGTCACACCTCCCTGCATGTGACTTACACAGCCTTTCTTAATACTTCCTGAAAGTCATTTAATGTTTACACTAACTTTTTTGCAAATTCTGTTCAATTTCGAATCTCCTGTCAGGGCCGCCATCAGGGCATGTCAACCGTAACGGTTGTCATGGACCCTGCGGTCCTGGGGGGCCCGGACTGCTCAGATCGTCCGGGCCCCACATTCAGTGGTGTACATACCGGGTCGCAGGGGGCCCTGCGACCCCGGTATCTACCCACTGGGCCAGCTTCTTCTCCTGGGGGGCCCAGCAGCCGGTCACCTCAGGGCCCCCCCCCAGGCTGGCCCTGCTGTCACCCGGCCGGCGCGCGAGGGAGGCTCATTGGTGGAACATGAAGGTGGACCCTGGGACCCAGACCTTGAGCTGTGTAAAGGGCCCTCAAAAAAATGGAGCTGCTTCCCGTTGATCCCAGAACATTGATTTTTGTGACCACAGTTACAAACCGGACCAGTGGAGCCAGACGGCAGCTAGAGCCCATCATCATCCTCATCTGGTTGTAAGTAGGCAATCTAGTATATTATTCGTGGCACTAATCTCTAATTTACCTCACATTAAAGGGACACTATAGTCTCCAGGACCACTACAGCTTAATGTAGTGGTTCTGGTGTCTAGCCTGTCCCTGCAGGCCTTTTAATGTAAACACGGCGGCACTGCAGCACTGGTGTTAGTTAACATGGCAGATCATATGGGTGGGGCATTGTGATGTCACATAGGGGGGCAGCAAACTTTACTTTTGCCTAGGGCGGCAAAAATCCTTGCACCGGCCCTGCAGACACTGCTTTATAGACCGTGTAGGAGTCTCCTACATGTGATTAAAGTTCGATTTCCAGAGCAGGAGATAAAAACTTTTAAAGTAAGTAACATTTGATTGAAAATGAAACCATTTTATTTTCATGCAGTCTGTGTGTCACAGCAATGGGAAGTGTGGCTAGTGCTGCATAAACAGAAACAAAGGGGATTTAACTCCAATTGGTAGTGAATTGAATAGTGAGACTGTGGATGCATCATCTATACACTTAATCTGCTTCATTAAAATAGAGTAGTTTTGGTGATTATAGTGTCCATTTAAAAAATTAAACTATTTAGATTTTAGAACCACTTATATTTTCCTTGCCAGGTATACCTTTAACTAAATTGATTTCTCAAGTTCAAGTTGAAAAGTTCTTCATATATATTATATATAGACATTGATTATTTAGTTTTTTATATATAGCAAGTGTCATATATGGTCGCCATGTTATTTTGTAGTTCCCATTAGTGTATTAAGAAACATCCTATTCATGGTCCCGCAGGCTACTGCCCACAATAAAGTTCATTATTCTGAAGCTGGGAACAGTCACCAATTACATTTGAAGACTGCGAACTTTCCAAACGAAAAAAAGTCACCAGTGGGAATTTTAGGTATGGACTCTGGATCCCTGGCAAGATAGCCCTCCATAGCAGATATATTATGATCTGTTCCAGGGTGTTCAGAATAAAACGAGGTTCTACAGTAGCTATAACTGTTATAGAACAGCCCTGTGCCTCAGACACTGCTGGCTTTGTAGTTTGCAGTGCAGAATGAAGAGATTAGGAAAGTTGACAAGTTTCCTTGTCCCTCCTCCCCTCCCCAGCTCTCCACCCCTTGTGCCTGGCTCACTGACACACTGTAACACAGGCACATCCTCCTCCTTCTCCACTCACAGCACTGCCGTAGGCTGTATGCTCGGCTTCTTGCTGTCCCCTGTCTTGCTGTCACCCAGCTGAGCTCTACAAGAAGGTAAGAATTCTCTGGTCCCCATTCCCTGCAATGCGTCTCCCCCTTCTTCACTGTACAGCCTATTGATGGCAGCGCCGGCCCGGTGCCCTGCCGGCTAGGCCTGCTCTCTGCAGGCAGAGATTTCCATGTGTCAGCCGCTCCCTTCCCTGCAGAGGCTGCCCTGTCCCATGGCTCAAATCCACGAGCCTGCTGCTGGGTGTCACTGCTTCCTCAGCGAGGGTGCTGGGGGAGGGGAGCTGCTGGCCCTCACCCTTCCTGTCACTCCTCACTCTGCATGCTCAGGGTTTCTGCATTTATGGAATTAAATTAAAAGTGGGCTAGGCCAGGCTTGTGCATATAAATAAGTTTGCAGAGCCATCACCACATATTTGCAATATTGGATATTGGTGATACTGCTATTGCACTGTGGTAACATATGTCTACATATGTTTTATAATATAAAAGTGTATCATAAAAGTCTTCATAGAAATAAACCACAAGTGTGTGCTCTGAAGTCGATGTGATTTATAGAATGGTCGTACCGTATATTGTATACTGTTTGTGATTGTGATATATGTAGCACTGTAGAATTAGTGATGTGGGCCCTGCTGCGATTATACAGCATTTTGTGTATCCTCATAAGGTGTTTTCATGAGAACCGTTTTAAAATATGTTTATAAAAACATTTAACATGGCTATTGAAAATCTATGGAGTGACATATATTATGCTTATGTGAGCCATGACACATACACTCTCTCTCCTTGTGTTTTCACTTTTTATATATATATATATATATATATATATATATATATATGTGTGTCACATTAACGCTTGTGGTGACTCATTTTGTGCAATTTTATTTTTCTAATTGATCTCATTTCATAAAACGATTGCTGAAGGGTGGCGGTACTTGTTGCTACATGTATCTGGGAATGTATATTCGCCACACGAGATAAATTTAACCCCTTTGGCTGCTGTAATATTTGTAATAGTTTCCATTATCTAGAATTATTTACTTAAATGTGAATTGCTGGTAATTCAAATTGAAGTCCCAAATAGCTGATTTGAAATCATATTTGATTTAGGGGTATTTTTTTTTCAAGTTAGGCTATTTTGGCCTAAAACTTCTTCAAGTTTGCTTTGAATTCCTGACAAGTCATTCTTTAGTGAACAACTCTTGTCAAACACAGTTATAAGAACAAACCATTTTCAAATAGATGAATTTGTTTATAAAGCAACCATATGTTTTGACTTAATTAAACCCCGCTCCCCAATTACTTTACAGGACAGTTTAAGAAATACTGGGTTACAATTCAGCAAAGGTCTTACAAATTTCACAATATATGGTCACTGTTCTAAAACCACATACCCAGCCCGTAAGAATTGTCATAATTCTGAGGGCAACACCAATATGTGCCACTGGTCAGACAACTTGCACCCAGAACGTGTCCCGCTGAGCATCATGGTAAATATAACTCCCTAACACATTGTGTTCCAAAGTTAGCCATCGCTGGTTTAAGATTAACATCATATCTGAGTGTGTTGGGAGGTTTAGTTCATTATCAATACGGAAGATGAAGGATGCTCTATAATTTCTTATGCTGTTGTATGTTTTACCTTCTTGACTTTTGTGGTATGCAAGCAAAGTTAACTGTTAGTGTTAAATACAATATATGTTTTTCAGTTTAATCTACATGTGTCTACAAAATGTTTATTTTTAATTTTTTTATTTAATTATTTCTATTGTCATCAAAGTTACATTAGACAGTAACACAAGAACCAAAAACATATATTAGAAGCAATCATGTATGTCAACGATGAATGACAGGAAGAATACATTTTTTAAATACATTTTATTTTTAAATATAACAGCAGGATGAATATCTTTTTTTTTTTTAATTTAAAGGAAATCTCTAGTGTTATGAATAAATGCCTTTATTTTTAACACTGGAGTGTTTCAAAGTTGTTTTTAGGTTTACATCGCCATTAAGTTAACCTAAATGTAATCCAGCAGCAAGGCAACATACTCCCAACAGCTCAACTTCACCCCCGTATCATCATTAGTAATTAAGATCTCCTAGCCAATACGATGCATAGCGTTGGGAGACTTAGCACATAAAAAGATTTACCGGCTGTGCACACAATTCTTCTCATAAAGAAGTATTGAAACGAATGCTATATAAGTGTATCATTAATTTCAAAACAAAACATAACTTTCTTAGGTACCAGGTGCTGGACGGCACCAGAAATTTTGGGGCCCCTGACAAAGCACAAGGTCTCCCCCCGCCCGGCCGGCCTCCCCCCCGCAATGAATGCAGTGTGTGTTAGTGTAATGAATGCAGTGTGTGTGTCAGTGCAATGAATGCAGACTGTGTTAGTGTAATGAATGCAGTGTGTGTGTCAGTGCAATGAATGCAGACTGTGTTAGTGTAATGAAGAATGCAGATTGTGTGTCAGTGTAGTGGATGCAGTGTGTGTGTCAGTGTAATGAATGCAGAGTGTGTGCTAGTGTTGTGGATGCAGTGTGTGTTAGTGTTGTGGATGCAGTGTGTGTTAATGTAGTGGATGCAGTGTGTGTTAGTGTTGTGGATGCAGTGTGTGTTAGTGTTGTGGATGCAGTGTGTGTCAGTGTAGTGAACGCAGAGTGTGTGTTAGTGTAGTGAATGCAGTGTGTGTGTTAGTGCAGTGAATGCAGTGTGTGTGTTAGTGCAGTGGATGTAGTGTGTGTGTTTACTAGTTTATGCATGTAATGTAATGAAAGTTATTCCCCCCTCCCTGTTTCTTACCTGGTCCAGGGAGGGGGGAGATTCCATGATCCCTGGTGGTCCAATGGCATTGTGGGGCCCCCCCGGCTCCCTATACTTGCAGAAGGGGCCCAGTGGACTGCAGCTGTACTTTACAGCATTTCCCTCGCTCTCACTCCTGCGAGATGTGGTGTGCGCGGAGTTAGAGCGAGGGAAATGCTGTAAAGTACAGCTGCAGTCCGCTGGGCCCCCTCTGCAAGTATAGGGAGCCGGGTGGGGGGGGGGCTGCGGCTGCACCTATATATAGTGACCATCGCTATATATAGGTGCAGAGAGTAATTGTGGGGCCCTGGACTGCCAAAGCAGTACAGGACCGCCTGGCCCGTGACAATCGTTATGGTTGTCACCCCCTGATGGCGGCCCTGACCAGGTGGTAAACCCTTCTTTTCATGTGCCAACACACTTCTGTACTTCAAAAGAGGTCCAAAAGCCTACTGTACTCACTACCATTAGTCGATCCAAAAAAAACAAATACTTATCAAGGTAATGCACAACAGATTCAAAACTAAATTCTTTCTTAAAAAGCTACTTCCCAAAATGTCAAAACCCTTCAAAATAAAATAATGATATTAAACAAAACATCAGCAAAAGTTTATCAAACTAAAACCTCTCTTGAAATGGAAAACCAAAGAATTAAAACCATCAGTATTAACAGGCCAGAGATTGGACGTAGATCACTGGAATTTTCAGGCATGTCTCCCCATACTATGTACAAGCATGGGATGCTGATCTTGGAGAGGTTTGTTTAAAGGAATACTATATGGGTTCCTGACCCTATAATGTTAAAGCTACCATTTAGGTGGCTTGCCCCCCCTTGGAAAGGGTTAAAACTCACCTTATTTCCAGTGCTGCGTGTGCCTGTGCTGGTCCTGCCTGGTCTGCCTGTGCTGGTCCCGCCTTTGATCTGCCTCCTTGATGAAATCATCAGAATGTACGATTTTCAGCCAAATGGCTGAAATCAGCAAGGAGACAGGATAGGTGCGGGGCAAAACGCTGATTTGGACAATCAGCACCTCCTCATAGAGATGTATTGAATCAGTGAATCTCTATGAGGAAAGTTCTGCATCTCTGCTTAACAGCACTGTGTAGCACTGCCCCATGAAGCACCTCCAGTGGCCATCTGTGGAGTGACAACTAGAGGTATGCCTAGGGGGTAATGTAAACATTGCCTTTTCTCCATCCTTTAAAGTGAGAATGCTTACTGTCTCATCCCTAAAGTTTCAAAATTTTACACTATATCCAATTTTGAAATTGTGATGTTTTGATATTTTACTTAAAACGTTTGAAATAAAGTTGTGTACACTATGTGTTTACACTTGATTGTTGAATGCAACCGTATCTCCAAAAAATATCTATTTTTTATAGCTATTTTCTATAGCTACCCACTCCTATAGTAAGTTTTTTTCATGTTAGTTAGCCTGCACCATGCATAACTCTCAGATGCAGATGTAGATAATTACAATTATTTAACACAAACAACAATAACAAAACATGTATGACATAGGGGAATAGTAGGTGAAGAGGGCCCTGCCCAAACAAGCTCTGAATTTAAAGACACACACCTTTTGAATGAAAGTGCAAACTATAGATAATAGTGTTGGCACAGATAGTGCGAGAAGTATCTGTTTCATTTAGGTTATAGTATTACATATATAGGCTCTCCTGCTAGTCCAGACAGGATATGAGATAATGTAACAGGAATTACCCAGTATATTTAATCAACCTCTGAAGGATAAGCAACCTAGTTGACCATGTTAGGAATAGGGTCTGTAACATTGAGGTTTCAAGATATTTTATTATCCAAATTACATCTCACTGATTTCTGTATTGCATAGCACTTGTATCAAGTTTTTCGTTTGCTTAGTAGTTTTGGCAAGTTGTGCAAATATTTAGTACTTTCTCATACATCTTTCTACACAAGCAATAGATTGAACAGTGCATTTGCTAGCAATGTGTGATGTATAGATGCCATTTTAATATTTTGGTTAAAGGCATGCTTATTCATTATATTATTATATAATCATAAATTTACTAAATATGGTATTTGGTATTGGCCTTCAATTCATTTTTACTCCTTAAAAGTGGAGCTGATTTTAGGAATTCTCAAATTAGCAAAATGTATTCTTTCAGCATTATTTGATATGTCATAATAAAAACATAATAAAAAAACATGAGCACTGACCTTAAAGGACACTCTAAGTACAAAAACCACCACTAGCCCCTGTGCTTTTAGTCTATTATAGCTGCCTAGTTTGGATGGAATTGCAATATGTAATGGGAAATTGTGGTTTCCACAATGTAGTCTATCTTTTCTTAAAGGGACACTATAGTCACCAAAAAAACATTCGCTTAATGAAGCAGTTTGGGTGTATAGATCATGCTTCGCAGTCTAACTGCTCAATACTCTGCCATTTATGAGTCAAATCTCTTTGTTTATGTAGCATTATTATGTCCAAGTGAAACTTTTGCTAATGTCCACGAGAAATTTGCAAAATATAAGTCATCAAAGTAAAAAAAATAAATCATCTTCAGAACCATATTTCTCTTGTTGATAATTTATTGGGTTAACTATTTAACCTCCTTCTGGACAAGGGGTTTGGCAGATCCATTTATTTTATGAATGCCCTGGCTAGTCGTGTATCACTAATGGGTTAAGGAAACCATAGCTTACAGCAATTTGTAAAATCTGCATTTGGGCTTGTAGGTCACTGAATGGAATGTAAAGCCACTATGTGAAATACAGAAGGAAATCTATATAAGATACTACTTAAAGAAAAAGGGAATGCTGGAAATGTGAATTCTGTGCAGAAATGGATTTGGCGTTGACAACACTGGCATTACTAAATAAGGTTATTTGCTTTAGCACTGAAAAACGTGTATATATGCCAAGCATTCTGTGATTCATAGTAACGGTTGGCATTCATACTATTCTGTAACTTGCTCTATCTATCCGTTTATAAACATTTACACGCACTGTCTCTTCTCATGTGTTTAAGAAAGGAGGTACATTTCCAAAGAAAAACGCATTTGTATTTTAAAGAGATTTATTTAATGCTGTTTTGATTCATAAAGGCCTGTCACTTGAGAAAATCTCCTAACAATAATAAATAAGCCATAAAACCAGTAATTCAGTTTTTTGGGGGTCATGTTTGGTTTTAATGTAACACCATGCAATTAAATTGCCTTTCTCTAGCAATTAAAATAAAATGCAAAGCAATAAGCTCTCCTTTTTTCCCCCTGATTCTTTTGCATTTTGTATTCGCTTAGGTTAATTTAGAATAGATATTGGTTGCACTGTTTTAAATTATATGTTGCCATTAGGGGTGCTTTGCTGGTAGGGTAACAATACTCTAACATTTGGTCACATGATGCAGAATTCCCCATTGGAAAGCATAGACTCTATGGGGAAGTTTGAATGTGTGTGCGGTACTTGCCATTCATTTGCATTAGGTCCCCAATTCTCCCCAATGAATAGCGTTGGATTGGGCCATCACAGAAGAGGTGATGACTCCTTCGTGATGTCACTGGAGACAGAAAGGTGAATAGCGCCACACGAGCCTCGGCACTAGAAAAAGATAAGTAAAATGTTTTTTTCTTAATTTTTTTATGTCAAATGGGGTTGGGGAACCTTTTTAAAGCTAGGGATTACACTATAGATTAGAAATGCAGGTTTGTATTACTAATCCTATAGTGTTTCTTTAAAAGGTGAAAACAATTATTTGAAGTGGTCATGGTGCATGGAGTCTGTATGTGCAGTGTTTGGCTATAATATACTGCACAAATGGAATTAAACCCCTCTTCTGCCGAGGTGTCCTTGGAGTGTTCCAGGCTGGCTAATATCAATTCTGCGCAAATTTCAGTGACAACATTTTAGTCATTTACTGAGAGAGGGCAGCTGAACTGAATGGAGAATGTTTCTTCTGCAACTTTGCAGAAACCAAAAGCGTGTCATGTGATGACCAGGGAGCCTCGAAACCTGGCGGGGACCCAGGTAAGAGTGAAAAACATTGCTAAACAGTTTGTTCTATTACCGGGAGACCGGGCCAGTGTACTCCTCACATTATAAATTGTGTAGCGAGCTGTAGTGGTTATGACAGGGCACAACAAATCTCAGACCCCAGGTCACCATGGCAACTAGAAATTTTATCCTGGTGCCTGTTGTTGAAGGACTGTGCTTGTCAGCTCTTCAGTGGAGTTATCCTGCTGAGGGACCATGGAGGTGGCTGGCCAAGGAAGAAAGGAGGCGGCGAGGGAGCAGTAATCTTCCTGCAGTTCTTGCTCTGCTCCTTCGCGCCCTCTTTAGTGATGACGGGAGCCGGAATATGATGTCACTCGGCCCGGCATCACTAATCTGCACGCTAAGGAGCAGAGCTAGAAGAGCTCAAGATTACAGTAACCACACTGGATAACAGGAAAAGGATCCCCTCAAGGTCTCCCAAAGATAGGGAGGCTGAATGCACTTAAATTAAAATAAGAACAGCAATAATTTGTGAGAGTATGAGAAAATGTGTTTGTGTGTGTGTGAGTGAGTGAGTGTGTGTGTCTGTCAGTGAGTGTGTCTGTTTAGGTTACCGGCCCCCTCCGATTGCGTGGGAAAGGTGTTTTTACTCACCTTTTTCTTCCTACGCCTTGCCGGTCTCACCACAGCTGGTACCTCCTCCATGGCTAGATCATAAATGGTTTTGAGGCTTGGAGTAACTCTTAAACAGTACTCTTTGAGGTTATGTATAAACAATTGTCACATTTGCTTTCACATTTACACCAATTTTGTGGGTATATTCACTAGTTTCGTACTTGTAAAACTGCCACTCCAACATACATTGGTGCCATGTTATCCTCCTGTTCTGCATTGTGCCAAAATAATCCATCTGTTTTCCACTTTTTATTATTCTTTCTGATTTTGTTCATTCCTGTACATTGGAAGCAACAAATGTGTGAGCTAAAATAAAATGATGGAAGAAGCAGGGTAAGTATATAGTATCTGAGGAAATAAATAGGTGAAAATAGGAAAAACAAAATAGGAACCTTTTCTATTTAACCAGCTGTGTGCTTTGACTTTTGCCAGATTTTTCCAATTTTCTCCACTTTCCTCTTTCTTCATTTTTACTATTTATACCTTAAGGGACACTTTAGTCACCAGAACAACTACAGCTTATTGTATTTGTTCTGGTGAGTATAATCATTCCCTTCAGACTTTTTGCAGTAAACACTGTCTTTTCAGAAAAAAAGGCAGTATTTTCATTACAGCCTCTAGGTACACCTCCACTGGCCACTCCTCATGTGGCTACTAGAGGTGCTTCCTGGGGCAGTGCTGCACAGTGTGCAGAACTTACATTCAGTGTCTCCATCACTGATCCTCATAGAGATGCATCTATGAGGAGATACTGTATGACCAGGGCTGGCTTTGCCCCTGATATGCCTTCTTGCCACTGTCAGCCAATCCTATGGGAAAGCATTGTTATTGACTCAGAGAATAACTTCTGATGATGTCAGACAAGCAGGCAGATCAAGAGCAGAGTCAGCAGCTGCAGGATTGAATAGAAGTAACATTTTACTATATTTAGGGTAACATGTTTGTGTTCCTGACCCTATAATGTTCCTTTAAAGCAGGCTTCCCCAGATTCCAGCCCTGCTGAACTACAATTAAAATGATTCTCGGCCTATCTATTTCATTCATAGAATCATGGGAGTTGTAGTTCAGCAACATCTGAAGGGCTGGAGTTTGAGGAAGCCTGCTTTAAAGGGCATAAATAACCACTTCTGCTTTTAGAAGTGGTCATGGTGATTCGAGTCTGTATGTGCAGCGTTTTCTGCACTCCCTCCCTCCTTCAAGTCCTCCCCGCCTCCCTTTACCCTGAATTAGATTTTTTTTTTTTTTTTAAATATTCACTCCCTCCCCTTTTTCCATCCTTGCTGGCTTATAGCACATTCGTACTCTCTGAGAATAATTTGATTGGACCTCTCAACAGCTCAATTGACGTCAGACAGGTAGTGTAGATCAGCAGTGGAAGCTTCACCCGCCGCCATATTTAAGGTGACTTATTGCTTCATTATATTATATGTTTTAAAGCTTCTGGGGGAAGGGGAGACCTAAAGAAATATAGAGCAGTATGAATAAAAAAAAAGAAAAAGAAAATAAATTATGGCAAAAAAATGGTTGGGGTAACCCTTTAAGAAACCAGCAAAACAATGCCAAAGAAAGGGGATTAATTAATTAAATATGTTACAAAGATTCCATTTTGCACTGTTACTGTAATTGCTATGTCAGGATGGTGGTCTAAATGCAGCCCCTTAAAGGACCACTATAGGCACCCAGACCACTTCAGCTTAATGAAGTGGTCTGGGTGCCAGGTCCAGCTAGGATTAACCCTTTTTTCTATAAACATAGCAGTTTCAAAGAAACTGCTATGTTTACATATGGGTTAATCCAGCCTCTAGTGGCTGTCTCATTGACAGCCGCTAGAGGGCTTCCGCACATCTCACTGTTTTTTTTCACAGTGAAAAGACGCCAGCGTCCATAGGAAAGCATTGAAAATGCTTTCCTATGGACTGACTGAATGCGCGCGTGGCTCATGCCGCGCATGCGCATTCAGCCGAGGAGGAGGAGAGTGCGAGGAGAGTCCCCCGCCCGGCGCTGGAAAAAGAGGTAAGTTTAACCCCTTCCACCCCCAAGAGCCCTGAGGGTGGGGGCACCTTCAGGGCACTATAGTGCCAGGAAAACGAGTATGTTTTCCTGGCACTATAGTGGTCCTTTAAGCATTAAATAAACCGTTTCTAATCTAAATATCAAATATAAATTAACATGTGCTGTATAATCCCATAAAATTTAACACAGTAAGGGTCAGTGTGTGCCATTGCTTTTGACAGTAAAATGGCTGCATGTGAATGTTGTGTCCTTACTTCTGCCTTTGAAATCGTTTAGTGCAAAGACCTCTGCTCATTCCCTATTAGATGCGGTTGGGTGATAATTTATAGTTGTGTTAACTCAGCATTTTGTGTGTGCAAGGTGGACAGAAACTGAAGTCAGTTGTAATTTATAAGTGACCTCTTATGTTTCTTGCTATAGGGAAAAGTGCCAGACATAATCTACAGGAGGGAGATAAGTTCTAAAATGTTTAGGTTTAGATTAGTTTGTTTCTTTAGTTTTTTGGTGGTTTATATTTATTTATAATCCTGAGGAAGTTTTTTGAGTGCAATTGAAAGTGTTATATACCATACACATTTATATTATAAAGGGACATACTTGAAAACGAGAGGAATCTCAATGTATCCATCCTGGTAAAATATTTTATAAATAAATAAATAAATATTGAAATGGAACATACCATAAAAATACCATGTTTATGTGGTGTCTGCGTGATTAGGAGTTTAGTTATGAGTGATACTGGTATAAGGAGCTCACAGATATTCTATGTGAAGGATATTTCTAAATAATATAAATCATCATAATTTTTCTAACATTAAAGTATCTTCCAAATTGTTTGGATTATGAGTTACACTCTAAGCACCATAACTACTGCAGCTTAATATAGTGGTTCTGGTGCAATTAAACTGTTCCTACAGTGTTTATATTGCTTCCTAAGGACACCTCTTGTTGTTGTCACTCAGACTGTCACTAGAGTCACTTTCTATTGCAGTCCTGCAATGTTTGTGGGACAAATGTTCAGCATCTTCGTGCTCTGCATGAAGAAACTGAACACTCCCTATAGAGATGCATTAAGCTAATGTATTGTGGGTAAGTAAAACTCTTTATTTTAAAGGACAGCCCATGCACCATAACCACTACAGCTTTGTGTTAGATGTTATGGTTATAGATTGCTATAGATGAAGTCTCCATTTTGTGAAACCATTTTAAAGTGGTTAGACAAAAAACACAGGAGGACTCCCCATCACCTTAACTTGACAAACTCTGCTGGAGATGTTGCAAAGAGGCAGAACCCTTCTTCATAATCTATCTAAATAATTGGGTGCTTGCTCTGCCCCCAATCCGTCTCCTTGGCTGACATCACCAGAATTAATGATCTCAGCTAATCACAATGCTTTCCAAAAGTACTAACCACCATCACAGGACAAAGCAAAAATGGTAGAGTAGCCCATATGTGTACCCTATAAAAAGGAAGGCTGTGAGGACATCTCCACTTAACATGGAACCATGCCTTTTGGTGAGTAGCTCAGCACACCTGTAGGAAATATGCAGGTCTAGTTGCACCCCCGGCACAAGTGACCTAGAATGGCCGGAACTCTGTAATTACATGCCAGCATGCACTGCGTACTGGCAATAGATGAAATGAGTTTGTAAGTAAAAGCCCTCTTAATTGGGCGCGCATGGCTCACATGCACACATTCCTACAATGTGCAACAATGTAACTCTCCTTCCTTAGTGACAGCCCCACCTTCATACAGCATCCTTTTATTAATCTGTCCTCTGCCTACCTATTATACCTGTGTCTCCCTCTAATTGCCAAGTTGTCCGCTCCCCGGGCCATCCCTTTGTGTGCCGTTCAGTGCTTCAGATAGGAAAGCATTGGATTCAAGCTGATTAGCGCATTTGCATTCCGGGCTATCTAATATTAATTTTATAACACAACAGGAGGCTTCCTATTTTGCATTAACTTTCTTTACTAACTCCATAGCAGCAAAGAAAAAACTGTTAAAGAAAGAACCAATCAGAGTAAATCAGAGAGTATATAAGTCCAAGCGTAGCCAATCATTTCCTCTTTTTTTGCTGCTCCATCACAAGTCAGGTCAGAGTACTGATTTCTTAATTGTGTTTTGTTATGCAGGATCTTTTGTATAGATTTACTGTATATTAATTTTTTGGTATCTAACATATGTTATATTGGGGGTGGCAGGGGAGCTTCAAGAGGGGCTATCCCTTCTCCCCTCAGTGGGGCTGATCTTTACATCTCATGTGGGTGTAAGGTTCAAGGAACGAGCTTCCCAGTATTATGATTATCCCTATTTAAGTGTCAACACGTATTGTGCTTAAGTTATCTGCTGAAGCTTTAGTACCCACCATTTGCTTCGTATTTGCAGAGACCCGCTGAGGCTACTGCGTTCCGTTTCCGACCACCTCCCTGTCTCCTCGAGTGGCTACGTTCGCCACCTTTCTCGTCTCCTTCCCGCTCTGTTCATATCATCAGCTATGCGAACTGACCGGGTTACATAGTGAATTTGTGCATTTCAACACGAAAGGACGCAGCCCTCCTGTTCGCGCTGGTAATTGAAAAAAGGCGCGAACAGAACAGGCAGTCGCGGTTCGTGTTTTTCTGCACGGACATTATCATACTGTTGCCAGGAGATTTGCACGAACGGACGGTTATCAAACTTAACAGGGAACCAGTCCGTTCGTTGGATTCCTCCACCAGGAGCGTTCGGCAGTTTAGTCTATAAGCGAACAGCCGTTCGTGGATTTTCAGCAGAATGCTTCAGCTATCACCATTTTTTCGCGGGCATTTTCTGACGCCCCAGGGTCTCTCGTGAGACCCGCGGCGGCCATTTTGTTGGCGAAGTATTTCTCGATGCCTCAACTAACCATGATTGCGAGCCGTGTTTCTCTTTTTTCCCAGAACTGGGCACAATTGTCCACGGACGCTTAGGTATTGCAGACGGTCAACGGATACCGAATCGAAGTACGAACACCCCCCATAAAGAGATTTCCTCCTTGTCCTTTATGCCTCTCAGCTCCGGACGCTCACCTCATAGATGTGGAGCTCCGCGAACTACACAAGAAGGGCGCTATACAACCCGTGCTCAAACGAGGAGGCTTCTTCAGCAATATGTTCCTCGTCCGCAAGAAAACCAGGGATTTCAGACCGGTGATCAATTTAAGAGACCTGAATGCTCATGTGTCACTTCAAAATGGAGGGGAGTATCGTTGCCTATTACAGGGGGATTGATTTAGAACATACATCTTATGGCTAAACGAGTGTAATCATTGGAAAATTAAGTATATACTCATAGACACTTTTTTCATACGGTCTGTCCCGTAGCACTGATACTAGTCTCTCTTTCTTTTCAGTTTAACAAGTCTTTAAGATAATGGAGAAAACTGAATTCCTTACGGAGTTTCCATGTTGGATTAAATTGGATCAAATGCATCGGACACGTTGTCATAACATGAACTTGTGATGTCGCAGTAGTCAAGAGGAAATGATTGGCTACGCTTGGACTTATATATACTCTGACTCACTCTGATTGGTTCTTTATTTCAACTGTTTTTTCTTTGTTGCTATGGAATTAGTAAAGAAAGTTAATGCAAAATACTCGCCTCCTGTCATTATTAAAATTAAGATTATTAGTACACTGCGCTAGCATAATCTTCAATTATGTGTGTATATCTATGCACAGATTCTTGTTCATTGACTCACAGTGATTATCTGACGCTTTCATCCAGTGAATGAGCATTAGGATTGCCATCCGACTTCTGCAGTTTTGCAGAAACTGGATGTTGTAAACCTGTGTGTGAAGAAAACCCAATCTATACCCTTTGCAAACCATTGCAAAAGGAGAATAATCATCCACAAGCAACTTATCTGAGTATTGATGTGAGCACCCATCAAATTGCAAATCAAAGATGACATAAAAAATAAAAAACAAAAATAATTTTGGCATTACCCGTTTTTTTGTGATCAGTCAGATGTTAGAATTCTTCTGTCGTGGGGGTTATTTATAAGTTTTCATGATATCAGTTTTTATTTGTCTGGTAGATGTCCTCTTTAACATGATATTACATTGCAGCAAACAATAAAGGTTTGTTCAAATTAGCACTTTATCAAGAGGTGTAAACAAGTATCAGTCAAAATGGAATAAAACTCATAAAGCCACTGATTTTTAAATCACAACAATAACTACGGAATTTGCTGGCTCTATTTAAATAATAATACAATAATAAAAATAATTAAAAAATATTAAAATAATTTATCACACCTTTAAATGCACTTCTACATTTACTAATTATTAAAATCCTAATCGAAAGATAATTTAAAGGAAAACTATAGGGTCAGGAATTAAAATCTATATTCCTGACTCTATACCTTTTAAAGCACTATTTAAGTTCCTAGCCCTTCTCTCCTTACTTGTAAAACTGATTTTACTCACCTTTTCTTTTCTAAAAAGGCAGTGTTTACATTAAAAGCTGCAGGGACATCCTATAGACAACAGAGCAACTACATTAAGCTGAAGTTGTTCTGGTGACTATAGTGTCACTTTAAAATAAAATAGAGTATATAGTCCGTTATTTTGACAGGTTGTATTTTTTAATATTAAAAACAAAAGTCAGAAATCAATGTAATCTTTCACTTTCCTTTTTGTTGATGGGGCCTTCTTCAAACAGACTACATAAACAGTTCATCAACAGGAGCAGGCACTTAAAGGGATAGGTAATAAAAAAAAAATACATATTTATTGTGAATCTGTGCACCCCAGAGGATTTATATATTTTTTTGTTTGTTAGAAATTGGCATTCAGTCCCATAATGTTTACATTTTCAAACTATTGATTTCACATTTGATAAACTATTAATTTCTTGTTTCTAAAAAAATTAAGAAATCTAATGTAAACTGTGAAACTGTGTGCAAGCTGGTTTGAGCAGAGTCCTCATCAACCTATTGGTCCTGTAACATTTTGCAATTGTCTCATTTATTGTTAAATCTCCCCCTTTATAGTATTTTAATTAGCTCCGGAATAAGTTGGTGCTATATAAACGCCAATAATAATAATAATAATAATAATAATAATAATCTGTAGAAGCAATGGCTATGTTTAAGAACCTTTGCCTTTCCCATGTTGCTCAGTCAGCTTAAACCACTTACAGGGCTATTTACCAAATTGTGAATCGTAGGGAATTCAATGTGAATTTCAAAATTTGAGGTCAAAATGTTTAATCAGATTTGTTTGGAGTTCAGCTCTAAAATTCTATATTGATTTTGAAGTCCTAATACTTCACACTTTGGTGAATAACCATGGCAGCATCTTGCTACTATCAGGTATGGAATGCACCCTGGACGTTTAGTCCATGATAGCATTTAGGGTCCAAAATTTAAGAAATCAATGAAATTGGGTATTGGTTCCAAAAATGGCTACTAATTATTTAGAAAAAAAAATCTGGTTATGGCTTGATGCCTTGAGATTATCCATTGTGAATGATCAGAAAGGTACTAATGAAATATCTTCTCATACATATATAGAATGGTCTACAAATGAACAATTAAAAGATATGTATAATACTTAAAGGGACAATTTAGGCACTATAATAACTTCATCCAAAGGAAATTGTTATTGTGCCAGGAAGCCCCCTGGCACATTCTTAACTTAAGGGGTTAAGCTGTGTTCGAAGGGTTTAACCCTTCCAACGCCGACCCTAATCTTAGTTTCAGGAAGTGTGGATTGGAGCCGCTTGAAAAAGATACATATTTTTTAAGATACAAATCACTGTTTAGTAGATATACCCCCAATTAATACATGCATGGAGCATGGATTGCCATGCATGTATTCATTGGAGGTATATCTTAAAAGAGCTTGCAAAGGCTGCAGTTCTTATGAACTGCAGCCTTAGCAAGCCCTTCCCTTTTTTTCCGGAAGATACTTGTAGTCTCTTCGCAGGAAACTAACCAATCAATGAGAAGCCTCTGAATTGGTGCACACAAACTGGCTGGTGCACACGCACACACAACTACATGTGCACACGCCGGCTCGTGCACGCGTGCACACATATACATGGGCGCGCACACATCTGGTCTGAAGTCAGTCTCTGAGGAGCTGGTGAGTGGAGAGGCAGGTACGCTCAAGTAGAGCGTGTCTGCAACTTTTGTTAGTTCAGGGGAGCTAACGGAAGGAGTCTGCAAACCTCCCTGGCTGTTTGACTCATTTTCTCATAGAGATCAACACTTTTATAAACTGGGGTTAAACTAACTACTCCTCACCCATAAAGCTGAAGTGCTTTTGGGGTGTGGAGTGGTCCTTTAAAAACGATAAAGTCATTATGGGGCACACATTGGTCAGTAAATAACTCCTACAGCTCTGATGTATTTCTCTGTTTCCATGCATTCATGAAGCCATATATTTTTTTAAAGCTGAGAGGACCAAATTGGCTGACTTCTTAATTTACATTGTTGAAAGAGGATCACAGACCAAAATTGACAACCAAGTTGTTAATTTTATTTAGACAAGAGCAGCTTAGTGGTAATTTTAACATGCAGCCACTTTGACCACATCTTACACATGAACTCCCCTTAAATTATTTTTTTTGTGAATAGTCTTGGTACGTTACATGTGATTTCAAAGATACATGCAAATTACCAGTTAGGGCTATTGCATCATTATTGCACATGAGGGATGGTGCGTAAACAAGGACAAACAGCATGTGTTATACCTCATACATTTTTACATAATTACATGTATTTGTTCTCATTAACAATACATTTATTTAATAATTATAATATAAAACAAAAATATAAACAATACTTTTATTGAGTATAGAAAATGTATGTCTTCCTCTTCTCCCCTCCCCCGTCTTCTTCATCTTCTCTTTTTTTTTAACGGTGCTTTTTCCTGACTTCTTCAATGCATGTATATATTTGTCAATGTACGTTGTTGAAATAATTTTGTATGCCACCATAACTGCAAAGCTCTTAACAAGAATTCTAGCTGTGAATAGGGTGTGGCTTAAACGTGACTCTATTTCTGTGTTACTGACATACATTTTGCAAATGAGATACAAGGGGAAAACTGTCCTGTCACCCACCATTTACCCTATACATTGTACTAGCAATGCATCTCGTCAGTAGCGCATTAAACGAACATCTCTATTCCATTTATTAATTAAAATACATGAAACAAAATAGAATAAAATAGAAGATCTGAAAGCATATAAAATAAGCTGCTAATATGGAAGAAGCATTAAGATGCATGCTGGGAGAATATGCTCTATGTACTAATGGTAGGTAATGTATGTGACTCTCTGTACAAAAATTGCTGGTAGACTATTTTAAATGATTTCAACACGATATACAGGAAAGTATTTTAACAGAAAATATAGTACATGCTTGGCAAACCCTAGGATCCTCGAAATAGCTCTGCACGCCTCTGATTTTTAAATTATAATAAAATATATAAACAGACTGGCTACTAATACTATTCTCTGGTGTTTTAAATTGACGCTAAGCACCATAACCACTATAAGTTATGGTATAAACAAGTTTTTCGGTACTGTTCACCATCCTCTGTTAAAACTTCTTCAAGCATTTTGAAAAACTGAGGCCTTACTGAAACCCAAAAACTGGCCACTCGATTGCTGAGACAATGTTCCGTTTTCACTTCTGCATTTATTATCAATAGATATCCAACCCTGGAAGTCAATTATGGACTTCCAGCATGAGGCTAACTTGCTTGCAGTTTTGCATTGCCATGTAAAGATTGCCTGCTTTGGGTGAATAAAGTGTAAGTGAAACTTTGGAATTATCTGAGCAGCAGCAGCAACAGATGGGCAAGGTTCTGGGTGTTGCTGTGCCGTGGATTTGGTCATGCCGCTTAAAAATGGTGTGATGGAAAACTAACAGCTCCCAAGCACTCCACTATAACTGTTACAAAAAAACTGTAGCAGTTATGGTGATTGAGGGTCCTTTTCATTTTATAAATATTTGTTTCCCCCTGATGTAGGGCCTTTATTAAGATTGATTGATGTAAAAATATTCCTAGGTGCTAGGTCTACTTTTGACATATGCAGTGCTCACACTATATTAGAACGGAAATAATTGTGAAATATTCATGATGAATGTTGAAGGCATTTGAAGATTGTATTTATAAATGGGAAACATTCTGTTATGTTTCCTTTTGTATCAAATTTCATAAATTATGAATTCTGTGTTTTAGTTTTCCTCCTACTTTTATTACATTTACATTTTTATCATAGTTGCAAAGAGCTGTTGTTGAAAGTACTACAAGCGGCATCTTGTTTGCATTAATTCAGTGTGGACAAATCTCTATATCCCTGGTGATAGATATTCATACTTCATGCAATTAAAACCCTGTCTACAATCTAGGTCTCTCTGTTGTTATGATCTCTTTGAGTGCTGTTGTGGCATACTCTGTGTCAGGGGACTGAGGAAAGATGATGCATCTGTTTATGCTTTGGCAAACTGTAGCTCACACATTCACCTCTGAATACATCTGGGCATATTGGAACTATGCCAAAACTCACTTTATTAGCCAAGTATTTTCCTTTTGTTACATGTTTTTCCCAGGGTGCATTACTAGTTTTTTTGTTTTTCTTGCAAAACATGTCAACGTTCATGCTACATGTAATGTTCTTAAATTTAGACATATGTGGATTACTTTTGTTTTCCATCTTGTTTGTTTTATGACCACAAGTGTCTGTGCATGCATATATCCTTCCTTATTTATTGTATATACACACATTTACTCATACACATAAAATCCTACAAACGAATTGTCTATTCTGAATGAGTTGTAACAATATGTAAAATTCAAGTTAAGATAGCAAGTATATAACAATTCTTGCAGGGAGATAATTTTTTTTTTCACATTTTAAAATAATACATAACTTTCCATTTAATTGCATATAAATTTAAAATCCAAACGCGATTACAATCCAATCTCAGAACGTTTCATGGATTGATTTGAAAGGACAGTTTTAGAACGATAAAAGGAATGAGAAAAAAAAAAGACATGGAAAAAATGCAAAGCATCTTTTTGCTTAGTAAAATGAATTTGGAATAATGTCTATTCTATGTGCACATCTTTATAGTATTTTGTTTTCATCTACATTTACTCATATAAAGGTGCAAAGTGGCACTCTGAGTATATTGATGAAATTGATTTTAATCTACTCCTACTTTAATTTTTTGTAAAACGATATTTTATTTATTTGCTTATTTGCTGATGGAATTCAGTGGTCAAGACAAGGAAGGGGAACAAGGTGCCTACAAACCTTTTATAGTACATGAGTGGGAAGTTGCGTGGGCCTGGACATTTACCCAGTTTGGAGTTTTTATGAGCCTGTTTAAGCTCCTCCTTTGTGATGGGTTCATTGAGAAGTGGAGTAGCCTCTGGGAGCAGCTTGTTGCTAAGATATTTATTCTGTATGCGGAGCAAATTAGGTCCCAACATAGGGGTTCAGGCAGGGTTAGATATTGAGTAAAAATTCAGCTGAATTGTCTCCACAATGTTACTGGGTAAATAGTGAAGTTGGCGGTTACCCATTTGGATTTTGTCAATGTATGTTACTGCCCTCTCTTTTTTTTTATCATACGGATTAAAAGTGGCCCACATTTATTAATGTGGGCAAAATATAGGGTCTTACTCTGCAGTAAGGACCGGTGATAGGAAGCACTGTGAAGTTTCGATAAGTCTCGTCTTAGGATCATGAGAGTTTGTTATTTGGTAGAGTCGTGTGTGCTTGTGTGTAGAATTGGGTCTCAGTATCTCTTGTTGGGGACATGTATATGTACCTCCCACAGGGTAAATGGGGTATTAAGTACTTTCACACTAATTGAGAGGAAGGTAAGGAGAGCCCTCATAATGGTAGGGGTTGACGACATGGTGGATTATTTGTGTAGTAGGGTAAATTATACCATGTTTCCTCTATCAGAGGGTTGAGTCTCTGTTAGGGGGCCACCATGTAGTGACTAAAAATCATTAGATTAGTAAACTGGTGTCTACTGGTTTAGTGAACCTATGAATTTGTACCAGGGTCAGTCAGAACCAATAAACTAAACAAATAAACAGTCAAATTTACAAAGTATATACAAGTTTTAAGATAACTCACCCAAAGGTGGGGGCATCTGAAGGAATCTATCTCGGAATCTATCAGACGGTGTCCCCAAGGCCGACACTCAATTACTTAACACACATTCCCTAATGGAGGTGATCAGTACAGCCCCTAAGGGGCCCAATAGCCAGGTGTTAAGTGGGTAACAGATTTGCGAGGACCGGAGGGTGGGTGAGGTCCAAGGAAGTCCAGTGTCAAAGAAATTAAAACCACTCTGATCCACTGAATTTCTTGAATAACCTTCCCAACCCCTGTCATCCTCAGGGCATGAGGTAGTAATAGTTTGCCCGAGTACCAAAAATCTTATTACAAAGAGTGAGCCTGCAACCTCAAACATGTCAAACACTGCACATATAGGATAAGACTAGGCAGGTTATCATGCACACAATATAGGAAGCCCTCCGGTGGGAACTCCTCCCACAACTTTGCAGGGAGCCTTAAGGAGCCGTGATTGGGCCTTAGCGATTCAGTGCAAAGGTGATCTTTTTTCTCATAGGGTCCCTGCTCTCAAAGTTCCCAGTCCCACACTGATGCAATTACAAGGATCAGCTTAGTGGTAGCCTGTGAAAACAGTGGGTGAAGAACAGTAATCAGGTCCCCCTGGTCCAAACCTTCCAAGGGCCCAAGGTGGGATCCTTCTGGTGTCATTCGCCTGAAATGACCAATATACCAGTGAGTTCAACAAAAAGGGGGAAGGATGGCCGGTAAGATAAAATAAACAGGGAGGGGGGATAAAACAAGGAAGTCCATTTACATACATTTCCTCTATTAGTGATCCCTGAAAAGGAGGTCAAGCCCGCCTTGTACTACCCTCGGTCAGTATAGGTATGGGTTTGAAGGATAACCCTGTGACTATGGCCCTGTGGTAAAGAAATGCTGTTTGTGAAGCAATGCGAAGTGGCACTTCGACCTACCGAAGCCATTCGAAGTGCCATTTGACCATGTGGCAGCGGATATTTTAAGCCACGAGTACAATGAGCTGTGTTTGGTCGTCGAGTTCATGGAGCTCAAATCGGACACTCGAAGGTGCGAACACCGCTAAAACTTTACCTTCCATTGATGTTCGGCTATTCGAACGGGAGTCGAACAGCGTTCGGTAAAAAGAACCTCTCGAACAAGAGCTATATAATGACTTTATCCACAAACGGCTACGTTCGGTATTTCGAACTTAACTTCGAATCACCGAAGTAGACCCGCCGTACAGCCTGATTCTCTGGAACTGTTTTGGGCATGGGACCATGGATGCGGTCGGTCAAAATATGACTTCCATAGAATTCTTGAACCCCTGAACTGATCTGGGGGATTTTTGGATATGTTGGTCACCCATATCAGGGCTATCAGGGGATTTAACAATTGTGGTGATATCATGTGCTTTTGGGGTACTTTTGGGGTTTTGTATATAAATATGTGTTTTTTCTGCCTAGATAATTGAATTGATACAGTATCTGACTCAGTTATCTCACAGGCAGAGGGGAGGAATTGTAAGTTTGTTATTGGAGTATCGTGTATTTAATCCCTATCCTTATTGGTCTGTGTCTTTGTGTTGGAGTCCCCAACAAGGTCCATATGGGCGTAACCCCTTGCATGGGGATTGTCATAAAAAGCCAGTGTGGCACCATTAAAATTCAGTTCCTGTTTACCCTCAACACAGAACCTCGTCCCGTGCTTGTAGAGGAAAGCGGATTGTTCTTTGGAGTGTTATAATCACTTGCTCTTTTAAGAGCTGTTCCTGCTTTACTCTACAGCATTCCTCTCAATAGGGGGAAAAGAACATCTCTGGCGGCGAGACCCTTCTTCTCATCTGGGAGGCTGCCACAATGGGTACTGGGTATTAATAACTTCTCTAGGTTTAGGAGCCCGCCGTCTGACAGATTCTAGACGATGGTGATGCCTTCCTAGTGGGGGAGTTGTGTTCCAGACTTTGGGCATGGAGAAACTGTAAAAGTAGTAAATATGGCCACTACATGCCAACTGTATGCTCAAGTAATAGTAAAATAAAGTATAAAGATCTGTGATACATATTCTCTAGGTATTTGGCAAGCACAATTTATAGACAAAATAATTACAAGTTTACAACGGGAGTCGATCATTTCAGAGAATATTTATGTTATTGAATTAGAAATCCTGAAGAGTCATCCAGTTATAGCTGTTTGTTTTAATCACTCCTTTACATCAAAGAGGTATAGAATAGTGTATTCTAGCTCTCTGAAAGAGAAATTGCATAATGCTTATTAAACTCCTTCAATCCTTTCATGGAGATAATGTATTAAAAAGCATGCAGGAACAATTAAAGATAAAAAGATACTCACCTATAAATTTCCTTCATTTGCTGGAAATCTGCAGCTGCTTCTCCAGGGACTAGGAAGTAGGTGGTTTACTCAACCCATTCTACTCCTCCCATTGTTTTCATTTGAGAATTGCACACATCCCGTAATCATAATCTCCATAACTTGACACTTGTATTTTAGCAAGAAAAGACATAAGGAAGGCTAATTGGAAAGTTATCAGAAGCCACAGAAATAATCTCTTATTTAAAGGGATCCTATAATGCCAGGAAAACAAAGCTGTTTTCCTGGCACTTTAGGTTTAATATGTCCCTCTCTCCCTCGTGCCCCCACTACCTGAATCCAGCACTGATGTCCCTCGCCGCTGGGTCAGGATCCGCCCACACTCCTCAACTCACCAACGTCAGCCGGCAGGGGAGACCTAATACGCATGCGCGGCAATGGCCACGCGTCCATTAGTCCTCCCCCTAGGAAAGCATTATGAGGACATCTAGTCTCAGATAACAGAAAAAAGCTCCGTTTAGATTCTGGAAGTGCCCCCAGTGGCTGTCTGGTAGACAGCCATTGAAAACAGACTGCAATGTAAAAATTGCAGTTCTTTGGAACTGCGATGTTTAACATTGCAGCACAAAGCGCAAAGGGACACAGCACCTAGACCTTCAATTAGCTGAAGTGGTCTGGGTGCCTACAGTGTCCCTTTAATCACTCTGGGTTCATAGACAAATATCTTCATCATCTCTCTGCCTACTTTAAGCAACCTGCCAAACATGGATTGCCTAAATGCTCCACATGGACTTCATTGCAATTATTAGGGACTGGCGTTGGGCATTTGACGGCTAGATAAGATCTTTTTAAATTAATAAATATATGCATGCACACATTATAGGTAGAATGTAAAATTAAGCTAAGCACACAATCTGCCTGAAAGATAAAATAAACTGAACTTAGACAAAGTAAACCAATTATTTTGTCCATCTTTGCAGTTCTGCCAATGCAATGTAGCTGTCAGTAACTAAAATTTGTAAAGAAAAGTTCCCTAGCTATTCTGTCTGCCTGTTTGATCTGCCACTGTGTTTACTGCAACCAGTTTATTTTTTTGTACATATTATGTGTACATAATAAACTTTAATATCAGAAGCCATGTGTATTTTTATCTATATATATAAAACTTTATTTTGTTTTTCTCTATAGAAATATAAAAAATAACTAGTGTCTAAAATCTCTAACTGTCCCTGATGAATATATATTGCAAGCATGATGTTACAGCAACTGGATAATTCAAAACATTAAAAAGTAAGCAATCAATCACATTGGCAAGAAGTTAACCATTACATATATAGACACACGTGTCTATACGTAAGCTTAAGTATATATTTTCAAGACACAGTCTCTGTAAAAGAACCCTACTATGCGCAGAAGGCTGCAGCGATGCTAACAATAGACTAAATCAGTGTATTTGTGTGACACAACCAAACAGGTGCTGGAAGAGTATATTTTCTAATTAATCTCATAAAAGTAGCGATAACATATGCTTTTCATTTTAATATGTGGCTTTGTTTTCAGGATAGTTTAACAAATGGATCTGTATGTCATCAATGAGGGAAAGGCATGAACTGCATTATATGCATTTCATTTATGTTAGTGATTATGTTTTTCCAGTGTTAAGATCCATTATGGCCTTGAATATCCATGAGTTAGGCACACAAGAAGAGTTACATTGAAGTAAAGTGAAAATTAACTCTCAAAATAGAGAAAATTAAAACAGTAAACACTCTTAGTGACATACTGCCACTGTCCAAAGGATCCCTGGTAGAGTCAGCTAACATGCTCTGGTTGTGCTTTTTAAGAATATAGTAATTATGGAAAAATGTTTTATGAAAATACATTTTTACATAAGTAAATAACATGAGTAGTAGCTGTTTTCAAAAACACCCTAATCTGAAATTAGCCTTATCCCTTTAAAAATTGACATGTACTCAAAAATAAAATTCAGCTCTATATTAAAACCTTTATAGTAGTGTTTTATCAACTTGAGTAGATTATTCCTTCTTGATTTTATGTATGATTTTAGTCACATGGTCACAACTGTTCTAATTTTTGCTGGTTGCAAAGTAACTCATTTGTTCTCTGTTGAGTATTGAAAAGGATTTAGTCATCTTTTTCTCGTCATTTAGTAACTCCCACTCTTTTTTAATGCTTTGGCCCTATAGAGTTGTCATATAACAATCTTTTTGTTTGGCAGAATAATGTGCTCATGTGTTGTGTCTTTGTACGTTTTAATTACCCAGCAAAAATAGAATTTTGACATCTACCCTTAGTTAGGGCATCATTAACATGCCAAGACACGATATCTCAATTTAATTCTATCGGCTGAAAACAATTGATAATTATCAACCTTTTTCAGCCAATTTTTTAATCGATTTTCCACTCTGTGGTTTTATTTCAAGCAACCAACCTGTTGATAGAGTCCGGCTGCTTGAATTTCGACTGGCATTCAATCCAGTTGAAATTCGATAAATAAATAAGAAATCAGGCGAAAAAGTGCATAATTATCAACCGTTTTCAGCTGATAAAATCACATTGAGGCAAATAAAAATAATAAGCAAATAAAATAATAAGCAAATAAAAATAATATGTTTTCTTGTTATTTTGTACTGTTTTGTCATTTTTGGAGAAAATGCATAGAAATAAAAAAAAAATAGACAAAAAAATCTAGCATATATCTAAAACTTTATACTTCTTTGATTTCAAATTGGGTGACATCATTCATAATAACATATTCCTCATCTTACCCCAGTTCAAACATGTGTATACTGAAATAATACTAAATGGTTTAATCATAGCATAATTGCACCAAATCCTGCCGTGATATTTTTTGTATATTAGGGGCAGCAGGGAGTTACTCCACTCCCCATGATACTTGCCCATCTGGTGTTATCAGGCACCACTGTCATTGCCTCATACCTGGTAACTAAACAGGTTATTTCAATATTTCTGTCTATCTGCTATTTGTGTGTTTGCTTATACATCTCCGTCTTGTTGTCTACCTACCAATATTATTAACATTAAAGAAATTATATGTGTAGGGCACTCAAATTAAAGAAATACATTTTTGGTGCCTGTGCCAAAGGACTACCAAGTAGTTGAATAAATGAAAACCTCAGTACCTAGAAAAAACTGATATAATGGTGGTTTATTCAGCCATCAACAAAAAAAAAGTGTTTTGACACAAGTGTCTTTATCAAGCACCCTCATTATAAATAGGCAAACCAATTTCTAACAGTTTTGTTTTTTTACCTGTGACCCATAGGGCATCTCTTCTTGTTCCATCCCATTTGGTTGTGATAGCCTGTTAGGAGCTTTTAATCTCTATTTGGAGCCTAGCGTTGCAGTGCAGGGCAAGCTCATTGACTAAGAGTGTCAACGATTGCTTTCAGTGAGCTAATAATACCTGCACAGCTGAGGGTTTCCAGTTCATTGAAGACAAATGGTGGACCCCAGGTAAGAATTCTAACCATTCTAACACAGTTGATTTCTTACATTGGGGGGGCATTCCTGACACCATATTTTGTGCATCGTAGTTGTAATGGTACTTGGAGTGTTGATTTTGACATACTGAAAAACATAACCTTTTACTAGGCGAGTGAATCATTTTGCCACTATAGATGTTTACGAACAATGTTTATGCCACAATATCCAGCTGTGCTATAAAAGAAATCTAGTTCAGTTCACAAACACCTGCCTCTGCTGATTTAGTATATACAGGTCCTACGCCATTATAAGTCTAAAAATAAATATATATATATATATATATATATATATATGTGTATATATATATATATATATATTGTAAAACATATTGTACAGCGCTACGGAGTCTAATGGCGCTATATAAATAATAAAATAATAATAATAATAATATATATGTATACTGATCAGCCACTGATCAGCCATTAAAACCACTGAAGTGAAATATATTGATTATATTGTTACAATGGCACCTGTCAAGGGGGTGGGATATATTACAGACAGTAACAGTCAGTTCTTGAATTTCATGTGTTGGAAGCAGGAAAAAATAGTCTGAGTGACTTTAATAAGGGTCAAATAGTGATGGCTAGACGACTGGGTCAGAGCCTCTCCAAAACGGAAAGTCTTGTGGGATTTTCCCAGTATGCAGTGATTAGTACCTACTGTCTGGGTCATGGAGGCCAGTCTTTCTGGTCCGCTATAGTAGCTCAAATGCTGAAAAATGTAATGCACACCTTGATAGAAAGTTGGTAAGTTATCGGCTATCGGCCTGAAAGTTTACAGATTATCGGTATCGGCTCTAAAAAATCAATATCGGTCGATCCCTATAATATATATATATATATATGCCTTAACACCTGCCTAATATTGTGTAATTCCCCCTTGTGCTGCCAAATTAACTCTGATATGTTATGACATAGACTCCACAAGACCTCTGAACGTGTACCCAAGGTTTGCCAGCATAACACAGACTCTGCCGGCCTGCCTTCTTCCCATAATGTATACTGTTGCTTTCTCATCCCCGGCCATGCACCTGATTTATAAGAAAATGTGGTTCACCAGACCAGGCAACCTTTTTCCATAGCTCCATGGTTCAGTTCTGATGCTCACGTCCCCATTGAAGGCGCTTTTGACCGTAGACAGATTTAATCATTGGGACCCTGACCGGTCAATACATTGTTAGACACTGATCTGTATACCAGTCAAGCCAAAAGACTTTCTTTTCCAACAGAAATCTCAAATTAGCATTGAGGTTACTACAGCAAGGGATTCTGGGTGTGCATTTGCAAGTTTGCAAGTTAATTGAATAAAGAATATATATATATATATATATATATATATATATATATATATATATATACACACACATACACACACACGTAAAAATAGAACTCTGGACTGGGTAGGAGCCAACTTTGGACCAATTGGGCTATTAATTATATTAATTATTGATATATTTTTAGACTGTTTTTATTTTTACAACTAAATTACATTTCTCACCAGTTATAGTCAACAGAACATTTTGGCTGTAGTTGGATTCATCAATTGCATTTTTGTTTCTCAAAATTGTAGTAATATATTAAAGGGAAAAGTGTGGTAGATGTTATTAAAGAGTCGCACATTAATGTTAGGTGACATCTGCTTTCTATGGGATTTGGTATTGAGTAAACAGTTAAAGGACAGCAGGCTTTTACTAAGATGATTTATTAAAGCTCATTAAATTTATTGTTGAATACACTGGTGACCTAATTCCAAGAGGTGACTTAAAATGTCTATATAAAAATGTAACATTATTTGTTGTCTTTGCTTTTGGGTGCCACAACATATGTTATGAAAAGCTGTTGTCTTTTTTGCCTTTCTTTTTGTTATTGTAATCAATACATTTGTAATCACTTTGATTGTATGTTTATCTAAACTGGGGTAATTTTATATCTGAATCTTTTGTTGCATATTTTTTTTTGACTTTTTAAAATCAGCTGTTTAAGTTTTTGAAATGTAATTAGTAGTGAATCAATATATCAAAATATATGATTCTTGCTTTTTAATATGTAATATATGACTATAGGATTATTTGAAAATCTTTGCATTGCTTTTGAGATTTAAAAACAATATTAATATTCAAGTTATTAAAGTGGCTCTGTCACCTCAAACTCACGTCTCCTATTGTTTCCTCTTCTCTTCCGGTTTCAAAATCTGTTATTTTTTTGATTTCTGATCAGTAGGGACTAATTTGTGTTATATATTTTCCTACACTTGGCAATCTTGACAAAGGGTGAAGCTTAAGGCAAACTTAACCCTTCGTTAGCTTGACAAAGTAAGTGGAGCTTGCCTTACGCTCCACCCTTTTGTCACATAAATCAGGTGTAAGAAAAATACATAAGACAAATTAGTCCCTACTTTGTATAGTATATACTATATAATATGCATATATGATATTGCATTGTTAGTTTATAATTTGTATCTATCTAACGTATCTTTTCCACACACGTTACTTTAACATCAAAAATTTAAAGGGTCTCTTTTACTTCTGAGTATTTAATAAATATCTTTATGAAATATTTATGCTTACTGCATTGGAATGTCATTGAAATTCCAACGCAATCCAAAGATACCATACAACAAAGGAAGGACTACTTTGTGTTGTGTTAAAGCCTGAGGGTGACAAAAGGCAGAGCTTCATTGTCAGTTTTTGTCCTATCCCAACATCTACCACAAGTGACGGCAGTGGGATGCAGGTAGCTTCTTGCTAATTGAGACATGATTTATGCAGGCTCCTGTGGTCTTGCAGTAGACCTTAGTGTTCAGATTACGCTTAAGGGGATACAACATACTCCTAAAGTACTTTAACTTGCTAAAGTACTTTTTGTGTAAAAAGTGTAGATTTCAATAGAAATTGGTACTTTTAGAAATTAGCCTTGGTACACCCTCTGGCTGTCAATCAGACAACTATCCTGTTACTTCCTGGTTGTTTTGCTCAGTTGTGCTAAACTCAAGAGGCAGACAATTGGCCAGAGCACCTGCAAAGACTTCTTATTGAGCTGCAATGGGAAGTCTGGTCTGGGAAAGAAGGGGAGGACTTGCAAAGGCTGAAGAGAAAAAAATCTGCAGCTTTTGCAAGCTGTTAGTAGATTTACACACAATGAAAAAAAAATCATAATCAAATGCATGTATTTTTTCATTGAGGGTATAGCTACTAAACAGTGAGTCTTTTTTTGTTTTTGGCATTTTGGCAGTGGAGTGTCTGAAAAGTGACAGATCTGCTTAAAAAACATACTGTTAGTTATTATTTGCCTCTTTAATTTTTCCTTCTTTTAAGAAGCTGTTTAATACGCTAATTTTATTAGATGTACATCATATCTAGTAATAGGTAGTACTATGTTTTGCCTTCAGGACAGCCTGTACTAATTTCAATATGGATTCAAAAAGGCACTAAAATACCATATATACTCAAGTATAAGTCTAGTTTTTCAGCACATTATTTGTGCTGGAAAACCCCGACTCAACTTATACTCGAGTCAGTGTCTGTATTATGGCAACTTACATTTCCATAATACAGACCAGGACCGCCGGGCTCATAACAAGCCCGGCGGTCCTGTTGGGGGCTGGCAGAGAGCTGTTACTTACCTTTCCTGTAGCTCCTGTCAGCTCCCTTCTCCTCCACTGTAAGTCTCGCGGTGTGACTGCCGTGCGGAGCGTTGCCACGGCTCTGACCCCCGGCTCTCGCGAGACTTACAGTGGAGCTGACCGGACCAGAGGAGAAGGGAGCTGACAGGAGCTGCAGGAAAGGTAAGTAACAGCTCTCTGCCAGCCCCCCTCCTACACAGCCCATCCACTGGACCACCAGGGAATGAGAGCCCCCCTCCCTGGCCAGCTAACAAGCAGGGAGAGGGGACAAAAATAAAAATTAAATACTAAAAAAATTATATTACAATAAAAAAATGTAAATATTAAAATTAAAAAAGTAAATAATAAAATACTAAAATAAAAAAATTTAAAATAATAAAAATGCCCTCCCCCACCCAGTTCAGTATATACACACACACTGCATTATATACACACACACAAACACACACACTCTGCATTATACACACACTCATACAAACACACACACAAACACACACACTCTGCATTATATAATGCAGAGTGTGTGTTTGTATGAGTGTGTCCGTATATAATGCAGAGTGTGTGTTTGTATGAGTGTGTGTGTGTGTATAATACAGATTGTTTGTATGAGTGTGTGTATAATGCAGTGTGTGTTTGTATGAGTGTGTATATAATGCAGTGTGTTTTTGTATGAGTGTGTGTGTATAATGCAGATTGTTTGTATGAGTGTGTATAATGCAGAGTGTGTGTGTGTGTATAATGCAGTGTGTGTATGAGTGTGTGTGTATAATGCAGTGTGTGTATAATGTGTGTATGAGTGTGTTTGTGTGTGTATAATGCAGAGTGTGTGTATGAGTGTGTGTGTGTTTGTATAAGTGTGTGTGTATATAATGCAGTGTGTGTGTTTGTATGAGTGTGTGTGTATATAATTATAAAAATCACAGAATTTCATAGCCCCAAGTTTTACCCTCGACTTATTCACGAGGCATAGCATATTTCACAATTGTTGGTCACAAAACTGCACTCGACTTATACATGAGATCGACTTATACACGAGTATATACGGTATATCCCAAGATCTCTGTTCCAACTGTTCTACATATTTTCTGCCTTAAATGCAAGTGTGTAATTTCCATTCAGACTCAACCAAATGGTAACCATTTAATAGATATATGGGAGCTTGGTCTGATTCCATGTCTGAGTGTGTCATTCAAATTCTGCCTGCACTGTTGACGCACAGGGTATGAATGCATGGGTTAATTTAGTGCACAACAATTTCAGAACAGTTTCATTAGAAATCAAGATTTTCCAAATCAAACATTAATTAGCTGGATTTTGGTGACCATGTGCCAAGTGTATCCTTATCTTTAGCTGACGGTAGTGATATTTTACAGATAAAACTCATCCAGTTCATGGTTCAACATACTCAGGACGACCATATCCGCTATGTTTTCAGAGACACGTATCATTTTGTATAAAGGATATTCTTCAGGATTCTTCATTGCCTAATTATTTAATCTTATACACCTTTTTCTGTATTCTACATACTACAGGGCTACAGCTTTCTATGTGCTTCACATCAATATGTATATGTATACGTGATATGTGTCCCTGAACACGCTGTACATTCAGAATTGCCTTTTATACCGCACTATTTTATATGGTGGTAAATAGTGTTTTTTAAGATATAGATAATCACCCCCACATTTTTGGCTGTAAGAGCATTACGCAGTCCACAACATCTGGAGTGATGAAGGTTGCCTTACCCCTGTTGTAGACAATGTCTACAAGGTTTATATTTTGACTTGCAGACACTTGATTTACTGCTTGACTGTTTGCTTTAAAGGGATACTATAGTGCTAGGAATACTCCTTCCCTGCCAATAAAGGGTTAAAAACCCTTTATTTACTTACCCAAACCGAGGGACACCGGCGATGGTCGGTGCTCCACCTCCTAAGATGTCACTCGATTTCGGGGGGTGGGGGGTGATAATACGTGCATTAGACCCTCACCATAGGAAAGCATTGCTGCAATGCTTTCATATGAGGATTTAACTAAAGCTGGAAGTCCTCACGCATAGCATGAGGACATCCACTTCAGTTAGGCGACCTAAAGTCGCCTAGCAAGCAGGAAGCACCTTTAGTGGCTGTCTAGTAGTGCTTCAATGTAAACATTGCAGTTTCTCTAAAAACAGAGTGATCTACATTACAGGATTAAGAGCAATAAGGACAGTACCCAGACCTCTTCAATGAGATGAAGTGGTCTGGGTGCCTACAGTGTCCCTTTAAGGAGCTGGTCTATTATTATTTATTCATCTAGAATGACAAAAATATATATTTTTTATTAGTAGTTATACTTTGAAATCCAGGAAAGAAAATCATGAAAAAGGTTGGTGTGTGCTGCAAAAACTGTAATGTATGTTTTGTCAAAAGACATGATACCTAGGTTTCTGACATCAGGCCCCAGCTGTTTTCCATAATAGAAATCTAAAAGTCAGTTAACATCCTCTAAAATATGACACACACAGCTTTCAAAGCCATTAGTCTGTGCATTTATACCGTCCTGTGTTCATCTGACAAGAGAACTTCTAATAGTGTTGGAGCCAAGTTGTCATAGAAACCAATCAAATGATGTATTTTATGATGCTTTCAAAATTATGTTGATAAGTATGTTAAAAATATCTCAGGCCAGGTGCTATGGCTAAATTTGCCATTTGTGTATATTTATCTAAAACATTTCAGAGATTGTGTGGGAGTAAACTGTAAGCAGAGATAAAAAATAATCTTTTACATTTAAAAATAATGAATTGAACGTTTTTTTCTTTCTGTCGCCTACATAACATTGTTGTTTTTTGTGCATTTGTTTTTCTAAACACATGCCAGGGCCACCATGATAGGAAGAGAGATTAATTTCTATATGCATTTTTCTCAGAATTGGCAATCTATGCATTAAAGCTGCTTTGGACTATTATTTCTGGAGGTTTTATGCTATGACAGTAGGTGACACACGCCTATATATCCATGAGAAATCCATGAGAAATAAGCATGTGGTAATACTAGGCGTGCTAAGTTAGATGTTTGTTTATTGTTTATTAACATGGATCTAAATATGGTTATGTTATTTTAGCTATTTTAATTGATCTGTTTTATTTTAAAATCATGTAAAATAAAAAACCCAGTTGAGTAATAATTGTGCTTCCTTTTAGAATGTTACAGATTGTTACTTGCCGACATTAACTTATAGGGACACACCTATAATGGCAGTCTGGTTTCCTTGGCTATAGCTGCATCACACATCCCAAAATAATCATCTTGGATCATCTGCTAGTGATTGGATGAAGCACAATATGTATTATAGTGCAGGGGTCGCCAACCCCCAGGCCATGGACCGGCGCCGGTCTGCAAGAATTTATTGCCGGTCCACGAAAGCTTTCACCCGACAATACTGTAAGATATTTCCCCAGTGCTATGATCTTATGATCATAGCACCGGGAAATGTGCCTCCCTCTCCCCTGCTGGCTCTGCAGGACCAGTGGGGAGATCAGAAATCTCCCTTTCCAGCCCACTCGCAGTGTACTGCTGGCAGCCAGCAGGGGAGGGAGAGAGGACCTGGGGCAGCTCTAACCTGCAGCTCCGCAGGGTTCTCCTCTGGCGAGCTCGGAGCGCTGCCGTGATTACCACGGCAACGCTCCGAATCTCGTGAGAGTGAACTCTAGCAGCTCCTGAGTTCACTCTCACCACTGGGACCACCAGGGTTTCCCCACCGGACCACCAGGGATTGCAGGAAATGTCCCCCCTCCCAGGCAAAGGTATTTGCAAATTAAAAAAAATATATGTATATTTACTAATCTACCCTCCAACCCACAGACCCACAATCATTTTCCCTTATACACACACACTGCCCCCATACACACACTTCTCCCTACTCACACACACTGACCCCCCATAAACACACAATGCCCCCCTACACACACTGCCTCCCATACACACACACTGCCCCCATACACACACACACACACACACACACACACACACATACAAACTGCATCCCTCACACATACCATTGGGTCTTATTTCTGGCTGACGCTGGTCCGGGAAATATTTCTCCTCTTTTCATCGGTCCCCGGCTGCTAAAAGGTTGGAGAACACTGTTATAGTGCTAATGTATCCCTACAGTGTAAATAGTAGAAAAAGGTAAAATCTTTAAGCTTTTGGATTTGTCCACTAAACTATGAATTGGGTAGCAGTGCGTTGAAAACCACATTTGCATAATTGAATCAAACTAAACTGATCCTTGATGCTTTTTATGGTTACTATGTGGTTACTATGTAGCCCATGCGAATAGACATGCATACTATAATAGATTTTAGAAGAAAATTTGCATTAACAGAAAAACGTAAGCAAAAAGTTTCTGTATGTAGAAAATAAACATAAACTAAACGTTAAAGGACCACTATAGTGCCAGGAAAATATACTCGTTTTCCTGGCACTATAGTGCCCTGAGGGTGCCCCCACCCTCAGGATACCCTTCCCGCCGGGCTCTGGGGGGAGGAAGGGATTAAACTTACCTCTTTCTCCAGCGCCGGGCGGGGAGCTCTCCTCCTCCTCTCCTCCCTCTTCTCCTCCTGTTTGGCTGAATGCGCATGTGCGGCAGGAGCCGCGCGCGCATTCAGCCAGTCCATAGGAAAGAATTCACAATGAGAAGCACGCAAGCGCCTCTAGCGGCTGTCAAGAGACAGCCACTGGAGGCTGGATTTACCCTAATATAAACATAGCAGTTTCTCTATGGGAGGGTCTGGGAGGGAGGGTCTGCTGCTGATTGGCTGGAATGTCACTGCTGACTGGAGTCCGCGGCGAACCGTTCGCGAACCATTCGGGACATCACCATATATATATATATATATATATATATATATATATATATATATATATAGTGTAAAATGACATATATATGTATATGTCTAGAATATACTATGTGCAGTTTTCAGTTTCTGCTTCAATATAGTCTGCATTATTGTTTTCCCATGTGTGGTTAGTTTAAAGTTTGGAACAGTGTGGTCTGTAGAAAGGTTGAATGTTTGGCATTGATGATTGCTTCTTAAAATAGATGGTCGGGTGATTAAGTGAGAGGTCTCTTAGGGTAATAAGCAGGCAAATGTTTTTTTTATTATGACATATGGTATACTGGAAGATTCTATACTTTTATTTGAGCTTAATACATCATGTTCCAGGTTTATTATTTCATCCCCCCCAACCCCCCAAGAAAAAAAATATAACAATAACAAATGTCAGAAAATTACCAAACACCAGTTATTGAGTTTGTTTTTGATCTCAGGGATATTTAGTAATGAGTCATATGTTAATGACCTTGGTATCAGGTTGTGACAGCTGGATCTTCCCCATTAAAACTAAGCAACAGCCTGCTCAGTTTTATTTATTGCCAGATTCTTAAATCGACTTTTTATTTTACATTAATTACAAAGAAAGTAACCTTAACCTTTTAGTCTACGTTTTAAAGTGGTTTCTGGTTACAACTCCCCCTCCTAATTTTTATGGTTTTATTGTAGCAGCTCTTTATATAAATCTCGATCTTCTTGTGTTCTGCAAGGTTCTCCATTGATATCTGGTTTGAGCAGTTCAGTCCTTAGGTTACTGTATGATAATTTCCTCTTATTTAAACAAGAAAAACAATATGTACCAATAAAACTTACCTAATATTTCTTCTTGTGCTTGGGTTTAGTATAAAGCTGTTTAAAATACCTCCTGTAATGATTTAGTTTAAGAGTTACTAAACATTATTTTACATTGGCTCCTTTAGAGGGGGAGTATATGCACTACTAGGGATTGACCGATTATCGGTGTGACCAACATCTGCCTATATTCTGCAATTTGGCAATAGTCGGTGTCAGTTTAAATGGTACCATAATTGCTAAGGGGGGTGGGGGAGAGGGTGGACACTTACGTTTTAGATGGGGAGACTGGGACACAGCACATGCCATCTCCTGTTTCTGGCAGATGTAAAAAATAAAGGATGTAAAAATAAAGTCTGCTTAAAACTACAGTAGTTTAGTTTTCTCCATATTGTTTCTTTAGATTTTTAATGGACAGGAATCAGCCAAAACGGTTGGAGGCACGCCTAAGAGAAGCACTGAAAGAGCAGATTGAGGACTTGAAAACAGTGAGCACCTTTTGGGATTCTTTATCAAATGACAAGAGACTTCATATTATGCTTAAAGGGACACTGTAGGCACCCAGTCCACTTGAGCTCATTGAAGTGGTCTGGGTGCAATGTCTCTGTCCCACTTAGTCCTGCAGTGTAAAACGTTTGCATTGTTTACATTGCCGTAATAAGACAGCTTCTAGTGGCTGTCACCCAGACAGCAACTAGAGGCGCTTCCAGGAGCTTACCTGACTCTGGGTCCCAAGAATGACACTGGACATACACTCTGCATAAGGACATTCAGCGTCAGTATAATGTGGTGACGTTGGAAGAGGCGGAGCTCTTTTTTTTTAACCATTTATCTGCTACAGGGAGGATCAGAGGGCACTATAGTGCAGTGTGTGTGAGGGGTTCAGTGTATGTGAAGGATGCAGTGTGTGTGGGGGCACAGCATGTGTGAGGAGTTCAGCGTGTGTGAAGGGTGCAGTGTGTGAGGGGTTCAGTGTGTGTGTGGGGGCACAGCATGTGTGAGGGGTTCAGCGTGTGTGAAGGGTGCAGTGTGTGTGAGGGGTGCATATTGTGTGGTGGGGTGACGCAAGCAAATTTTTTTTTTTTGGTATTAGTTATTAATGTTTATTGTTATTATTTATTTAGATGTATGCCTCTTTCCCTTCTTCTTTTTTACAGGGAGGGGGGACACTGCAAACGCTGGTGGTCCAGTGGGGGTGAGTAATTCTAGCCTGCAGCTCCTCTGGCTGCAGGCAGAGTTAATTCCTCTTGCAAGCTCCTCGGAGCCTTGCCTTGGTAACAGCAGCAATGCTCAGAAATGCCTGCTCGCAAGAGGAATAGATTCTGCCGGCACCTTCTCTCCCCTCGCTTTGCTGGATTGAAGGGCCTGTGAGGGAGATCTTTGATCTCCCCACCGGCCCTAAAGGGTACACAGCAAGGCTGTCTCTGCATGGGCTGGCAGAGGAGATCAAAGGAGCTCCTCTATCAGCTTCGGCCCATGGCAATTCAGCCCAGCGGGCGTTTGCCTGGCTTGCCCAATGGCCAGCCCGGGCCAGTTCATTACCATTAGTTATAGAATGTTTGCAGACTTAGCTGCAGACTATATACTGTATTATAGTGTAAGAGATTACTCTAAAATATAATTGTTACCTGCTTGCCAATGAAATCCCGGCCAGGTCGCTGTCTTAGACATAACTAGTTTTGCAGATATGCAAGAGAGCCAGATGTTAGCCCTTTATTGTTTAAGTATAGGAAGGAGAGAAACTGAATTAGCTAAATGTAAGCAGGTATTCATGCACCATATTCCACGAATGTTTCTGTATCTGGATGGTAAAAGGGTCGAAAAGGTTGTGGATGGTAAAAGAGCCTTATTTTAATAATAAATGCAAGCCCAAACAGTATTACTGAGCATTATTTACGACACTCATGCACCAGTGTAAGACAAAGGTTTAAGAATTATACCGCAGTCCCAGGGGATTCATTAAACACGAAAAACCTCCCATGATATTTGTCAAAACAGATGCAGGTTACAAAGGTATTTTCTCAAGATGAGAAGCTGTTTAAAAAAAGTACAAGTGAGAGGCAAACATTTTTTACAGCCCATCGAGAGAAAAAAAGTAGCATTTTCACACCTTAATTCTTAGAGGTCATACAGTAATATGAATTATTTAAATGTGAAGACAGAGCATATGAAGTAATTTGTGAACTTATGCCGCTAGTAGGAAAAATAAGTGTCCGGAACAACTCAAGAGTTGTGTTCAAAATGCATTTCTGGGGCAAAGCTTTAAAAATGGAACAATCAGCAGTAACATTCAATAGATTGCTCTTGATACATAAACTAGAGCAGGGGTAGGCAACCTTTTAGCAGCACTGTGCCGATATAGGATTGTGATGTCCCGTAACGTGCCGGTACTATTTTTTAAAATTGAGGTGTGTATGCTGCCGTATTCTGCTTGTGTTATTTATACTGTAATTGCTTTGTATCTTTGTATTTGTGCGTATATGAGCTATTATATTGTATATGTTCAGGAGTAGTTTGTGGTATCCTGTATGATACACATGAATGTGGGCAGTGTATGGGGGCTGCTTGTGGAATTGTGTGTGGATGGATATGTCACATTGTGTGTTTGGTAGTGTATGTATGTGTGGGACTGTTTGGGGTATTGCATGTGAGAGGCTGTATGTGGTGTTGTGTGCATGTATGTGGATTGTTAGCGGGTTATGTTTGTGCGGATTGTGTGTATGTTTGTGTGTGGGCTGTCTGTATTATTTGTATGAGGGGAGGGTTATTGTGCATTTCTGTGTAAATCTAGCAGTGTGGGTGGCTTCCCTGGGTTCCAGTGGAGACCAGGCTGGCCAGGTACAGATGAAGGACAGGAGCTGCAATATCCGCTGTGGGCTGCTCTACCACAGTGTGGATTCCCATTCACAAGTGCTGGGAGGAAGTGACCTGAGATCATTTACGCTATGTACTGCAATGCATAAATTGAGGGTTGTCTTTCACCACCTTTTTGTATTAGCATATATCTGAAGTTTCACTGGGACTCCTGATAGGACAGAGCCTGTTTGGCTCTAGCATCCTTGAGTGCCGTGCAAAGACACTTTGAGTGCCGCGGGTTGCCTACCCCTGACCTAGAGGTATATTACAATAAACCTCTATTATAATTATAAAAATTATAAAAAAAATTCTAGATTTTAGAGTAATTTTTAGAATCTAGAGAAATTTATCAAATCGATCGCAATGCATACATTGCTGCCAGTAATCACATCAAAATCCAAAACATTTTCATATTGAAACCAGGCCTAACTTTTGATTTCCTCGGTAATCTCATTTTATTCCTTCATACACCAGTAACGTAAAGTTAGAAATTGTTAAATATGTTTTCGATTGGCTGTTTTATAGTCTGGTTTGCATCCTTATTTATCCTTTAATTGGACTAATTGATTAAATGGTTACACTATTCCCTTTTTAGTGAATAATTTATATTAATATAGTATGCCCTATTGGGCATTGCCCCCAGTTAAAAAGTTACAAATATAAAATAAATATATCTGGAATCCATCACTGAGAAAGCTCCACACGCTGGTTTCCACACGATGTCTGATGTCACTGCCTCCCTTGCGTGGTCCAGTCAAATGCTTCTCATAGAGAATCCTATGATTGGACTGTTTCAATAGCTCAGAGCGCATGTGCATGCTGTTAGCCAGAGAGGGGAGGGAGAGATACTATAAAATATATATTAATGTTACTGGAGGGAGGCGGGGAGGGAGTGAACAGAGAAGGGGAGATGTAGGTTTCTCCTTGCATTGCCAGCAAGGGGGAAAGCAGAGAACATCTGCCGACAAACGTAAATTTTTTCACAGAATTGACAATAGGCAGCCCGGCACAGAGTTCCAGGCAGTGTCCCGGGTGTCCAACTAGCCACTAGCACAAAAGTGCAAATATTTCTGGATGTGCAACATTTCAGAAATGCTGCACATACAGATCCTTAACAGCATGACCACTTCTAAAAGCAGAAGTGGTCATGGTGATTGTTTGTCTAAAAGCTCCCAGACCACTTCACTACTAAATACTTCTAACCCTGCACAGGCTTTCTGTGGCTGTTCAATCACAGATTCCCCAATGCAACTGAAAGAGAAGCCTTTGCAAGGCAGGTGCTCTGGGCAATTGCTGTCTCTTGAGTTCACCTCCACTGAGCTAACCCAAACCAGGAAGAAACAGGACCTGGTGTCTGCTTGAAAGCCAGAGGGGTGTAACCAGTTTAAAAGTGTACATTAAAATCTGTATTTTTGCAAAATGGAAAAAAGGACACACTCTTCACCCATAAAGCATTTCGGCAAGCTAAAGTGCTTCAGGGGTCCAGAGTGTCTGTTTAACTCCCACTTTTGCTCTTAGTGAAGCCTATCACTATTTGCTATTTCAGCTACATCTTTATATGTCTCATTAAACAGACCTTTTGAGTCAGAAAAATACAACACTCACCTAGTACATGCCAATACTATGTATACTAGATAACAGGCATTGCTTTATAGGGATAGTGTATTTTTATGTATCATTTCTCACAAAGACGCCAAAGAAATGATAAAAAATCATCAAAAGGTTTATCGTATTAATTTTACCTTTCTAAAACAATGGATATAGACTGTTGTTATTAAAACCATTGCTTTATATTTCTTATAATTCCTGTCTTTTGAGAACCTATTTAGCTACTCAGATAAATTGAATATTTTGTTGATTATAAATAAATAAAAATAAAAAAATATATAAATATATATATGTGTGTGTTTGCACTATGTATAGGCTGACACTGATCTTTGCGTACTTTTGCTTTTTTCAGTTAAGTAAAGTTAATCAACTTTTGTTTAACCAACAGCTAACTACATTATGTATCTAAGTTGTGAAAGATTAGATTGCCTTGATAACACGTTGTATTATATCTCTTATGTGGAAAACTGAGAATATAACTATACAGTCCACATTGCTATTCTGTATAGGTGTGTAGAATTCAAAAATATAGCACTTACGGTATGTGGTGTTTTCAAGTCTTAGAAATGAAAGAGTGAGCAACGTATTGATATTTTAGAACATAAACACTGATTTTCCATCATCTTTAGCAACTTGGATGAATAATAAATCTTAGTTTTATAACTATTAACATTATTGAACATGCATTTGTGACTGTCCTAAGCTGAACTTGTTCTAAATGAAAAGGTATATTTTTCTCAATGCATTGCTTCCTATCTAGCCAATCATGGTCTAGATCAGTGTTCCTTAACCCAGTCCTAATGGACCACTAACAGTCCAGGATTTATGTATTTCCCTGTTTTATTCCAATGGAGATACTGACAAAATCTGGACTGTTGGTGGCCTATGAGGACTGGGTTGGGGAACACTGGTCTAGATAACCTTGTCAGCTTTGAGTCTGTCATTTGAAACAGTAATATTAGTAATGTGAATCTATGCGTACAAGCTGTCCATGTTACTAAAATATGCTATGAAATAGTTTATTAATGTGACATTTAAAATATGCTTTGATTTTAATCATAATTCTTTGAGTTGTGTATCATATGAGTCTTAGATGATTGATGCATCATCAGGGTTATTCACTAAAGTGTGAATTGTTAGGGATTCAAAGTAAAAGTATTTTTATTCCTGCGGCAAATGTAGAGGCTGTAAGTACAGCAGAAACAAGTCTTTGAAGTGTATGAATCAATTTAAAAGTAAACAAAATGGGAAAGAGTTTTACATTAATAATTTTATCACGTGTTTTACTAGAAATTTAATTTATCTTTTAAAACAATTTGTGGGCAGCACAATACACCCACTACATAAAAGAATTGGCGAACATATAAATAACATTTTAAAGGGTGTTACACAACATAGTGTCTCTGCACATTTTAAAGAAAAATATAATATGGACCCCAGAGGGTTAATATTTTTAGGTATTCAAACAGTTAATTTGATATTTATAATTTTTTATCAAATAAATAATAGTTTTTATGCCCTTTTATAAGTCTAATCCAATATGCCCTAATTGTCTCTTTTTCCTCCTTTATAAGCAGGTATATTTATGGTGCATTTTGATGCACTATGGTTTGCTGTTTTTTTTTTGTTTTTTTTTTAACCATATATTTAGGAGACATTCCCCAAAAGTTGTGGTTTGATATATATTTATGAGAATGTTTATTAATAGATGTTTTTTATACTCTTAATTAATATATGTATTATGTACAATATATTGTGTATCCTTGTCTATATGGAACTTTCCTTAGAAACATAGAAACATAGAATGTGACGGCAGATAAGAACCATTCGGCCCATCTAGTCTGCCCAATTTTCTAAATACTTTCATTAGTCCCTAGTCTTATCTTATAGTTAGGATAGCCTTATGCCTATCCCACGCATGCTTAAACTCCTTTACTGTGTTAACTTCTACCACTTCAGCTGGAAGGCTATTCCATGCATCCACTACCCTCTCAGTAAAGTAATACTTCCTGATATTATTTTTAAACCGTTGTCCCTCTAATTTAAGACTATGTCCTCTTGTTGTGGTAGTTTTTCTTATTTTAAATATAGTCTCCTCCTTTACTGTGTTGATTCCCTTTATATATTTGAATGTTTGTATCATATCCCCCCTGTCTCGTCTTTCCTCCAAGCTATACATGTTAAGATCCTTTAACCTTTCCTGGTAAGTTTTATCCCGCAATCCATGAACCAGTTTAGTAGCCCTTCTCTGAACCCTCTCTAAGGTATCAATATCCTTCTGAAGATACGGTCTCCAGTACTGTGTACAATACTCCAAGTGAGGTCTCACCAGTGTTCTGTACAATGGCACGAGCACTTCCCTCTTTCTAATGCTAATACCTCTCCCTATACAACCAAGCATTCTGCTAGCATTTCCTGCTGCTCTATTACATTGTCTGCCTACTTTTAAGTCATCAGAAATAATCACCCCTAAATCCCTTTCCTCATATGTTGAGGTTAGGACTCTATCAAATATTCTGTACTCTTCCCTTGGGTTTTTACGTCCAAGATGCATTATCTTGCACTTATCCACATTAAATGTCAGTTGCCACAATTCTGACCATTTTTCTAGTTTACCTTTTTAACATTTTAGTGAATATTCCTTTAAGCAAGTGTTGAGATGTGGGTATTAGTAATTACTTATAAGAATAAAGTTTTTCAAATTTGGCCAATTATATGGCGAGATTTTCTGACTTTTGGGGTAACCTCGCCCACTTCTGGGACTTATATTCAGACTGTGGTTAGAATATGGGCAGATCTGATGAAGCCGAGTACATCGGAGAAACGCGTCGTCACGCAATGACATCATCACATCATTACGCTCGACTGAAGAGGTGACCCCGCCTCCCGGAAGAAGTGTACCAAGTATCAGTTGAATGGGTAAGGCAGTGGCTGAGTGACAGGCAACAGAGGATTGTAGTTAATGGAATATATTCGAAGCTTGGACTTGTCACCAGTGGGGTACCTCAGGGATCTGTACTTGGACCCATTCTCTTTAATATTTTTATTAGTGATATTGCAGAAGGTCTTGATGGTAAGGTATGTCTTTTTGCTGATGATACCAAGATATGTAACAGGGTTGATGTTCCAGGAGGGATAAGCCAAATGACAAATGATTTAGGTAAACTAGAAAAATGGTCAGAATTGTGGCAACTGACATTTAATGTGGATAAGTGCAAGATAATGCATCTTGGACGTAAAACCCCAAGGGCAGAGTACAGAATATTTGATAGAGTTCTAACCTCAACATATGAGGAAAGTGATTTAGGGGTGATTATTTCTGATGACTTAAAGGTAGGCAGACAATGTAATAGAGCAGCAGGAAATGCTAGCAGAATGCTTGGTTGTATAGGGAGAGGTATTAGCAGTAGAAAGAGGGAAGTGCTCATGCCATTGTACAGAACACTGGTGAGACCTCACTTGGAGTATTGTACACAGTACTGAGACCGTATCTTCAGAAGGATATTGATACCTTAGAGAGGGTTCAGAGAAGGGCTACTAAACTGGTTCATGGATTGCGGGATAAAACTTACCAGGAAAGGTTAAAGGATCTTAACATGTATAGCTTGGAGGAAAGACGAGACAGGGGGGATATGATAGAAGCATTTAAATATATAAAGGGAATCAACAGAGTAAAGGAGGAGACTATATTTAAAAGAAGAAAAACTACCACAACAAGAGGACATAGTCTTAAATTAGAGGGACAAAGGTTTAAAAATAATATCAGCAAGTATTACTTTACTGAGAGGGTAGTGGATGCATGGAATAGCCTTCCAGCTGAAGTGGTAGAGGTTAACACAGTAAAGGAGTTTAAGCATGCGTGGGATAGGCATAAGGCTATCCTAACTATAAGATAAGACTAGGGACTAATGAAAGTATTTAGAAAATTGGGCAGACTAGATGGGCCGAATGGTTCTTATCTGCCGTCACATTCTATGTTTCTATGTTTCTATCCAGTTCTGTGTATTTTATGAAGCCGGCATTCGACGCAGAAACTGGCTTTAACACTGATTGGAGGAGGAAGATAGACTTGTAAAGGGGGTCTTACCTGCTTGGAAGCGGATTTTATCTATATTGCAAATAAAGTTTGTTTACCTTCACCTCAGCCTAAAAGCCTTCATATTTGCAGAGATGCCATCATAGTTCAGTACTGCTCTACATTTGTGAGTGTTTTTAGTCCATTATTTTTTCCTTTTTTATTATACACATCGCCCTAAGTGCTTGTCCTTTTTCTCTTTTTTTTGAGATACCTATCGGGACCCTTTGACAAGCAATGTGGAATACTCCTTAGTGGGTATAAGAGTATAAGGTGTTTATATCACTATTGTGGTTTGTATTAGAATTTGCACATTATTGCACATAATTGTGTGTTTATTGCACAGTGCACATTGTCACTTTGGATACAAATATACTATTATATTAATAGACACAGTGCTCTTTATTTTTTTGTTTATATTCAAAGTTAAAGTGACTTTCATATTATAGACACAAAGAACCACTTGAAAGCCTGTTGTTTCTTTGTGGAGGTGGCCATTTTGGACTTGCATCACTGTGTTCTAACAGTTAGTGATAGTTACTGATACAAAACAAGGATGCAAAGACCAAATTATGTGGTTTATCAGTAATGCTCATATGTATCCACCAGGCAGGAAACAGAAAATAATAAATATTTAAAATCTTTGATGATGTTCTGTGACAAACTGGTCAGAGTTAGCTGAAAATCTTTGATTATTTTTTTTCATTAAAAAATAAACAAAAAACCACCAAAACTGCTGAACAGATGTGAACATAATCAACCTAAGATATAGTCATCATTTGTGATGACGGAGTCACCTTACTGTAGTAATATGTTTATCAACATACTCAATCATAGTTTTTCTAGCAGAATGTATTGATAATGTTTTATAGTTTACAAGGTCCCGTGTCAGCTTTGCTTGATGCTAAACAGTGCAAGTGAACTTTATATAAGGCATGCACAACATTTTGTCAATATTTAAAGTTTGCTTACCTTTTCTCCATCACCTTGCTAGTCTCTTTGCAGACTATCCTGCATCCATGGCTGAAATCAACAGCCTTGGTGATCTCAGCCAATCCAATGCTTTTCCATATAAAAACATTGGGAGGCTATTGTGCATGCGCAGCAAAACACTGTGCTGTGCCCGTCATCCTCTCCCTATAGAGATGTGTTAAATCTGTGACAGGCACTACAGGTGTTACTTGACAGCAATGTAAACACTGACTTTTCTCTTTCCTCTGAAAAGGCAGCATTTACATTGCTGTGCCTGCAATGGTTCTGCTGACTATAGTGTCCCTTTGACTTAATGCAGTATGGATCAAAGTCAAATTTTGTTTTTCAGCGGCTTATATATTTTTTTCTTAAGAAGAGAACAGGCACGGAGCTGTCTATGCAGCATTCAGTGTGGAGGGGGAGAGCATGTGAGCAGATTTACATTTTTTTTTTTTAAAGTTACAAATAATGATTATTAATGTCTGCCAACTGTTTTAAAGTTTGAGGAATAGGATAGTCCCTAGAACCATGCATTAGTATCCCACAATGCTTACTGTTATTCGGGGTGTGCAATATTAACCAGTTACAGACCTCTGCAGCTTATTGATCACATTTGTCTTTCAATATATTGTACCCTGTAGTGTTGGATTAACCATTCTTCTGTAGAAGTGCAGTTTTAGGGGTTATTTGCAGGGAAAAAAGTGTTAAAAAGTGCAAAGCTGGTGGAAGAGTACTAAAAAACTATTTCCACTCTAGTCACTAGGGTTTATGGTACTAAGAGGGCCCATTTAAATCTTTGGGTTATTTACTAAACTCCAAATTCTAGCAAACTGAAATCTTAATAGTGAAATTCAGGCAGCAATAGATGATCTGCAAAAACTATCCATGTCATTCATACTTATAGCATGGCTGCTTTATAATATATGTTGCCATTCACATTAAATTCACTATAATTGGGTTTAGTTTACTACAATTAGTTTAGTGAATAACCCCTTTTAAGATGCATAATGGAGCATTGTACACTCATTGCTTGCTCAGAGTTTCCTCATGTACTCTTGATGCTTGTGTTCGCAGTGCATATGGTGATGGAGAATAAACTATTGCCAGGCATGGTTGAGAGAAGATGATGGGTAAAAATATTGCTAGGTTTAGATAAAATGGTATGTACAATGGTATTGTAGTTATACATGCCATTTTGTCCTATGCCCCTATGGTTTCAAGTGAAGGATGCAGAATGCCTTGGCTATCAACAATCCCACTTTGCTATTGCTCTACTAGATTCCTATCAAAACAAAGCTGTCTCATTGCACTAGCTGTCACACAGTCCCAATGCTGTTTTAGTGATAACCAAGTTAAATCTTCACATTCAAAAAGCAACCTTCAATAATCTTGCAAACTTACTTCATGTGAAAGTGGCAGTCAGAGTGCACATTGTTTTAGTACATCTAAAGAGAAAATGCAATGGTTCTTTGCTACATTAAATGAAGATGAGTTCATTGTTTTATTTAAAGGACCACTATAGTGCCAGGAAAACAAACTTGTTTTTCTGGCTCAAAGGGTCTTTAGGTACCCCCCCCCCAACCCTCAGGGTCCCACTCCCGCTGGGCTGAAGGGGATTGTCTGTTTGTACATCTCTCCATAATAGTGCGTGTCAGTTAGCAGGATCAGCATTAACTCTGTTGCAAAAGATCATGCCAAATTGCACACATGTTCAAGAAAGTTATTAAACTGGAATTTTGTTTTCTGTACCCCCCTCCCCCCACAACCACACACACACACACACACACACCATTTCTTTTTGTCTGAAAAATAATTTTAAAAAATTCAAATCGAAAAAACAAACAAAAAAAATGGAATTTTGTGACAAGATCCCTGTGTAAAATAGCCATTTCTAAGTCTTATCATTAACTGACATGCTTTAATCCTGTAATATAAACCATTCTTTCTGGCTGTTTTTAATATACTGCACATAATTGCTATGTACTGTGAAATACAACATGAACAATCAAATATAGCAGTCTGAACATTGAAATATGGCATTTTTGTTTTTACTAAATGGTAGAGAGGTATTTGCATAATTGAATAAAAGTAATAAAACCATGGTTAACATAAGTAGTTTTGCTTATAAATGTACTCTGGATCCAGGTAGCTGTAATAGCCTTTGGTTCTGTCGCATGTGCATTAAGTAATATTTCTGCAAAAGAGGATAAGATCCATTTATCTTATCTTTATCAATGGTCTTTTACTATAGTTTCACAATCTAAGTGCTCTTTATTCATTGGCCATGTGTGGAAACTTGTATTGTCCTCCTTTTTCATATCGAATATAATTTTTATTCAAGGGTACAGTAGTACCCAATAATATGTTCAGATTTTTCCATCGTTGGAAAAATGTGGCATGTTTTATTGTCTGTATTGGTCCTTAAATCAGTCCAGTTGTTTGCTGTAAAGAATATTATGTGTTTGTCTTAGGAGCCCCATGAAGCCCTAAATCCAGTACTGGTCATGTGTTTATAAAATGCACAGATTCCTTGTGCTAGCAAACAGTTAGGTCCCAGAGATGGTGGGTCTAGTACACTAAATGTCAAGATGCCTTTTCTCTGCAATGTGCAGCCAAAGAGCCTTACAAGACCCACTCGCTGGCTCACATATGCCTATGATAAACTCATGGCATCCTGCCCTAAGCAGTGGCGACATAAGCTTAAGGTGGCCCAGTGCTTTATGAGGGTCCTGCCTATTCTGCCCAAATATACTGTTGGGGAGGGGGCAGCGAGGGAGCTTGGTTCTCCCACGATTTGTTCCATAGCTCTCTCTCTCTTTCCTTATACTGATGCGGGTAGCCGGTATGTGACATCACCCTAGTGTTGGCATCACTACAAGAGTGTATGGGCGCTATGCAGGAAGAGCACGGTGAACCTAGCAGCCACTCGCCACCAGGGAGGAGATCCATTCTAGCCCTTCCAAGCAAAAGTAAAATAACCAAATAAAATGTGTGTATGTGTGAGTCTGAATGTGTGTATGTATGTATGTACGCTTGAAAACGTGTGTGTTAAGTAGATTTTGTATATTTAGGTATGGTAAGCACTATGATCTTTTGATCACATTTGTAGATCACAGCACGGCTGTTCGCTGAAACAAAAATCTTTTCACATTATTCTTATTTTGTTTTGCTTTAATTTTTAATTTTTCCTATTTATTTTCATGATTGACATATCGGCTTTGTATTTTCCATGTAGGATCTGGGCTCACTTATATCTTTTATGAGGTTTAACTGTTTAGTAAATAGCTACCTTATTTCAAATCCTTAAATATGGCAATCCCAAATAGGAATAGCAAATTAGGGAATTGTGTACTAAACAGCTAAAAGATCACATTTAGGAAAATTGCTTTTCTTAATTTTGATCTTTCAGTTCTTTATTAGATTGCCCACTAATTTGAAAGCCCTAAATACAGATCATATAAGGATACCAAAGCAGGAAGCCATCTGCTGTTATTATATACATTTTCTTGCTGTATAGTTGAAGGTGATCCTCCATCTATTTATAGCATTGATGTATTTTAGATTTGTGCTGCCCTAGGCGTTACAAAACTCGAGCCCCCCCATGTCATTTTGCCCCCCCTTTCCTGTCAAGGGCACACCTCTTCATGTTTAACACGAGCATGCAGTTTGATAGACACCCACTGACATGCACACACTCTCAGATACACATACAATGACTTACATTCACTGACAGACACACACACTCACTGACACACACATTCACTAACAGATGCACACTCACAGGCATACTCTGACAGACACACTCACTAACAGATACACACTCACAGACATACACTGACAGACACACACACATTCACTAACAGGCACACACACATTCACTAACAAGCACACACTGACAGACACACACACACATTCACTAACAGGCACACACTGACAGATGCACACACGCACTCACAGGCACACACTGACAGACGCACACATTCACTTACAGACACACTGACAGGCACACTCACTCACTAACAGACACACACATACACTCACTAATAGATACACACTCACTCAAAGACATACACTGACAGACACACACACACTTTCACAGACACAAACACATTCACTCACAGACACATACTGACCGACACACACACATTCAGTCACTCACAGACACATACTGACAGACAGACACACACACATTCACTCACTCACAGACACATACTGACAGACTCACACACATTCACGCACTGACACTGACTCTTCCCTGGGGTCCAGTGGGGTTGGCTGCTGCTGGGCAGGCACAGGCTGGTGGTCAATCAGCAAATGCAAGAGGCGAGGGAGCTGTGATCTTCCTGCTCAGCTCCCTCGCGCCGCTTAGTGATGCTGGGAGCCGGAGTGACGTCATATTCCGGCTCCCGGAATCACTGTGGTGAACGCTCCCTCGCCACCAACCCATAATCTTAGCAGCTGAATGCCTCAAGGGGATCCTGAGCTGGCCAAGAGGCTAACAAGGCATTTGCCAGGGCACTTGTGGGTTGGGGGGGAGGCGGCATTTTTTGCCGCACCCCCTTAAAGTGCCGCCCAAGGCAAATGTCCTGTTAGCCTCATTAAAGATACAGCACTGATTTATAGGCATGGCATTCAGCCTTCATGCGGAAAAAGGTCTGTTAAGGTCAAGATTTGATAAAGTTCCAAGCTAAGAACTGAAATGTCGATTTGTTGTTTGCAACGTTGCTAAATGCTGTTACAATAAAGAAAGCTGATCATTTTTTTGCAGTAAATTTCCGTGTGTGCTCTCCTTTTATTTTTCTATGTTTTTAGCACCAGGGCAAGTTTGTAAAGTAGATCTTGAGTGTAGGGCTCCTGGTTTATAAATTCATGAAAACACCTTTTTTTGCTCACCTAATAAATGTATCATTTTACATTTTAATACTGATGGTAAACCACACCATTGATGTTTGAACATGTGACGCTGGCACAGATGGTATCTTTGTCCATAACATAGCCTGTGTTTTAGCTGATACCGGTTATTGCTATTCACAGCCACTGTGATAAAAGACCCCAGCTATGTTTTCCATTCATCCTAAAAACACGTTCAGTGCACAGCTCCAAAGCCTTATCCAAAAGCATGAAAACACCTGAAGCCATCTTTTTACATGAACATATAATAATTTTAGCTGTAATTAACCTTACCTCATCTACCCATGAGGCTTCCATCTTTTCTCATCTCCTGCCAGTCTCACATGCATGGAGCTGCATCATTAGTTACATTTTTTTCACTCATAACACTTAGCTGTAGTCATCAGTCAATTAAAAGTACAGTTAAAAAAAATCTATGTCAGAAAGATTTTTAAACTATCAGACATCTACCTGGAAAATAAAATTCTGATGAGCATGTAACACTAGCAGTCTTGAATTTTGTTGACGATTAGCTCCCATAATTCTACTGTACTTCTTCCCAGGGTTGGCCCTCAGGAAGAGATATTTGAAGGCATATGTAGGAGGGGGCACTGCTTTTTAGTTTTATCTTCAGAGGATGGTTCAAGGACAATCTAATAATATCATATGAAATATAGGGTGTACAATGGTTGTTAAAAACATTTTTTTTAAAAGGAGAAACGTCCAGGTCTATTTAATGTTAACCTGTCTTGACTTCTCTTTAACTGAAACCACCCACAAGCAATGCATATATCAGTATCATGGAAATAAATGATACATTTCATAAAAAGTTTCAAATGTAGACTTTACATACCTTCATTTCAGACACGTTGGGTGGTTATTACACCTTTGTAGAACCCACCTTTGTCCCACTCACATTCTGATTTGATTGGCTCTGCTCGTTGAACTTGATCTAGGATGCTGCAGGCAGCATAATCACAGAAGTAAGGTGTAATGATTATTGTGCATAACACTCCCTTTTAATAATTAAACAGTTCAGCTTTTACAGAACCTTTCTAAGATGGTGGAACTTGAACAGCATGTGCAATGCAGTGTCCACACATTGTACAAATATTTGCACGGACCAGACAAATTTCAGTTAACTAACATTACTGAGATTTAGTCAACTAAAACTAGACTAAACCTAAAACAATTCAGATGACTAGAATGTGACTAAAACTAAAATGGCTCTTTAGTCAAAAGACTAAGACTAAAACTAAATTGAAATTTGCCGCCAAAATTAAATAACATTGGCACGGACGGAGGAGGAATACTTAAACAAAAACCATAAATTGTGCTTGGAGTGCCCCTTTAATTATTACTCTGGCTCATTTTCGTTCTGTGTGCTATGCCAATTAAGATGGAAGAAAAACATGCAAAAAAGCATGCCATACAGGCAGTGATTTTGCTCAACAAGGAGCACAATGTCAGCCTGTATAAAGAATATACATGGCTTTTTCTTAAAAGTACTTGACTTGGTGACTTTAGTGGAAATGAATGCTTGAAAAATACAGGCATTAGTAATTCATTGCATTGTATTATTTAGCATTGTACAAAAACAACGTGTATTTTAGTGAATTTATAAATATTTCCACACAAATTATTTATAAGTAATATAATGGTGTTGCATGGAACTATGATGAAGACAGAATGATTACTTTTTTTCTTTTATTTTTTTATTTCATTGGAGTGGCATGAAAGCCAGAGCAACACAAATATGCTGCTCAGGAAGACATGATATTTGCATAAATGAATTACACGCTTACCGAACCATGTAGCCAGAGAAAGTACATGCCCTGGAGATTCTTGCCATGATCCTCTTTCCAAACAATTTCTATTTTATCTTCAGTCAACTATGCATTCCCATTTCCATTCTTGCCAGTGTTACTGGCAGCCACATGTTATGCTCAAGGATCAAGGACTGTTTGTGCCACCTTCAAGACTTGTAGTTGTTATATTACTAGGTAGTGATATTTATTTCGTATTCAATACAGCTCCAAGATGCCATTTTGTTGTAGGGAGGAATGAATGGTAAATAGATCTGCTTATTAACAGTGTTATACACATATTTATAAAATATTGGGTGTTCCTCTTGTGTAATACATAGAAAAATGAATAAACAACATTGGATGGATATTTTGCATATATTGCTGGGTCTCTGGGGCAGGAGCCCAAATATCCAGCACCAGAACAAACAAGATAGTGACAGATTTGGACTGATTGGCTGAGACTGTCAGCTAACACTCTCTGAATTCCTGGAGCAATAAAAGTAAAATTAGATGTGTTCCATAACTCTTACACATATATTGCATGTACAAATATCTTTTTATAAAAGTTGACATTTATGGTGAAACATAACATGTCCTCAGTTGCAAGCTTTTTTCCTTATTGTCTGTCACTTACTGTGTATAATTATGTGAAACGTTGTTACAGACTTGCATCTAGACTGCATCTAGGTCAAATTAACAATCACTCTTTTTTTGTTGACATCTAGAGAGAACATTTATTGTCCAGTCCCGCCAACCAGAATTTTTTTTTTTTAACTATCTTGATTACAATTAGCATCTCCTGGGAAGAGATCTACTAATCGTAATACTTCCTCTACATTACATTAACAACTTGCAAACCAAAGAGGATAACAAAACAGTAAAAATTGCTTGATCTTTTTTTTTTTTTTACATAAATTTCTAATCAGTAACCAATCAGCAATACTATTGTGCTATTCCACAATTCACATTTTTCTTCCTTCTTTTCTGTATTTGATTTGGTCTTCTTATTGAACTAAGTTGTTTTCTATCCTCTATGGAATAGTGGTACTGAAAATATTGACAGTGGAAATCAGGGAAACTTACAAGAATGAAAGTAAATTGTACAAAGTTTGATGAAAAGGTCAGGGGTACAAATATCAAACTTGTCTCCTAAGTTTCTTACCTGTTATAGCTCACTAAATTCTATTTGGTTACCAGACTTTTCTTTAATGTATAATATCTTCTGCCTGAATACTTGAAGACTTTGTTACTGTATTACTGTTGCTTCTACTTGTCCTAGGAGACTGCTCTCCAGATCATCTATCCTGTTTCTGAAGACGAGCTTCATCAAATTCCCCCTCGGCGGTCCTATTCCTGTAGTTTCCGAGCACAACCTCATGTTCAGTCATTTCTCTTTTTCAGAACAAAAACTTCCCCTATAAAACTGCTGATATCCTTGGTTTATAGCAACATTTTACTTACTTTACTTAAGAAAACGCTGTGTGTTTACTATTAGTTGTGAAGTTTTTGTGGTAGGACAGATACCATTTCAATACATATTAATATAATGTCATGGGGACATTAGAATCGATTCATATCAAAAGAATATATTATACAGCTTTATTTAAAAAACAAATATCCTAAAACACAGCTGATGTTCCTCTTTGACAGTGCTGTATTCTCAGATCTGGCTATCTTTTTTATTGGTGGTATGGCAGTTTTGTTTACTAAATAAATTAAAGGACCACTCTAGGCACCCAGACCACTTCAGCTTAATGAAGTGGTCTGGGTGCCAGTTCCAGCTAGGCTTAACCCATTCTTTTATAAACATAGCAGTTTCAGAGAAACTGCTATGTTTATGAATGGGTTAAGCCTTCCCCCAATTCCTCTAGTGGCTGTCTCATTGACAGCCGCTAGAGGCGCATTCGTGCTTCTCACTGTGAAAATCACAGGGAGAGCACGCAAGCGTCCATAGGAAAGCATTGATAATGCTTTCCTATGTGACCGGCTGAATGCGCGTGCAGCTCTTGCCGCGTGTGCGCATTCAGCCACATGGGAGTAGAAGAGGAGGATCGGAGGAGGAGAGCTCCCCGCCCAGCTCTGGAAAAAGGTAAGATTTTACCCCTTTCCCCCTTCCAGAGCCGGGCGGGAGGGGGACCCTGAGGGTGGGGGCACCCTCAGGGCACTATAGTGCCAGGAAACCAGTATGTTTTCCTGGCACTATAGTGGTCCTTTAAGCATTAAGACCTGTTTAACATGTACAGTATAAGTCAAGACTTCTATTTCTTAGCTTTGTAAATGTAACTGTAACTCCAAGCATTACAATCCGTTTTCCTGGCACTGCAGGTCCCCTCTCCCTCCCACCCCCCCCAATCCCCGGTTACTGAAGGGGTGAAAACCCCTTTAGTAACTTACCAGATGCAGCGACATGTCCCACGTCGCTGCTTCTTCCTTCGCCGCGCTCCTCCTCTATATTACGTCGGCAGGTGGGGGCGAGACTGATCCCGCCCACCAGCCGGGGAGACCTAATGCGCATTAGAGCTCCCCATAGGAAAGCATTGAAAATGCTTTTCAATGCTTTCCTATGGGGAATTGAGCGACGCTGGAGGTCCTCACACAGCGTGAGGACGTCCAGCGACGCTCTAGCACAGGTTTTCTGTGCTATGAAACAGGAAATGTAGTAGACAGCCACTAGAGGTGGAGTTAACCCTGCAAGGTAATTATTGCAGTTTATAAAAAAACTGCAATAATTACACTTGCAGGATTAAGAGTAGTGGGAGTTGGCATCCAGACCACTCCAATGGGCAGAAGTGGTCTGGGTGCCTGGAGTGTCCCTTTAAGGTGTTCCTTAATTCATGAAAGCTGTTACACTTCCTACTGATCTCTGATTGGATGTTCAAAACTACCACAATCGTAACGTTGTTTGAACCTGCAGGGAACTTGCCATAAATGGTAGCGCAGCAAATTCTGTAGCGCTGTACAATGGTCGGCAGGAAACCAAAAACTGGTTGACATCATGCCATTACTGCTTATATCTATTTTGTGACAAATAAAGTAGGCTTGGGGTACCTTTAATAACCTCCATTAATTGTTTATTAACCTTATATGTCAATGGAGGTACACAGCAGGGTCAGTTAATTATAGTGAACCAGTTCCCTCGAGTGAAGTCCCTCCAGTTTTTCTTAAACTGAGTTCAAGTTGTTTCACAACGAATGGGGGATTTCCAGACACCCTAAAGTTACAGCTTCTGCTTTCCAAATTATAATTAGCAGCTATGCAATTAATGGAACTAGCCTAATTTGACTACTAGTACCGTATCCACTGCATGTAGCTACACTGGTTATAGTGCTTAGGAAATCTCTTTAAAATTCATTTTTATACATTGTAATTTATTTGATGCAAGATATAACTTTGTATAATGTGGTTGCTGTCCTGTACTCCCCTTTGTATGCTGGCGTTGCCTATTAAATAGTGAGATAATTGACATCATGTCAACATTTAAATGAATTCTGTTTGCTACTGTTTCTCCATTCTATATGGCTAATGGAATATAGGTGTCAAAAACACCTTAAAAGGGGTATACATATAAGCATTACTTGTGCTTTTACTAGTGGGACATTTTCCAGATGGGATGCTAAAGTCAACACAAATCATTCCACAGGCAAACGTTAGCACTTTTGACAAAAGTGAATTCCCCTTAGTGCCAGCAGCATTAGCTAGTCTAACTAAAGTTACACTAAGCAGGGACACCAGGTTCTCTAGGCCTGTCCAAATGTCCGTTATGTATTTAATAGATGCATAGCAGCTGTGGTTTTGGTTTATATTAATGACAAAATTTGTTCAACTCGAAGTGTACAGCATGGCTTGTCAATCCTAAGAAAACACATCTCTTTTATTTTATGGGCTGTGTTTATTTAAAGGGATACTACAGACACATACATGATATGTAATAATGTTCACATTGTTTTGTTTTTTTCTTTATATATTATTTATTATTTATTAAAATAATGATTAATAGTATCTACCTGCCACCTAGTCTCCATCTCTAGAATTTCCTTTTGTAGCTGCATATATATAAAAGCCTCAAAATATATCTGTACAACATAATGTATAAAGTAATATAAAGCACTTTGTGTAAGAGGTCACACAGCTGCTGTGTTACCATAATACCTTTAGTTGTGAATGAAGCTACATGGAAGATAGTAAAAGCTGAGACGTCCCTGCTACAGTTAGCTTAAAGGAAATCTCTAAAGTAAAAAAAAAAAATATATATATATATTAATATTTAACTTTAGAGTGCCTGCCACCATGTTTAAAAAATTGTAATAAAATTCACCTATAATCCCGTGCCTGGTCAATCTCCTCGGTGAAGCCTCTCTACTTTCAGTAAAGGCCTCAGTAATGATTACTTTAGTTAGATGTAATGCTTCTCATAGAAGAGCATAAGAGACATATGGCACACATGTGGCAATTGTCATACTTCCCCAATCAGATTCTTTTCTTTAGAAAAGGATTGTATCCTGTGTTTCAATATGAGCAGCACTGGATGTGTTCGGCATCATGATGTGCCATACAATCACCAATTTTTTAAAGGTCTTAAGGAGGAAGAGCCTCTAGTGCAAGCATGTTAAACTCGCGGCCCACAATGAATATCTTTGCGGCTCAGCAAACCACGAGTTTGACATGTTAAGGCAGAGTAGGCACCTGCTTTCCCCACATTGCAGGTGCCTACTCTGCTAAAATTTATCTGGCCGGGGAGAGAGAGGAAGCTGGCGGCGCGCCCTCTGTAGTCATTCCAGCCCAGTATCACTAAACTGCACATGTGAGGGAGCAGTGAGAAGCAGGAGGGAGACCCCAGGGAGAGGCCCCACACCAGCTCCCAAAGATAGGGAGCAATAAATAAAATGATTTGTGAGTGTGTGCAAGAATGTGTAAAATGTGTGTGTCTGTCAGTGTGTGTGTGTGTGTGTGTGTGTCTCTGTCTGTGTATGTCTGCCAGTGAGTGTGTGTGTGTCTCTCAGTAAGTGAGTGTGTGTGTATGTCTATCAGCGAGTGTGTCTGTGAGTGAGTGTATGTGTGTGTGTGTCTCTGTCTGTCAGTGAGTGTGTATGTCTGTGTCTGTCAATGAGTCTGTGTGTCTGTCACACATGTCATGTGTCCTTAAGGGGTTAAACCATGTTTATTTGGCCCATGCTAGCCTTTGAGTTTGACATGCTTGCTCTAGTGGATGTCAGTTCCCACTTGCTTCAATGTTGTGTGAGCAGGGCTAAATTCCTACTCATACCAGAGCGACCCAGTTATTAGCACTACCTGGTGCTACCCTCTATCTGCTGGGACCACAATTAGTGGCTCCAGACTGACCGATGAACTTTATGCATTTTAAATGCTCTGCTTGACGTGGTCTGTGTGCCTATAGTGTCCCTTTAATTAATGTTTACGAAAACACAGAAGCCTACACAGGAGGCTGCTGCAGCTTCCATCAGTCAATTAACAGAATCTGAGCAAAATTTTGCTTAAAAAGAAATGACTTCAAAGAACACTATAGTGTCAGGAATCCAAACAAGTATTCCTGACAGTATAGTTCTAAAACCACTGTTAACGTGTCTCCTCCTCCCACCACCTTTGAAAAGGTGGTTTTATGGTTTGTCTCACTTTATTTCCAGCACCACACCGGTCTCGTCGTGCCTGGCCCTGACCTGCTCCACCTCCTTGGCTGAGATCATTAAATTTGCCGATCTCAACCAATTTGGGAGGCTATTGCGCATGTGCAGCAAAACACAATGCTGCACCAATCAGCATCTCCTCATAGAGATGCACTGAATCAATGCATCTCTATGGGTAGCGTTCAGCGCCCACAGCTTTATTTTAATTTTATTTTTTGCTGATTGGCCGGTCTTCCTTACATTGTTTCACACTGTTAGCAAATGGGTTTTTTTTTTTGGTCTTTGTCATCCAGATAACAAGACATACTGATCACATTAGGATTTTCTATGAGTCCATGCCTTTTATGTCCATCATAAAATGAGGCAGACATATGTTAATCACTATACTATGTCAAGTAAAAAATAATTATAATTTTTCCTCTTTGTACAAGTATGCAAAATGTTTTTAAATTGTCTATTTGTAGTTATTAATGTGGAGTAAAAAGCTAAGATGATGTCATTTCCAAATCTAGTAGTATTAAATACAGATGTAGGCTTGGTCTTTTGGCAGTTTGTTTGCTGTCTGTATATTTTGTGTTTGTTATTCATGCAAGATGTGTTTATTCTTGCAGTGAACACTAATGTGGTATTTAATTCTGTTTTCCATCAACCAGTTAAAGGTAAATAACTAAAAGGAATAGCTATAGACAATCTCAATTTGTCATGCATCACGTTCTACTGTGTTTAAAGAAGCATTCTAAGTACCAGTACCACTGCAGCTCATTCTAGTGAGTAGGGTGCTTGGAGTGCCTCTTTAACCCCTTAATGACACATGACATGTGTGACATGTCATGATTCCCTTTTATTCCAGAAGTTTGGTCCTTAAGGGGTTAAAGTGGACATTTTATATTGACTTTAAACATATAGCTATAACAGAGCTAGCTACTTAGAAATCATATCTTACAGTGCGAACAGAGCAAGCATCCATAATACCATATGATAAGTTAGTGACACAGATTCAGAGTGCCTACATCATAAAATAGGGCACAGCTAAACTCTATAGAGCATTTCTCACGCCAAGTATTAAGGAATACTTAAAACTCTATAATACAGTTTCCATGATGCTTTGTCATTCTAAAGGCATGTAAAGCACAATGGGGGTTGTAGTTCTACAACATCCGGGGATCTACCTTTTGGGCACCCATGTTCCATAACTACGACAGCTCTTTGTAGTAGTTATGGTGGCAGAAGAAGCTGGTGCCCCACCATCACCATGTAAGTTGTCAAGTAAGTGGTTGACTTCTTACCAGAAGTCTGCTGGATGCCCCGTCTGCCTACTCTCAGCTGGAATCTCACAGTGCTGCAGGTGCAGGGCTTAGCTGATTGGCTAAGGGTGATCAGCTGGCACTCTCAGCCAATGAGCTGGTGACATAGCATAGGAGAGCTAGCAGGAAGCGAGTAGAGGACGCGAGGAGTGGTCCCCCAGTTAGAAGTCATTAAACCATTCCTAAAATAACTACTTATACTGGGTGAGCACCAGGGCACTCTTGGTTCCATAACCACTACATTTTGCTTACTTGGAGAGTTCTTTTAGGAGTAATTCACAAAGCCACAGCCAGCTGGACAGTCAGTAAAAGACAAAACTTTGCGCAAGAACATTTGACCTTGCAGCAATGAAAGTTTTTTTTTTTTTTTTTACTTATGTCTTATGTCAAATTATATTTATTTCAGCAAGCACACTTTACATTTATACCTGTGATGGCACCGTAACAAGTAGCTAAAAAGTAATTACCTTGTAGTAAACAAGCATTAAGTTGGGGTCATTTGGAAAAAATTATGTTTCATCGTTATTTCAGATCAGTTCAGTGATATGCTTGTAACATTAGGTGCATAGTAATTTCACAAAATAACCTCCAAAATATCACAAATTACCTACTCAATTTTTCTGAATTACAAAATTAAACAATGTTGCTTGTTGAATAACCCCATTTGTGTGCTGATTGACATGATATAAATGAAAATTGCCTTACTGCAGCTGAACACTGAGCGTAATACAAAAACACAGCGAACGAAATTGTGTTGCTCATAGAATGCAGCTTTACATAGCGCATACTGTTTGGCTTCCCATGCAGTGATAACTAAAAGATCTCATGCTTTTATTTGCCTGTGCTTTCACTGCAGTATCGGTAAAGAAATAAATGTCAGTGATCTGCAAACGTCATGAAAAAAGAGGTGCAGAAAGCCCTCTTGTGAGGCAGTAGAGGGATGCAGATGCATTCGACTGATCCTTACGTGGTTGAGGCGAAGACTGCAAAGGAAATTCCGCTTCCATCAGTATGGATCCACTGTTGTTTTTGCACATTACTGCTGCTGTATACCAGTGTCAATCATAATTACACCACCAGTGCAGAGAAGCCAGATTTCGAGCTCTAGCATTTGATTGGTTGCTGTATTCTGGGAGGGATAGGAAGGAAGGGCTGCAGCATTCTGTCGACACTGTTGAAGACATCTCTCTGCTTCATCATCTGATGGGAAAATCCCCAGGAAGGGCAAAAGCATTCCTGAGTGTGCCAAAAAATAGAGGGATGAGAGAAGTTGTTATTCTTCTGCAAAATATTGTTTAGTAATGCATTAGCAAAGATGGTGCAGTGCTTGGAAGAGCAGGGAATGCACAGCAAGGAGAAATAGCAAGAACTGAAGAAGGTAAGAGGATTGTATTGCCCCTGAATGCAAGAAGAGTTTGCTGCAGTCTGCTGCATACAGTGTGCTGCTTATAGAAGTCAAGATGTATGCTAGTGCAGAGGCGAGACCAAATGTCAGGACGTGTTACCAACACCAACATAACAGGTTTTAATCATTGTTGATTATATTAATTTTGTTTCCCATAGTGATTCTTCTATTAAAGCTGATTCGAACTGCTTTCAAAATACATCGTCGCTGTGTTCGGTAAACACTTCTGTGCTCAGATCAAGAGCAGAATAGAAATTGATACTGCAATCCCTTTCATTTCTATGTTTTACTTGGGAAACTTAAGATTTCCCTTTATAGAGGATTGCAATAAATTTGTGGACATTAAGTGCTATTTGCTTTAAAAACACACGCACGTAAAGGCATACATATTGTTCCTGTCTTCTATCACATTCTTTATTAGCACCATATGTGCTATTTTTCTCCACTGATTTGTAGTGTACAAGTTGTGTATTTAGCTGAATTTCCTTACATACTAACTGAATATTTGATTAGGTTAGATACGAATGCTCACTGCAATTATGCCATGTTTGTGCAATATTAATAAGAACACACCATCATGGTGGTGTTGGGGTTTAAAGAATGTCATTTACTGTTTAACTTTCCTGCTTTTTTGTCCCTGTACCATCTGTTTATCAGCTACAAATTCTCTTAAATCTGAAAGAAATAACTACAATGCATGGAGTCTGACTAGAAAAAGAGTACAATATAAATTATTATTCTGCCTCTATTCAGTATATTAATATTAAGTGAAGAATATTTATATAAAATATGACATATCTCTAGCAAAGGTCACATTAACCGCAGAAGATTGTGTTTCAGTCGTGCAGTCTGGCTAGGCCTCAAGAGGTAGAGATGCCCATTGGATTCTGTAGTTGCTATGCACTGATGCTGGAAAGGACACAACTTAAAATCTTGTGTTTTATGAGGTAACATATATAAATGGGAGTTGGAACGAGAACCTGACTGTTCTCAAACATATGTATCTTCATTAACGTGAATATTAACATGTCTTGATTTACACAAACATCTTTACAAGTTTACGTGTGTTGTTACACCTATATATTTTACATGTTCATTTACATAACAAAACTCGATAACTGTACTTGTATTAAACCTTCTTTTCTGTAAACTGCAGACAGACTGCAGACCCTAGCAGGTGACTTTATAATGGACAGAGTAGAGGACTGCAGCACTTTATGCAGCTTAAAGGGACACTCCGAGGTCTGTTACCACTTATTCCTACTTCATAGTTTTCTTTTTTTTACTGCAGTGATTTTAAATATAGAAATTGTAGCCAAGGTTTGTGTGAGTGCTGTCATAAAGGAATGCATGAAGTGTACACTGACATATTTATTTTACCATGGTTTAATCTTGGTTAACCTAGTCTACATATTTATTTTTATGGAGATCTTTCCAGGTTTATGTGTAGTGGCCAAACCTTTCAGCTAATCTCAATTTAAGTGATACATATTTCAGCATTTTACTGTTATACAAATTTTTAGGACATTCTACTTTACTGTTTACCCTCAGGATTGTTTTAGTAATCATTCATGATATATATTGTAATGGTGTTCAAAATACTATTTTTAAATGTCATTTAAATCTTACTATTAAAGGAAGACTATAGGCTCCCAGACAACTACATCTCATTGAAGGGCTGTGGGTGCAGTGTCCCTGTACCTAACCCTGCAAGTGAAGACATTGCAGTTTCAGGGACTATGGGAGAAAGCCACTAGAGGCACTTGTTTAACTCAGTGAAACGACGCTGGACGTCCTCATGCTTTGCAGCATCTTAAAAATACTCATAGGAAAGCATTGATTTAATGTTTTCCTAAATGGAAGACCTAACACGCACGTGGCACTTGCCTCGCATGTGTATTAGGTACCCCCCATTGCTCACGTCAGAGGAGGCGGAGAGCGTTTCAGCACGGGGGACCTTAGCGCTGGAATCAGGTAAGTGAAAAAAGGGTCAGAGGGACACTAAAGCGTTAGGAATACTGTTTTTTACACTATAGTTCCTTTGATACACCCTAACATGCAAACATGTAAATATGGCTATGTATATAGCCATAGTTACCTGTATGCACGTATACCGCAAACACAGATTAAAAGGAATCCATGTTTAACCCCTTAAGGACACATGACATGTGTGACATGTCATGATTCCCTTTTATTTCAGAAGTTTGGTCCTTAAGGGGTTAAGATGGAATGAGGCAAAAATTTGATGCTTTGTTAAACTAATTTGCATATGCCCACCCAGAATGCTTTGCGGTAGTAACATCACTGCAGATTTGGGATTTCTGTGGGAAAAGCAAGTCTTATGGCTTGACTGGTGTGCAGATTTTTGTTTAACATTGTATTAACTATCACATATATATATATATATATATATATATATATGTGTGTATATGTATATATGTATATGTGTATATGAATATGTGTATATGAATATGTGTATACGTATATGTGTGTGTATGTGTATATATATATATATATATATATATATATATATATGTAAATCGCTGCAAGAATCCTGTATTTATCGGAAGTCTGTCAATTTATGGGCTTTATACAGCCTGATAACAAAATCTTATATTCCAGTTGTGTACTTAATAAATACTACATATAGATTTTTACTTTCAATACATGCCAGTTCAACTCACAGCAGGACACAGAGATGTAAATTAGTTTCAGTTTGGTTATTTATAGAATGCATTAAACAACGCCACCCAAAAAATAATAATTAAAAAGCTAAAAACATTAACATACCGTCAAAGTGTCCCTCAGTGCACTGCTTAGTGAGACTGTCTGCAGGAACATCTCGTTTTGGTGTATGGGAACTTATCTTATGCCATAAATCACAGTCCAGCAGATGTTTTATTGCATAACTACTTGTTTCTCAACCTTTGGTAACTTCTGGAGTATGAGTACCAAAGGCAGGATGCATGCAAAGAGGTGGACAACTGGCCACCTTAGCTCCCCCCAGGAAGCTTGGTGGAGAATGGCGGCAATAAGGGAGCTGTACCCTTCCTGATCTAGTAGCACTGCTCCCTTGCGCACCCTGTGGTGATGCCGGTTTATGACTACATCACTAAACAGCTTGCGAGCTAGCAGTGCTGGAAAAGCACAAAGAGTACACTAGCCCCACACTGTACCCCAGAGAAAAGATCCCCACTGACCACCAGAAAGGATCCCCTCCAGCTCTCCCAAAGGAGTGTCTGTCAGTAAGTGTGTGTGCCATATCAGTGAGAGTGTATGTGTGTCAGTGCACTTTGGGTATAAATGTGTGTGTCAGTGCACTTTGGGTATAAATGTGTGTGTCAGTGTCCTCTGGGTGTAAATGTGTTTGTCGGTGTCCTCTGTATGCATCTGAAATATTTGTTACACCCAGGGGACACTGACATACACAAACAGATGTAATTTACCTTAAATAATTGTATCTCAATCTCTAAATTGAACTTTAATCACATACAGGGGGCTCTTGCAGGGTCTAGCAAGCTATTAACATAGCAGGGGATAAGAAAAACTTAATTAAACAGAACTTGCAGTAAAGAAAGCCTAAATAGGGCTCTCTTTACAGGAAGTGTTTATGGAAGGCTGTGCAAGTCACATGCAGGGAGGCGTGACTAGGGTTCATAAACAAAGGGATTTAACTCCTAAATGGCAGAGAATTGAGCAGTGAGACTGTTCTATACACCAAAACTGCTTCATTAAGCTAAAGTTGTTCAGGTGACTATCGTGTCCCTTTAACTACATTTCTACTACATTCTTGAGGCAGTGTTTTTTTTTTTTTTTTTTAGAAATAGAGGGGGGGGGGAAGTTGAGAAACACTGGTATAACTTATGAGTAGTTAATCCTCTACCAACAATTTCAGTCATCATACAATAGCTGCTGTGATACATTATATACAGACATGTTCCCCTTTTAGTGATTTACTATTGGGAGAGTATTGATGTGGTTTACTTTTTAGGAGAGCCATGGATCAGGTAAGAGAAAGCCATTCCTATTGTGTATATTGTGTACACACTGTCGGGACCAAATTGAAACAAGCAACCCAAAAACTGTTCTACTACCTGGCTAACTAGCGGGGTGCCCTATATTTCCAGCAGTTTTAACAAACCACTGTTGTAAGTTACTCTCAGATTTGAGATTGAGCTCAGGATACTTTCTTAATCCCTTAAGGACCAAACTTCTGGAATAAAAGGGAATCATGACATGTCACACATGTCATGTGTCCTTAAGGGGTTAAGACTGACCATATACGCCCTGCGATCCTGCATTGGCACCATTACAGTACACAAATGTGCAAGACACCAGAAGAGCAATACCTAAGCCCACATGCACTTATATGCCTTCTGAAAGAAGACCCCTAGATATAGAGGCCCATGTCTGTAGAGGATGCTTGATGTCTCAGAAAACAGATTGAATTCAAATCATGGTCAGTGACTAGAAAATTCAAATAAGGATAAAGGAGCGGTAAGATTCAATTCAATTGTAGACTAAGGTTAAAAGAAAACACCAAGCGCGGTAGCCATGCCAACTAACTATTTTAGAACAGTTTGCCTTCTCACCTGTAATTTGTTGGGCGCCAATGCCAGCCACCATTACTTCAGACAGTGAGCAAAAAGCTCTCTGTACTTCGCTAAGTACTCATTGGCTGCGAGTGATTAGGTGACGCAGTCAGCCAATGAGGTAGCCCAATACTATAGGATTTACCACAGAAGAGCAGATTCTGCTTAGAAGCTTCTGGCTCTCTGCTGTTGGTAGTGGAGGCTGGAAAAAGTGCTCAGCAGACCCCAGGCTAGAAGCCTCCCACCTTGAGAGAGAGTTGAGATGTGTAGTCTGCAACTTAAAGGACCACTATAGTGCCATGAAAACATACTCGTTTTCCTGGCACTATAGTGCCCTGAGGGTGCCCCCACCCTCAGGGTCCCACTCCCGCCAGGCTGGATGGCAAGGAAAGGGGTTAAACTTACCTTTTTTCCAGCGCCGGACAGGGAGCTCTCCTCCTCCTCTCTGCCTCCGATCCTCCTCTTCGGCTGAATGCGCATGCGCAGCAGGAGCTGCGCGCACATTCAGCCTGTCTCATAGGACAGCATTCATAATGCTTTCCTATGGATGCTGGCGTCTTCTCACTGTGATTTTCAATGAGACAGCCACTAGAGGCTTTAGAGGCTGGATTAACCCTATTATAAACATAGCAGTTTCTCTGAAACTGCTATGTTTATTAAAAAAAAAAAGGGTTAATCCTAGCTGGACCTGGCACCCAGACCACTTCATTAAGCTGAAGTGTTCTGGGTGCCTAGAGTGGTCCTTTAACCTAGAACAAAACACAGCCATGTTCATTAAACAGTATAACAGGATGAAAGGAAAAGAATTTCCTTACAGAATGTAGCGCTTGTATACTAAATAATATGCTATCACCTTTTAGTAATTAGGCGAGATATGATTTTTCCTCCTTTTTCAGGTGTCCAGTAAATGGTTAATCTACAAAAGACAATCATACATAGTGCAGATAGTATATAACTGTGCAATTTTGTATCTATTCATATATGGTGTTATTCACTCACAAACAGAGAGCTGTGGACCCAGCTCTAGTTGAAATCACTTTTGGGTCCGTCTAGGCGACCCACCCCTGTTTAGGATATATGTCTTGTCCTACAGGAAAATAGATAAACCGGAGATAGCATAGTACAGTCTATGTAAATTAGAATAAAAGTGTTGATCCCAAGTGGGTACTTACAGACCAGGAGTCTAAATTGACTCAGTTCTTGAATTATGTGCAGATTAAGGGACTGCACTCCCAGATGTAAATGGATAGATGGAGAACCAAATAAAAAGAGAATTAATTTATTAACACAGTATATAAAATACAAATAAAATCGGAACAATGTCCAAATAAAAAAGCCGGAACGCGTTTCACCACTCAAGCGTGGCTTCCTCAACCGGATCGATATGCTGAATGTCAATCGGTTCCCCATCTCCGTTTATATATCCTCCTTAATGGTTCCATGTAATACAGGTGTGTGTTTCCCACACACGTCGTTACCACTTGCAGGTAGGATGTGTGTGGTCCACACCTCGTTCTGGTCGTCTGATGCTGTCCTCGCCTCGTTTTGGTTTCCATGCCTCCAAACTGTTTAACTATTTGTTTTCTTAAGGTTCTCACCATTGGGCTGATTTTATCCACAGCATTCAAACGTCCGTCTTTGCAATAAAATTAGACAGCACATATTTAAACTGCACAAATACATTCCGATTCATATTGGAGTCGGTCAGTTCGTTTGCAGAGCTTCGAAGTTCATTCACGATTTATAAGTATATAACAGTATAACAGGATGTCCATAAATTGATAGCAGCCCATTCCAGCCATTCTATGTGAACTGCTTTTTAGGAATACTGGATAATATCAGTGTCCATAGACCAGAATATCATCCTAGTGTGGGAGGAGTCTTTAAACTATATTCAACTTCTACAAAGATAATAATTTTAAAAATATTACTGTTATATTCAAATTGAATATTATTGGGCAGAAGGGTGATTATCTCTGTCTTTATGGGAAGTGCATATTTTTTCTCTACCTTGACTAAGCATTCCTGAAATATTATATACAAATAGAATGTCATTTTGGGGCCTGTTTACTAGTAGTGCATTCATTTTTCTTCGAAGAATCAACTGTGTTTCTGCCAAATCTCAATGAATGGTTAGATTTGATGATATATTTCAAATGATTAACATAATGTATAGGCAGGTTTTAAAGTGCTGCATGAATGCATAGATATTTTTGATGACAAAGCCACGAATAGAACAAAATATTCACAGCTGAAGTTAGCATTTTTTTGTGCTAGGTTCAACCATATAAACTGTGAGTCCTGTGTATTTTTTCTTATACTATATATAAAAGTTGGCACATGGAGTAGACAAATGATAAACAGAACAAACCAGGTCAAGATCACACAAATTAGAACATATATTAAACTTGTCAAAAAACACATTCTTAGAGATTTATGACCCTTCCCAGGTTATATTTAATGTATGAGGGTAGGTAAAAGATCTGCAAAACTGTAAGCATGTGTAGAACACCAGGGGCCATGCCATTAGAGGGGCCCATTAGAGGACTTATGGGCCATTCTAATGTATATAACTGTGTATATATTAAAATATAAACAGTGAGGGAAATTGGGTCATTGTCATGCTGGAATACCCATCCACGACCCATTTTCAGTGCCCTGGCTGAGGGAAGAAGGTTCTCACCCAAGATTTGACAGTACATGGCCCCGTCCATCGTCCCTTTGATGCGGTCCGGTCCACTTAGCAGAAAAACACCACCAAAGCATAATGTTTCCACCTCCATGTTTGACGGTGGGGATAGTGGTATTGGGTCAATAGGCAGCATTCCTCCTTCTCCAAACACGGCGAGTTGAGTTGATGCCAAAGAGCTCGATTTTGGTCTCATCTGACCACAACACTTTCACCCAGTTCTCCTCTGAATCATTGAGATGTTCATTGGCAAACTTCACACTGGCCTGTACATGTGCTTTCTTGAGCAGGGGGACCTTGCGGGCGCTGCAGGATTTCAGTCCCTTACGGTATAGTGTGTTATTAATTGTTTTATTCGTGACTATGGTCCCAGCTGCCTTAAGATCATTAACAAGATCCTCCCGTGTAGTTCTGGGCTGATCCCTCAACGTTCTCATGATCATCGAAACTCCACGAGGTAAGATCTTGCATGTAGCACCAGACCAAGGGACACTGACAGTTATTTTGTGTTTCTTCCATTTGCGAATAATAACACCAGCTGTTGTCACCTTCTCACCAAGCTGCTTGGTGATGGTCTTGTAGCCCATTCCAGCCTTGTGTAGGTGTACAATCTTGTCCCTGACATCCTTGGACAGCTCTTTGGTCTTAGCCATGGTGGAGAGTTTGGAATCTGATTGATTGATTGCTTCTGTGGACAAGTGTCTTTTATACAGGTAACAAGCTGAGATTAGGAGCACTCCTAATCCTTTAAAAGAGGTGCCCAGGTCATCTCCTGGCTTGCTGCATCCACACTATATTTATAGAAGTGACCTCTAGTGGGCCACTCTAATGGCATGACCCCTGGTGTTCTACACATGCTTACAGTTTTGCAGATCTTTTACCTACCCTTACACATTAAGTATATCCTAGGAAAGGTCATAAAGCTCTAAGAATGTCTTTTATGACGAGTTTAATAAATGTTTTAATTTGTGTGATCTTGACCTGGTTTTGTCTACTGCGTGTGCCAACTTTTGGCATTTTTGACCAGTCTTTTCTTTGACATGCTCGGCCAATCAATGCCATCCAAATATTCATGACATTGATATTTCTAGTGCAGTAGTGGAGCATTCACATTATCTATTTTGGTGAGCCGGCGATTGGTCGCATGTGATGAGGGAAACCCTGCTTTTATTCAAACCACTTAAAAATGACGTGACCCCACACCAGTGCTCACGTAGCCTAATATTGTAAAATATAAAAAGTGTGTGGAAAAAAAGTCTAAATTAAAAGAAAAAGTATTAGAAGAAAATTGTGGTGTACCTATACTCATTATTTTGGTTAGGAATTATAAAATTAATGCATTTTAAAAATAATAATTAAACCACTTAAGTTTGTAGTTCCTGTGTTGGCTGGAATTCTTGGAATGTGTCCTTACTGTGTCATTGTATTTTTGGATTGCATTATAATTTCAGTTACATTCCAATTCAGTCTGTAGTAGTATTTTATCAAGATTATATCTTTATAAAATACTAAGAAGTGACAGAGTCGATTTACAGATCCACCTGGGTACCTAAAAAAAAAAACACTTGATTAAGTTAAGACTTATAAACATAAATATTTCACAGAGATAAATCTCATAGTTCAGTGTTGGTTATTCATCGTCAGATGCATCGTTAACAGCAGCTGTTACCGTTTGTGCCCACCTTCTTCCCCTTAGTCTCACGGTCCATTAACAGAATGGGCATTGGGCTTTAGCAGCGCTGCATGTAGTGATGTCACTCAAGAATTAGAACATTGGAAACAATGACATTACTGTTGCCAGAGTAACATCAGAAATATATGAAATCCTTATTATTTAAATTCTGAGCATCGGAAGAATACATAATCCTTTTTATGTATATTCTAAACATCATTATTATTTGTGCCTTGTGTGAATAGAAGACAGGAAAATAACAGAGCAGCTTTATCAGATATATCATTAGCATGCTGTGGATTTTTTTTTATGTATGGGACTTAGAGACATTACATATTATAATTCAGAGGATCATATAGCGCAAACATACGTAATATTAAACGGATTGTCAACCTCTCGCCTAAAATTGCAGGATGCTGTCCTTTCGGTGGTCATATCCTATATGTTAGAAGAGTTACCTACTATTTCTTGCTTCAGCCCTTTATTGACAAGAAAGTGGGAAAGAAATGTTAGCCACAATTATCAAATTAAAAAAAAAAATCCATCTTGATTTAGGTGCAGATTTGATTAAACACCGCAATTTTTACCATCATTTTTGTAAGTCCATGCACTATGTTGTTAAATGCGTTTGCTGCTCTTGGTCAGAAAAACAGAAGATAAAAAAAAGATCACAGCATCTGAGAACAGCTAAAACGTGAGAAATGGTGGATGGATAAATCTATAAATAGCTGAATGAGTCTCTGGATGATTATAATAGTACACCCTACATCATAGATTATGGATTCTATCAGTGCTCCTGGCATTGCAGCACTTCTTAAGGCAAGGTTAACTTACCACTAGCCATCAGGAAATTCAGTTTGTGTTGTTTACATTACTGAAGTCAGCAGCCAGGAAGTAATCACGTTTTCATCACTGAATCTTTTTTATTCCTTATATTTTACTACTCTGTATCCTTAGGGACATAACATACCATCTCATTTTAATTGGCTTAATTCCCAAAAGACATTTAGATTTTACAACTGAAATTCATGGTAGCAGAACCTAGTAGTACTTGTCGTGAAGATCTGGCTATCAGGATGGCTCAGCCCTCCTTAATACATAAGAGAATCAATTTTAGTAAACTGTGCTTTAAATATTATGTAGCACTGTAAATACTGACTGTTTGCTTCTTCATGATAATTATATCTAGACTGTAATATTCTTTTGTTTTTTCGTCGTTTAATTACAGCTTTCATCTCACGTGATAGTGTACTAAACCAGGTTAGGGCTTGTTTTTTAGCTTGTTAGTTTATACTAATTTTTACTGGCTGGCCGCATATAACGTCTTCTTTCAAAAGATACCGACCACTCAAAGAGATGTCACTTACTAATAAAGCACAGAAGCAAATGCTGTGCATGTTGTGACCATAGCAACCGCACACCTTGCTGGCAAAAAAGGCACATGCTGAGCATACATACTTTACCTTGTCCTTGACTTTAGCAGGAGATAGCAGTGTATACAAAGTATTAACTGTACTTTTGTGCTATGTAAGGTAAATATTTATGTGACTTTTGAGGTACATTTCTGCTATATGAATTGTTTATTTATATAAAGAATTATTACATATTTTATGTGATGTGCCTGGATTTATCTATTATTTTTTAAAAATTCACCATTATCTGCCAAACTTTGCATATATATTATATCTCTTATAAATATTTGTGTTTTTACATGTTTCATTTTCTGGAGAATTTCACAGACCAGACCCACTACTGTAAAGACCCCAGATTTCCATTCTGCTATTGCGCTTGGGTACAGCAATCCCACATGTAGACTAGAAAGCTTTTTGCAGTTTCACACAGAGCAATCACAGCAACAGGCAAGTTAGGTTGAGCGGCAATTGGTCAGATAACAGCAGAATCTGACCTAACATGACTAGTCCGCTAGATAAAAAGTGAAACAAATCTATATATATTTATATATCGTTAAAAAATTTTTTATATAATTTTGATTTATTACATGTAAGAAACTTGCTAAAAATACGAAGTGCAAATCTGATGACTTACCTCTTACCTTTCCTCCCAAAGACACTATTCACTAACAAATTTTGATGCTATTTTTAAACCCATTTAACCCTAATTCTATAAAACTCTATAGGGTTCCCTTTAATAGAGGAAATCAATGCGGCCTCATAGTGATAGCTCTCTTGTTTTGGGGGTCCTGCACATCACTATTTCTATGATGCCCAACTAGAGCTCAGGATTCCAGAGATTTAAATGGCTTCCTTGCATGGTATGGCAGCCATCACAAAGTGTAGTATTATTATTATTACTATCATTTATATAGTGCCACCATATTCTGCAGCAAATTACAATCATAAAATGGGGATATTTAACAAGTAATTGACATACATGCATTAACAGAGGCAAGAAGTGAAGAAGGCCCTGCTCAAACAGGCTTTCAATCTATAAGAGGGGTTAATACACACAAGATGAATTAAAGCATGTCAGAGGGAAAGAGGGGACTGGTAGATAAGATGTCTGTGTCACAATAAGCTAGTATTAGTGGTGTGTGGAGCAAGCAAACAGTGGAAGGAGGGAGAGTGAACTGGGCTATAGCGGCAAGGGAACTGAGGAAGACCATTGTAATTAGACAAGCATCACCCATGAAGAGGTGTTCAGTGACTTCTTACATGACTGGAGGATCTGGGGGAAGTGGGTGGTAATGGGTTACAAAGGAATACTTACAACAAATTCTTGCTTATATCAATTTGTTCCTTATGAGTTTCTTAAACGCTGTCTATTTGGCCTTTGGCTCAGTCACCCTGTGTCACATGTTTTCATGACTTTGGCAGGGGCAATATGCTCCATAGAGTTGATCCTGAACTCAATATATAGATTTTATTGGGAACAAAATAAAGTCCCATACTCATGCAAAGAAACATAATGAACATTTTGTGGCTGTTTACTGAGCAATATGATAACATTAGGAAGTGTTTAGTCAATTTTCTGTCATAGTTCAATGCTGCTCAGACCTTCGGATCCCTGGACAATGTAGCAAATATATTTTTTCCATCCTTTAGAAGTAAACCCTAGAATTTTTACCCTTGTGAACAAGTGTTGTAAGGAAGGCTGGGATGTGATTTCATGACTTAAAGGACCACTTTAGTGCCAGGAAAACATACTCGTTTTCCTGGCACTATAGTGCCCTGAGGGTTCCCCCACCCTCAGGGACCCCCTCCTGCCGGCCTCTGGGGAGAGGAAAAGGGTTAAACTTACCTTTTTTTTCAGCGCCGGACGGGTAGCTCTCCTCCTTCTCTCTGCCTCCGATCCTCCTCTTCGGCTGAATGCGCACGCGCGGCAGGAGCTGCGCGCGCATTCAGCCGGTCTCATAGGAAAGCATTTACAATGCTTTCCTATGGACGCTTGCGTCTTCTCACTGTGATTTTCACAGTGAGAAGCACGCAAGCGCCTCTAGCGGCTGTCAGTGAGACAGCCACTAGAGGATTTGGAGGCTGGATTAACCCTAACATAAACATAGCAGTTTCTCTGAAACTGCTATGTTTATAAAAAAATAAATAAAAAAAAAAGGGTTAATCCTAGAGGGACCTGGCACCCAGACCACTTCATTAAGCAGAAGTGGTCTGGGTGCCTAGAGTGGTCCTTTAACAAAAGTATTTTTGTTTTGTAAGTGAATATGTCTATTACAGCAATACCAAATTATTTCTACTTATATTAACTTTTATTATATTTCCATTGACTATTTAAAGTTGTACAATTTGTTATTTTGGCTATTTCTTTGTGTTCCTGGTTAGTAAGACAGTACTCCATTTTAATGGCTTGCCTCTGTCACTCATTATACTTTTGAAGACAAGAATGGGAGTGAATGACTTGCAATGCATTGGTTGACAGTCCTTAGATGATTCTTGTGAAGTATTAATTCCATATATTTGCTTACATTTTATTTATTTCTTTTTGTATCGGCTCGGGAAAATTGTTCCCTGGAATAACTTGTAATTTTTGGACCGCTGAAACACTGAAAGTTTCATTGAGTACACCAAAACTGACAAACTTGCTAGCAACATGCATTAACAGATATTACCTCAGCTATAATTCATATTGAACTCAAGGTTGTCATAACCTGGCACAGATTAGGCAGGTTGTATGCTTGTTCGGTAGAAACTGGACAAACAAAATTCAGCTTCCGTTGACAAAAAAGATTGTGATTGGCCAGTAAATGCCAATCAATTAATATGTTTGTTATAGGTTTGAAATTGACTTGGTTGAAACAAACTCTAGTTTTTTTAAAGTATTAGTTTCAATAAAATAAATCTCTCACTGCAGGTTGCAGCCAACACTTGTGGTTGGAAGACTAGGCAAAATAATCTGTATTGAGCAATTTTGAAAGGGATGCATTAATATTTATGTTAACAACATCACAAGGATGTTTGGCAAACCTCTGGAGGCAAGGAGATTCTGCTTGTGTTGAGTATTTTGTTTTAACTCTATAGCTGCATCTTCACTGTTTTAGAAATCGTTCTTTTCCTTTATTACATTTGTTTGACTCATAAATAAACTTCAACCATATAGTGTTTGTTACCAAGTCTTGAAAATGACAACAACAAAAAAATACTCAAAATAGTAGAAACTGTCAACTGAAATTTTTTTTTATTTTACTGGCTACTTAAATCAGAATTTAAATATTGAAAAGATTTTACACTTCAAGTGAAAGCCAAGTTATATCAAAATGTTCTGTGAGCACACTGAGTTCAGGGCGGTAACTGTCTGAATGCATTCTTGAAATATCTATTGGGTTTACAGTAAAATTGGGATTACTTTCTCGCAAACAATTCAAACTGCTACATTTAGCTAACGGCACCTCAGGTAAGGTAGCAACAAAATGGGATGTTTAAAAGGTGCTGATGAGAATTAAGAAAAAAAGATAGCTGCGCTTTCAAGAATTTTCCATCATTGCAGTGGACCTTGGTTCAAGAAATGTTGGTAACCATTTTTCTAAAAGTTCAGTGAATAGCGTCTGTTCTCTGTGACTGATTTATATGTATCATGCTATGCAATATCCTTTATATTTATATGTCGTTTGTGATAATATCAATGACTAATTATTGCACGCTTTAAAAATTTTTTTAAAATGTTACTGTGAGTATATTTGTTGCCAGTTATTCTTACATAGTAGGCTATTTTTATATCTCGAAGTATAAACACCAGAGAACTAAATGTGTAATTAATTGGGAATCGGGGTCCTAATAAATTGATTTAAAGGCTAAGCACATTAGACTGAATTGTTTTTGAAGCGGCTTGTCTAATTATTGTGTCTGCCACATTCATCTACTTCTGAGTCACTCCCATCTCCTGGACGACTGCCTAGAATATTGCAGCAATATGTGTTTCAATTGGCTATTCTCCTGTCATGCATAACTTTTCTGGGAAGACTACAGCAACTTATTTTTTTTTTCTCCTTTTCACGATGTGAACAGAGAGCTGCATTATGCTGTTCGTTTATATGACGCTGCTTGCTCAGAAGGGTGTGGCTGAGTTTTTATTTTGCTTTCCTTTATAATATATTTTATGTTTTGTTTTTATAAACTGACATTTTCTCTTCTTTCTTTTTCTATCGTAGGTTTGCTGTTTACTTGAAAAGTGCCTTTTTCCAGAGTCACTTTTGCCAGTAAGTGCTACCGTTTGTGGATTTAACACTTTCTTGCCAAACAGGATCCAATTCCAAAGTGAGGCTGCCATTAACTTGCATGTGTTCACTTGCCAATAGCTTGACGTGAAATGGACTGATCGTCGACAAAGAGGACATACGCACTATCTAGTTTTGATTTTTCAGAAGGCTGACAGTGTTGTTTTCATCATTATTTAATCTATACCAAAAAAAGTGTCCAAGTAAGAATTAAGATTTTGTCGAGGAGCAACACTCAATTGGACTAACTTTATGGAAAGTCAGAGTCGGACAACATCCAAACTACCCTGACATTTCCAATTGCGGAAGACTATGAGCATGTTGTCTTCTCAGCCAAAATTGAACAAGTGGGGTAACTTGATTCATTAGTGACTTCATATTGATTAATTAGCTCTTCTGATGCTACTTTGGATTTCATTCAGCAATCTATTCCAGCTGAGAAAGCTTTATTTTTCTGAAACTTTATAAGGATTTTCCAGATTCGCTGAGAATTTTAGTTGGACAATTACCAACCAGGCCGGGTAGATTTGTTGTGGTTGGAGGTTTTTTGTTTTTTTTTTTTTGTTCTATTCTTTACACCATGGCTTTGAATGTAGCTCCCGTAAGGGACACAAAGTGGCTGACACTAGAAGTGTGTAGACAGTTCCAGAGAGGTACTTGTTCAAGGTCTGATGAGGAATGCAAATTTGCACATCCACCTAAAAGCTGTCAGGTGGAAAATGGACGTGTTATTGCTTGCTTTGATTCCCTTAAGGTAAGGAGGATCCCATTCATATTATGAGATTGAAGTGTTTTTATGATGTAGGTGGAACAGTATTAATTAGCCTTTGCTTTTTTCTCTAGGTGAAACATGTATTTTATACTAAATTAATGTTTTTTGTAATTTAGGTGTTACCCAAACATGTTTAGCAGGGAATCTCTTATTATGAAGGGGATTTTCTTGAGCTAAATTACTCTTAAATTGGTCCCATCAGAAATATTTTTTAAAAACGTGGTTAAAAGATAAGTTTTAGGGGGTCAGTTACAGAAAATAAAAAATATGGCTTGTGCTGTTTGCCAAACGAGTGTATAATGTATGTATTGATGGAAGAAAAGAAATATCCAGACACACATGAGGTTTCTTCTAAAAGGCTTTCTTTTTATTTGAAAGAAGGTAGTGGAGACAACGTTTTGGCTCCTCTCTGAGCCTTTGTCAAGCCTGATAGAAACTGCCTTTTAGAAGAAACCTCAGGTGTGTCTGGATATTTCTTTTCTTCCATTTTATGTCTTTAGGGATTGGCCCTTCCTTTCAGGAGAAACATAAACACATGACATAACAGAGAGTCAATACAGGAAAAAAAAAAACATAATGAGTAATGAAATAAAAAATTACATACAAATAAGTAGAATAAGCGATGAATTGTTCCTATTTCCACCATAGACCGTCCTTTTTGTACATCATTAGAAATAGTTACATTATTATTATTATTATTATTGCCATTTATATAGCGCCAGCAGATTCCGTAGCGCTTTACAATATTATGAGAGGGGGGATTTAACTATAAATAGGAAAATTACAAGAAAACGATAGGTTGAAGAGGACCCTGCTCAAATGAGCTTACAGTCTATAGGAGGTGGGGTATAAGACACGTTAGGACAGGAAATATCAATCAAATAGGGTGGGAGTGAAGCAGAGCTGGAGGAGAGGGTAGAGAGAGCAAGAGACAGGTATGTAAGGTAGAGGTTACTCTGGGAGGCCATAAGCTTTCCTGAAGAGATGGGTTTTAAGGCTCTTATTAAATGATTGAAGACTAGGGGAGAGTCTGATGGCGGTAGGCAGGCTATTCCATAGGAAAGGAGCCACCCACGAGAGGTCCTGCAAGCTCGAGTTGGCTGTACGGGTGCAAGCAGCGGTCAGGAGGTGGTCACGGGCAGAGCGGAGGGAACGAGGAGGGGCATACCTATAGATCATTGAGGAGATATAAGAGGGGCTAGAATTGTTCAGTGCTTTAAATGTACGGGTTAGCACTTTGAATTGACTCCTATAGGATACAGGGAGCCAATGTAAGGACTGGCACAGGGTGATGTGTGAGAAGACCGACTAGAGAGGAAAATCAGTCTAGCTGCAGCATTCATTACAGACTGTAGCGGGGCAATACGGCTTTTGGGGAGACCAATCAGGAGAGGGTTACAGTAATCCATGTGGGAAATTACTAGAGCATAGACAAGCTCTTTGGTCGCATCTTGCGTAAGAAAGGGGCAGATGCGGGCTATGTTTTTGAGTTGGAACCTACAGGATTTGGCAACAGACTGGATGTGAGGCTCAAAGGTGAGACCAGAGTCAAGTATGACGCCAAGACAGCGTGCTTGCAAGTATGGACTATTGTGGATATCACTGACTTGAAGGGAGAGCGAGAGAGGAGTATCAGTATAAGGAGGAGGAAAGACAAGGAGTTCAGTTTTAGAGAGATTGAGTTTCAGAAAGCGTAATGACATCCAGTCAGAGATGGAAGAAATGCAAGCAGTGACACGTGGCAGGATGGCAGGGGAGAGGTCCGGGGAGGAGTGGTATATCTGAGTGTCATCAGCGTACAGGTGGTAGTTGAATCCAAAAGAGCAATAAGCTTGCCAAGACAGGCAGTATAAAGAGAAAATAGAAGGGGACCAAGGACAGAGCCTTGGGGATGAAGTATGCTTGGAAAAGGAGACACTGAATGAGCGTTGGGAGAGATAGGAGGAAAACCAAGAGAGGACAGAGTCACAGAGACCGAGCGATTGAAGAGTTTGAAGGAGGAGATCATGATCAACGGTGTCAAAGGCAGCAGAGAGGTCAAGGAGAATTAATATGCAGTAGTGACCTTTGGATTTAGCTGCGATTAGGGCATTAGTGACTTTGATGAGAGCAGTCTCAGTAGAGTGGAAAGGGCGGAAGCCAGACTGAAGAGGGTCAAGGAGAGAGTTGGAATTGAGGAAGCGAGACACACGGGTAAAGACAAGTCTTTCCAAAAGCTTTGATGAGAAAGGGAGCAGGGATATTGGACGATAGTTAGAGAGGAAGGATGGGTCAAGAGATGTTTTTTTCAGGATAGGTACTACAGTGGCATGTTTAAGGTCAGCAGGAACAGTGCCAGAAGAGAGAGAGCAGTTAAAGATGTGTGTTAGGGAAGGCACAAGACAAGGGGAGAGAGATCTGATGAGGTGGGATGGGACAGGATCGAGCGGGCAAGTGGTGGGGCGAGATAAAGTTAAAAGATAAGTTTCAGGGGGTCAGTTAGAGAAAAGAGAAATGTAAATTATGAAGTCAATCGGCAAAGCATGAGAAACAAGAGAATGGCTCCTCAAACCTGGCAAATCTTATTTATCCATTTTTTTATATTACCCTTTGTTTTGTCCATTGATTTATTAAACCTCTTTCCATTTTCAGTTGGAGTAATACTTGCTCTTTTATCATAAACCAGTTGGGCACAGTATCCTGTTTCCAATATCTAGCAATTCAAATTTTTGCTGCCACCAACATATGAATAAGGAAAGTTTTTTTTCAATTTCTATTGATATTAAAGGATCACTAAAGGGTCAGGAACACAAACATGTATTCCCGACCCTATAGTGTTAAAACCACCATCTAGCCCCCCTGGGCTCCTCATGCCTCTATAAATATAGCAACATCTTACTGTATTCAAGCCAGAAGCTGTAACTCTGCATGCTGACATCATGAAAAGTGGTGGCCTGATCCAATCACAATGCTTCCCCATAGGATTGGCTGAAACTGACAAGGAGGCAGATCAGGGACAGAGTCAGCATGATTCAAACACAGCCCTGGCCAATCAGCATCTCCTCATAGAGATGAATTGAATCAATGAATCTCTATGAGGAAAGTTCAGTGTCTGCATGCAGAGGGAGGAGAGACTGGATGTTTGGATGCAGTTTAGGCAGCCATGACCCAGGAAGGATCTCTAACAGCTGTCTGAGGAGTGGCCAGTGAAGTTATCACTAGGCTGTAATGTAAACACTGCATTTTCTCTGAAAAGACAGTGTTTACAGCAAAAAGCCTGAAGGTAATGATTCTACTCACCAGAACAAATTCAATAAGCTGTAGTTGTTCTGGTGACTATAATGTAATGTATAATTAGGTCTAAATGCAACAAAAATATTTCAGGTATAAGAGGCAGCTTTCAGTAAGCAATATGTTGAATCTGATCATGTAACTTTTTCGAATAAAAACTGCTATATATATATATATATTATTTCTGAGAAAGAACCCAATGTATTCAACACTGTGAAAGATATATAAAAAAATTTTTAAAATGTAATTATAATGATCCAGCTATAATGTAATTGGTAATGGAAAAAAACTGTCTGTGGAAAAGCTTGCAGACTGTTGTGTACAATGTATAGAAAAGTCATGATTTAAATTGCAAATAATATGCTATATTGATTGTCTTAAAAGAGAACCCTAGATGTTTAGATTTTGCTTGTGTAAATTGTAACCAGAGTGATGAATTTGGGTCCTATGGTTGTATCAGACCATTCAGGCTCTGATTCTAAAACTGGCATATTGGTGTGCAGATCTATCATTAAAGGAACACTCTAACATTGTAAATATATTATAATGCTTCTCTATGGAAAACATTAAGACTTCAAATGTCAAAGAACTGTCCCTAAACTTCAGGCCTTATCTCAGTGAAGATAATATAAGCTCCGTGCAGGAGCTTCTGACTCCAGAGGAGACAGGGATGAGTTGCTCAGGGAGAACTCATGTACGTTGTCAAACTACTTACGCTAGGGGGCAACAGGGCATAACCGACACCATAACCGGTACAGCAGGCTTTAAATTATGTTTCACAAGTAAAGTTATTATAAAGAAGAAAAAAATCTATTTACTTCCATAAATAGTACACAAAAAACTACCTCTGGGGTGTGAGATTGATATCTCCCGACATCCGAGACAGGTAGTTTTTCTATTCTTGTCAAAGCCAAACGTCAGGGCAGCCTTGGGGCGATTGGTGTCACGCAGTGAGTGTATCTCTGGCAGGGTCGGACTGGCTACTTTGGAAATTTCTTTGGATGCCGCTGTAGCTGGGGCTGCTTTTGACTGGTGGCTTATAGGGAAATGTGAGTAACTACAATAGCCAGTCGCTCCACGCAATGCATAGGACTGAAGACCTCCTTGGTACAACATGATGTCATATCCCAGTGGCAGACACACTGTTCATGGGAGAGCGACACATGACATAAAGGCAGCTGCTTTTAATGTTTTCAATAATATTTATATGTGTGTAGTGGATACAGTGAGAATATTTGATTAGTAAATGCAGTGTGTGTGTGTGTGTTTGTGTAGAGGGATTCAATGTGTTTGTTTGTGTAGTGGGTGCAGTGTATGTGTGTTTGTGTAGTGGATGCAGTGTGCTTGTTTGTGTAGAGGATGCAGTGTGGGTAGTGGATGCAATGCATTTGTTTCTGTAGTGGATGCACTCTCAATAGCATACAGTGTAACTTACACACTTTCACTGACATGCACAATGTCACAGTCACCAACACACACACAGTGTCACTTTGGCACACACACACACAGAGTGTCACTGACATACACACAATTTCACTTACACACACACATTCTTTCAGTGACATTCACAGTGCCACTTCACACTTTCACTAACACACAAACACTCACTGACACACACAATGTTACTTACACACTCTCACTGACATACACAATGTCATTTACACAGTCACTAACAAACACAGTGTCACTTACACACTCTCACTCACGCAAACACACACACACCCTCTCAGTGACATTCACAGTGCCACTTACACACTCTCACTAATACACACACACTGTCACTCAAGCATAAACTCACACCACTTTACATATAGTCACAATTTATTTACACACACAAACACAGCAATTCAATACACACAGACCAATTTACTATTATATACTCATACTCATGATCAGTTCCTCTTACTTTCAGATGGACAGATATGTGCTGTGAATGAAAGAGAGAGGTTCAACATGCAACATGCTGCTGTTCCTGGTGGGGGGAGCAGGAGAGCAATGCACTGTGAGCACAGGCTACTTCCTGTTCCCCTCAGAGTGCTTCCGGTGTCTACAGGCAGGGGGCAGCCGGGATACCAGTTGATGTCCTGTGTTCCACTGCCTGCAGGAAGCTGAGTGCTCTGCTCGGGTGTTGGGTTACAGCATACCCCACTCCCGAGCAGGCAAGCGGCAGCAGAGGGAGCCCAGCAGCTAAATGGCTGCACTGGGGGTTAGCTAAGGAGCCGCTCGCCCAGCACAGCATCCCCAGACAGCAGCAGGGCAGCCCACCAGGAAAGGCAAAAAAAAAACTAGCTGCTTTGTTATTTATATGTCCTCCTCAAAAAACTACATTTAGTCTTGGAAACAAAAAAAATGTCTTACTAACATGAACTGTAGAAGTAAACCCTGTTCACTCGTTCTACACTTTGCAATATATGCAAATATATTTAATCAGTTACTCAGGTCACAGGTTAGAGAAAGAAAGTGCTACCCTAGGTCATGACTCTGAAAGATTTGCATTAAAGACATTAAAAATAGGTGTTTTAGTGCCTCTATTAAACAGAAGGCCAGCTGTGATTAGAACCCTCTCCATTCCCACCCAGTAACTGTGGAATTCAGGAACTAAAGTGACTACAAGACCACCATATATCATGTGGCCAGATGGAGAGGGAATTAGAAATAGTTGGAATATTGGAATATGTTTTATTATAGAACATGAATGCATGAAAAGTGGATCCCAGAGCATTGTGGTATATTTGGTGTGGAAGTGCGGCTTACAGCCTTTCTGAGTATTGACACTCTTGTTTATAGATTCTCTAAAGTTTTTAAGACTGTGTTGCTTCCCTTCTGCTATAACTAACAAAAGTTCAACATAGGCGTGCGCAGCCTATTGCATTAGGGTGTGCACCCTAAAGCACAAACACACGCTGCGTGTATGTATATAAATATACATATACACACACACACACATACATACATACACTGCTGTGTGTGTGTGTGTGTGTGTGTGTGTGTGTGTGCTGCGTGAGGGTGGTTTGAGGGTGTTGTGTGTGTGTAAGGGTGCTGTGTGTGAGGGTGCTGTTAGTGTGATGTGTGTGTGAGGGTCCTGTTAGTGTGCTGTGTGTGTGAGGGTACTGTGTGTGTGTTTGTGAGGGTGCTGTTTCTGTGCTGTGTGTGAGAGGGTGCTGTGTGTGTGAGAGGGTGCTGTGTGTGTGTGAGGGCGCTGTGTGTGTGGGTGCTGTGTGTGTGTGTGGGTGCTGTATGTGTGAAGGTGCTGTATGTATGTGAGGTGTGTGAAGGTGCTGTATGTGTGTGTGTGCTGTATGTGTGTGAGGGTGCTGTATGTCTGTGGGTTCTGTACGTGTGTGTGTGTGTGTGTGTGTGCTGTATGTGGGTGCTGTATGTGTGTGCTGTGTGTGTGGGTGCTGTATATGTGTGCTGTGTGTGTGCGCTGTATGTGTGTGAGTGCTGTATGTGTGAAGGTGCTGTATGTGTGTGCTGTGTGTGTGTGTGCGTGCGGTGTATATGTGTGTGTGTGCTGTATGTGTGTGTGTGCTGTATGTGTGTGTGTAGGTGCTGTATTTGTGTGTGCTGTGTGTGTGTATGGGAACTGTGTGCTGTATGTGTGTGTGTGCAGGGTGTGGAGGTGGTGGTACATTACTTAATATATCCCCTCCCTTCTTACCTTATGTAGGGAGGGGGGATTCTTGTTCCTGCTGCTTTCCCTGGTGGTCCAGTGGAGAGTGAACTCTCGCGAGATCTGAGCGTTGCCGCGGCTGAGCTTCCCGGGTCCTCTCCTGCCTCCCTCCATGCTGCAGTGGGGAGGGAGGCTTAGAGCAGAGTGGGCGCTCGGATAGCGCCGGCTCTGCATGAGCCGACAGGGGAGATCCTGAGATCTCCCTTTGCCGGTCTCACTCCATAGGCGTGCTGCGGGGATTAGGGTGTGCCCAGGCACACCCGGCACACCCTGTGCGCACGCCTATGGTCAAATAACATAAGTGTAAAAGGAAGTTTTCTTTCATTACCGTACCTTCCTTTCACCTTCATTTGCTTATTACACACCTTGTAATATCTTCCAAAACGCTTTAACCCCTTAAGGACCAAACTTCTGGAATAAAATGGAATCATGACATGCCACACATGTCATGTGTCCTTAAGGGGTTAAACTGCAAAATATGACTGACAAGGGTTTATTTATTATATAATGAATTTTTGTGAATTGAAAATCAACAGGATATTCACTAAACACCAGATTTTTTTCCTGGTTGGAAAAAATCAAGTGTAAATTACCAAATTCTAACTGCAATAACAATTCTCTTATTTACTAAAGCCAAATTAGGTTGGAATTCAGGCCGACCAAAGCTGCAGCTATTTCCTGGATGCATTCCTTGCCCAGATTAAAATTTGTGTTTTTATATCCCAACCTTATACAAAATATAGGATTTAAAATAATCATAAAGCATGGATATTATTAGAATTCCGAACCTAATGCAAACGGCAGGATACACATTCGGAAAGTCGTATGTGTATGTGTGCATGTGCGCAAGTACAGCCCTGAGGTGTATGGGGGATCCTGCAGGATCCTCCATAGAGATAGCTTTTCCTAACAGCCGTCCCTACTTTCAATCAGATATACACCCACCTGCCACATGGAAATAACAGGGTTTTATTGACTCCTGCAGGGTTTGTATTTTTTTTATATGGTTAGCATGCACCAGCCAGCCACCACATAAGTAACCCTCGTCACCCCCAAGGGTTTATAACTATTTGCCTACTAGCTGCTAGCACTACCAGTGGGAAAACAGTTATTTTTTTTTTTTTTTTTTAAACTGGGCTCGGATTTGAAGCATTCAGGTCTGTATTTGAACTGGATTTTGCTGTCCAAATGGCACCGTATGTAGTTTTGCCACATTCAGTATGGGGTCACTCGGACAAATTACAAATTATAGGTTTCATTTGAAAAATCCTCCAACAGATCGTCTGTTATTAAAGCTATTATTACAAATCTTCCACCAGACCTATGTGTCACTTTTCTTAACGTTCCCTATAGCACCAATGGCAGTTGCTGTTTTGGCCTGATATCCCTAATTTGTCTGAAAAAAGAACATTTGTTCTGGTTCTGTTGCTGTACAAGAAAAGCGTGGTTAATTTCCACAGTGATAACTTGACTGCATTTACACTGAGATATTCCCTATGAACACTTGAACAAGTTGACTGTTGTCTCATTATCAATTCTATTCCTGGAAGGGTAAAAACAGCTGTTATGGATAGTTAAGTGCTGAGACAATTACTTGTAACCCAAGAAGGTGTAAGCATGTGTTCATCATTTGGTACATGTGCATATAAATTGTGTAATATAGATTGTGTCACTTTCAAACAGCACCCAATATGTCACAGACCAGCTCCGAGTATTTAGTACAATACTACTTTAATTACAAGTTGGGTTTCAATAGCTTCATCTGCAGTTGTTATGTTCACCTTCCAGACAGAGATAATATATTAATAATAAAAAATAATATATATAGCTCCAATCAGCAATCAAGGTGTCCAAGCATGGGAGCATGGACACAGCCAATATTGCAGATTTGTAACATATGCGGTTCTGGAGAAAATCATTTTTTCTTTACTACTTCACAAAATAAATTGTGCAAAAAAATTCCTTTTGGACCATGTGACTACTGTAGGTGGTCAAACAAAAAAACATGGACAAAGCACATAGCATATGTTTAATCTGTGTCATAGTCTAGTAGTGAAATGCAGATTTAAGCAATTTTATAAAATGGAGGCAAAATAATAAAATGGTACCTGACCATATGAACTATGGGCCAATTACGAGATCGTGGACAAAGCACATGCACAGAATAATATTACACAATCCATTAAGGCCATTGTTTGCCCAAATTACTTCTCTTGAATGACTATCAGGGTTATTCACAAGTGAGAATTCAAAGTAAATTTCACATGTAAGGTCAAAATAGATGAACAGGATAAATTATCTATGTCACCTATGCTTTCAGTTTGGTTACTCTGGCCTTAAATTTAAAATTCACTTAGAATTTTCACTTTAGTTAATAGCTCTGTGTGAAGCAAAATAAAACATAATGACATGCCATTCAGTTAACCCTGATCAGGTCTAGGTTTTCCTTCCTGTACCATGGCAAAAAAACATTGATGTGCTTAGTAGCAGACTGGTCTTATCCACATGGGAAATTCAGATCTTTGCTCGAGAGATATAGCAACCACAAGCAATGGTTTTGGCTTCCTATGGACCTTATCAGTGAGGCAGTGGCGGATCCAGGAGCTAATCTCAGGAGGGGCACTGGCAGATCATTTTAAGAAACAAGAAAATGCCTGTAGTGGTTTTGGTGCCAGGAGTTGCTGTGGTGCCCTCCCAGAGTAAGTAGTTAAACTGTTTAAAAAAATATTTGATAACTTACCCGGGGTCTGCCGGGATACGGGCTGTAGTGTGTATGTGGGTGATGGGTGCAGTGTGTGGGAGGGTCGCATTATGTGTATGGAGGGGTAGTGCGTGTGTGAGAGGGGTGCAGTGTATGTATGGAGTAGCAATTTGTATATTGGGATCAGTGTGCTTGTGTGTAAAGGGTGCAGTGTGTGTATTGGGAGCAGTGTGTTTGTGTGTGAGTGGCGCAGTGTGTTTTTGTATGGGGGGCAGTGTGTGTATATGGTGGGGCTGTCTATAAGGTGGCAGTGGGTGTATTGGCAGCTATGTGTGTTTATGGGTGGCAGTGTGTGTGTAAGGGGGACAGTGGGTGTATTGGGGGCTATGTGTGTTTATGGGTGGCAGTGTGTGTAAGGGGGGGCTTTGTGTGTAAGGGGGGCTGTGTGTGTAAGGGGGGGCTATATATTTGTTTGTGGTGCAGTGTGTAGGGGGTTATAGTTTGTGTGAGGGGATAGGGGGACAGATTAAGCCCTTAAGGACCAAACTTCTGGAATAAAAGGGAATCATGACATGTCACACATGTCATGTGTCCTTAAGGGGTTAAAGAGAATTTTTTTTTTTATTATTAAATAATAACTAAATAAATATAGCTAATGTCCCCCCTCCCTTCTTACCTTTGCTGAGGGAGGGGGAGACATTGCTTTTGTTGCATCCCTGGTGGTTCTAGTGGTGAGAGTGAACTCTAACCTGCAGCTCAGGGTAGAGTTCACTCTCGTGAGAATGGAGCGTTGCCATACTAACCGCAGCAACGCTCCATGCTCGCTAGAGGAGAACCCGGCGGAGATGCAGGTAAGAGCTCCCCCGGGTTCTCTCGACCTCCCCTGCCGGCTGTCCTGCAATGTGCCTGTGGGCCGGGAAGGGAGATCACTGATCTCCCCTCTGGTCCTTGAAGGCCAACATCAGGGCTGATGCTTGGATAGTGCCAGCCCTGCATGGGTCGGCAGGGGAGAGCCTCGGCCAGCACTATTTTATTGTGGGGGGAAGGGAGGGGGTACAATTGCCCCGTTGCCTCCCCTGGATCCGCCACTGCAGTGAGGTGCAGCTTATAACCCTCAAGGTACAGTGAGCATCGGGTATATGTTTTGGGGAGTGGAGGCGAAACAAAAACAAATTAATGATATGAGATACACTGAGAATAGATTACCTTTATGTGAGTCCCTGCTCAGATCTTAAAAGATTTTGCTCACATGTGCCATTACAGAGAGAACCTAGGCCTGTTGCATGTGTGAGTTTGAATCTAAATCATAATGTTATTTCACACAACATGTAACATAAACAATTATGACATTTGAATATTTAGCAAAATCAATTACCAAGATGGATGACACAGCACATTTTGCAATAAGGAAGTGTAAACATTAGATGACTCTTTACAGGAAGTTACATGACTCTTTAGGAAAGCTGTGTAAGTCACATGCAGAGGGGTGTGCATAGGGCTGCATAAACAAAGTGAGTTAACTCCTAAATTGCAGTAAATTGATCAGTGAAACTTTAGAGGCATGATCTATACACAAAAAAAGCTTTGTTAAGCTAAAGTTGTTTTTGGTGACCAGAGTGGCCCTTTAAGGAATTTTGTTATTTTCCAAGTTCTGTGTGGGATTTTAACTGTGACTGCCATACATAATAATACTGTTAGCTTTTACTGCAAAAACACAGAAAACACATTTGTATGCAGTGATGTCCCCCGAGTACAACGATGACCCCCATGTACAGGCTTTATGGTGTTTTGGAAAGTTACAGGTTCAAATATATGGCTTGCCCTTTCAGTTATTACACATTGAAATTTGCCAGGTTGGTTTGCTGGGCCTATATTGGTAGCCGAGGAATGAAAATTACCCCATCTTGGCATACCATTTGCAAAAGTAGACAACCTGAGCTATTCAAAATGGGGTATGTCCAGTCGTTTTTAGTAGCCATTTAGTCACAAATCCTGGTCAAGTTTAGTGTTCATATTGTTTTTTTTGCAATTTGTACACAAAAACTGCATTTTCACTGATTATATCATCATTGTCATATGTTTTACTGGTATTAGTTGTGTTCAGCGAGGTACAGGGTTTATGGGGTTTTGGAAAGTTACAGGGTCAAATATAGGGCTTACCCATTTCAGTCTTCATACCTGGAAATTTGACTAACTGATTTTCTAGGCCTATTTTTCACGCACATACATTCCATTTTCACAGGACATTTCATAATCCTGTGTGTTAATGTAATAAAACCTCAGTATTTTTTACTTAGCACTGTTTCACCAACAGTTCTCCCAATATACCAGTTTTCCAGGTTTTTTTTGGAGAAGACACAGGGCCAAATATATTAGATGCCATTTTCAACTTGTAAAGTTATTTTCTGGCCTATGTCACCTTTGAGAGAACATGGCGCCCTAAGAAATAAAATTGCCCCAATGATGCCATACCAAGTATTCTAAATGTATTATTTTGAGTTGCTTGGTATAGCCACATGTATTCCTGACGCTATAGCATTAAAACCACCATTTAGGTGACTTGCCCCTTAGAAAGGGTTCAAATTCACTTTATTTCCAGGTGAAAAGTGAAAGTTTTCTAAAACAAAAAAACTCATAGATGAAGATAATAAAGTTCATACAGGTTATGAGTGTGTACTGTCACCACTTACTGAAAGTTTATTTAATGCTACCTTTTATTTGTTTTACATATCAAATATAAAATAATATATTTATAGGAATTTATATTGCTTGCCGTTTTAGACTTTCTTAGCTATACTTAAAGAAACACTCCAACCCCTATAACAAATGTAGCTTATTGAAGTTGTTATGAGTGCAGAAGTGTCTGGGTATCTTACTTTCAGGGTCTATAGCTATGTGGGCTCTGGCGACTGCAGAATGAGGAGCGTTTAGCTAGGTGGCCATTGGTAGACTAAAGTTGTCAGCTGACGCAACCTATTATTGGCTTCCCAACGAGTACTATTGGGCTATTTTCATAACATGGATGTTTTGACCTACATTTTGCAACGCTATGGTTTATTAGAATATATACCTTTTTCAACACATTTTGAAGTATTATCTCCCCATTTATTTTAGTAAGGGGTCACAAATCCAGATCGGGCATTGCAAGGAAACCTACTACTTCCTGCAACCTGGCCTGAGGGATTTGACATGCTATTAAAATGGCCTATGGATATACTGTACCATGTATACTGTACCATAACCATGCCTCACAACATCCCGTTGTTTTCAGGGCAGTCAAGATTTTGGGGACCTGATCTACTGTCCCAACTTTGTTGCTGTTGTCCCATTTTTAGGAACGTTTTACAAAAAGTTTAGCATATCACGCTCACACTGCATTCAGGGTATTAGGATCCTGCAGAAAGCACAGAGATGGCCTGATCTAAGTGGGCTGGCCTGCTTGATTGGCAGAGAAGTGCATGGGCCATCCTACTTTGAGTACATGCACCGGAGTCTCTCTTCTCAGAATGCCAATATTAGGGGGCTTGCATAAAGCTACTAAGACCACCTTTACCAAATTTACATTTGAGGGAAAAGAGAACTTTTAACTGGTTAATTCTGGGTTTCAATGCCCCTTGCACTGTAGAATTGCCCCATTGCCAAGGTTACAGGGACAGAGGGCAAATGTTTTATTTATTTATTTATATATGTATGAGCTTCCCGGTAATGGCTGAAGGCTTTTTAACTTTTCATATTAATAAAATTATTCAAATTAAATCAAGTCATCTTTTTTACTTGCCCTACCTGATTTAATCGGATCATTTTGTTTCAGTTGGAGAAAGACACATTGCAGGTAACCTGTATACAAGTATATAGTGGACTTTGAGGATTTTCCTCCAGTCAGCTGTGTCACACAAAAATTTGTGAAAAAGTTGTTTGCTTCTCAACCTTTTGTGAATTATGATCAGTCAGTCCAGAAATGGCAAGCAGGTAGTTGGACGGCCCTAATTTAATGCGCAAACACATTATAGCCAAAAGTTCAGAGATAGTTCAGAGTTCAAGAAATACTACTAGATGCAACTAATAATATGGGATTTGCCCATGTACATCATTGTTGTTAAATTCTCCATAAACAGGATCATTTTTCTAAAGCAGTTCCCCTGTTACCCTGCATTAAGTATGCCAGCAGAGAGTGCATGTAGAATGTGTTTAATAAGCTGAGGGGTTTATTAATAGGTTTTAATTGAGACTATTCTTTCTAATTAGTTATTAACCTTTAAATCCTCGTTACACCAGGGGATATAATTCAATCCATGTACTCTGAGCCGCTGGGTGTTTTGTTTCTATTTCCTTCAGTGCATAAGCTTTTTTGATTAAAATCAACTTTTTATTATTTATTATTTTTATTTTCTGACATTTTAACAGCCCTCCTAGATCTTATAAATTGCCAAACAGCTGGCAACAAGCCAATTCTGTATTTTACTTGGTCATTTATTGTAATTAAACTGTAAGTGATCTTATTTTATTGAAAAATGAATACATTGCATGAGATTTAACTGGCCTGTTTGTGATGATTAGTGTAATGCCCGAGATATTAATGACAGATGTCTTGTTTATTGGATTGGCTTAAAATATGGACTATAACCTATTGACGTTACTCATCATTAGTGACGTGGGTCACCAGTTTCAGATTACATTGTTATAAGATTAATGAAAAATAGCCTTGATGATTAACATTTGTTTGAATATATTATTATGCCAGTGAGAAAGCTCAATAGTTAGAGTTCCGGCTGCAGTATCTGCATATCTGAGAATGATCAGGAATACCTCACATTGGAACTCACATGTGTACAGTATCTGCATATCTGAGAATGATCAGGAATACCTCACATTGGAACTCACATGTGTACTGTATAATTTCACTTGTAAATTTAAAGCCCTGTAAGTGCCCTCTTACTTGATATATATAATATAGAGAGAAGAGTAACAGTGAACCTTATTGGAAAATCATGCCAGTAAGCCTCTCTGGACCATCATAAAAAAAAAAAAAAAAATACAAGACCAAAGTCCCTCGTTAATAACTGCCTCCAGAATTCCAAGATGGCATTATTTTTACCTAATACATGCTTCACAGTTTTGTTTGTTTTATATCACATATGTTATTGTATGTTATGGATTAAGAGAGTGGTAGTATCAAAGTAGTATAGGGGTTAATGTTTAGTGTTAGTCTAGTGGTTAATGTGTATTTTTGGAGTTTATGATTAGTATTAGTGGAGTATAATGGTTAGTGTGTAGAGTGGGGGTTAATATTTAGGGTTAGTGAAGTGCAGTTAAGGCAGCACTTACACATACACTTCCTAGTGCTGACTGATGTTAGTCCTGGGCAGCAGCTATCTTAGCTGACTTTATTAAAATGGCAGCAGGTACCACTCGGGAATGCAAATTTTACTAATTTCGGTTATATATACAATTAATTTCTGTTGAATTATTGATGACAATCCTAATACATCATATTTAATTAAAAAATAAATCATAAGAAAAAGATAATCTCTGCATAAAATAAAATAAAAGATCAACAAAATCTTTTTAAAGGATCAATATAATGTCAGGAATACAAACCTATTTTCTATAGGGAAATTATAGTCACCAGAACAACTACAGACGGCTTATTGAACTTGTTCTGGTGAATAGAATCATTACCTTCAGGCTTTTTGCTGTAAACACTGTCTTTTCAGAGAAAATGCAGTGTTTACATTACAGCCTAGTGATAACTTGACTGGCCACTCCTAAGATGTCTGTTAGAGATCCTTCCTGGGTCATGGCTGCCTAAAATGCATCCAAACATTCAGTATCTCCTCCCTCTGCATGCAGACACTGAACTTTCCTCATAGATATGCTTTGATTCAATTCATTTCTATGAGGAGATGCTGATTGGCCAAGGCTGTGTTTGAATTGTGCTGGCTCTGCCCCTGATTTGTCTCTTTGTCAGTCTCAGCCAATCCTATGGGGAAGCATTGTGATTGGATCAGGCTACCACTTCTGCTGATGGCAGTGGGCAGGTCTAAAGGAAACAGGGACAAAGTAAGCAGCTGCAAACTTGAATACAAGTAAGATTTTACTATATTTAGGGAGGCATGAGAGGAACAGGGGGCTAGATGGTGGTTTTAACCCTATAGGGTCAGGAATACATGTTTGTGTTCCTGACCCCATAGTGCTCCTTTAACTCTGTAGTGCTGGAATAGATGTTTAGGTGACCACTACTCCCCCCTCTGTGGAATTTAGGGTGGTAACACTTACCTTTTCTCCGTCGCCATGCTGATCTCGCTAAGGTTCACCCCACCTCCATAGTGGAGATCATCAATCTTGATAATCTTAGCCAATCTAATGCTTTCCAATAGGAAAGCATAGGAAGGCTATTGCACATGTGTGGCAAACGGCCGTGCTGCACCAATCAGCGTTTCCTAATAGAGATGCATGGAATCAATGCATCTCTATGGGGAACGTTCATCGTGTCCATGCAGAGTGTGGAGACGCTGAATATAGGAGTGACTGTCACTAGAGGTGTTACTAAGCAGCAATGGAAACACAACCTTTTCTCTGAAACAGCAGGGTTTACATTGAAAATCCTGTAGGAACATGCTATAGACACCAGAACCACTACATTAAAGGGACACTATAGTCACCTGAACAACTTTAGCTTAATGAAGCAGTTTTGGTGTAGCCTCACTGCTCAATCCTCTGCCATTTAGGAGTTAAATCCCTTTGTTTATGAACCCTAGTCACACCTCCCTGCATGTGACTTGCACAGCCTTTCATAAACACTTCCTGTAAAGCGAGCCCTATTTAGGCTTTCTTTATTGCAAGTTCTGTTTAATTAAGATTTTCTTATCCCCTGCTATGTTAATAGCTTGCTAGACCCTGCAAGAGCCTCCTGTATGTGATTAAAGTTCAATTTAGAGATTGAGATACAATTATTTAAGGTAAATTACATCTGTTTGAAAGTGAAACCAGTTTTTTTTTTTCCATGCAGGCTCTATCAATCATAGCCAGGGGAGGTGTGGCTAGGGCTGCATAAACAGAAACAAAGTGATTTAACTCCTAAATGACAGTGAATTGAGAAGTGAAATTGCAGGGGAATGATCTATACGCTAAAACTGCTTTATTTAGCTAAAGTAATTTAGGTGACTATAGTGTTCCTTTAAGCTGTAGTGGTTATGGGGACTGTAGTGTCCCTTTAACTATTTTGGGTAGAAAAGTAAAGTGCTATAACTGATAAATGATTATGGTGCTTTGAGCGTCTTTTTAACACCTCTACTGTTAAGAACATTGGGATGTCAACATCTAGATTTTGATAATTTTAAAACTAAACCGAAAAAAAAATAACCAAAGAGTGTGATTGCTCTGCTGGATATAGCACTGTATGTAACACATTTTATAAATAAACTAGTATATTTTTCCATTATTAAGATAGCAGTTGAATGTAATAGTGCATTCATGCAGTAATCCTGAAACATGCATACGTGTGCTCACCTTCAGACAAGCATGCATTCACACAAATACATTTATGTACAAACACACTCACTTATATACCTATATGCTTCATACATGCATGCTTATAATTCAAGCATCGGATCTGGAAGTATCATCTTCCTCATTATGTATTTAATATATTTGTACATGTAGGTGAGATTTGGCCAGGCAGAACAGCCAAATTAACAAACGCACTTACAATATTTATTTTTAAGACTTTCAGGGTTATTCACTAAATTTTCAATGCCCGCAGTCCAAATTATCAAAAATAAATAAGTACCGTATGAGGGTATTTTGACGGTACAATCTGGACATTGTGATCATGATTCATGTCAAGAGTTTGCAATACAGCAAATACACTATATGGACAAAAGTATTGGGACACCTGATTATAACACCAATAGGGACTTTTATTCTTAATACATAGACAATAATATTTAGTTAGTCACCCCATTGCAGATATAATACCTTCAATTCTTCTGGGAAGGCTTTTCACAAGATTTTTAAAGGACCACTATAGGCACCCAGACCACTTCAGCTTAATGAAGTGGTCTGGGTGCCAGGTCCAGCTAGGTTTAACCCTTTTTGCAGTGGGTTAATACAGCCTCTAGTGGCTGTCTCATTGACAGCCGCTAGAGGCTCTTCTCACTGTGATTTTCACAGTGAGAAGATGCCAGCGTGTGAATGCTTTCCTATGGACTGGCTGAATGCGCACGCAGCTCATGCTGCGCATGCGCATTCAGCCAGGGACGTCAGAAGAGGGAGGAAAGTCCCAACGCCGAGCTGGAAAAAAGTAAGGGATTAACCCCTTTCTCCCCCTTCAGCGCCATGGGAGTGGGACCCTGAGGGTGGGGGCACCCTCAGGGCACTATAGTGCCAGGAAAACGAGTATGTTTTCCTGGCACTATAGTGGTCCTTTAAGTGTTTCTGTGTTAATTTTTGCCCATTCATCACAATCTCCATTCCAGTTCATCCCAAAGGTGTCCGAGGGGGTTGAGGTCAGGACTCTCTGCGGGCTAGTCACATTTTTCCACACCAAAGTCATGAAACCAAGTCTTTGTGGACCTTGTTTTGTGCACTGGGGCACAGTCATGTTAGATTAGAAAAGGGCTCAAAAAATTATCAATAGCAGCATATAAATAGCAAAGTGGGAAAAAAAGATTAACTCCATAGAGGAATCCAACATACCTCAGTAAATTAAACATATTTATTCAAGTTATTACATTCATCTTATTTATTAATATATTTTCTGATTTAATTATTGCTTACAAACACTGCTGATATTGGTGGAGTGTGCAAATATGAATTGGAAAGGTGTTTTGAATGAAATAAATCATATGGAGCAATGGAAGTGAATAGTAGAGAAGGCAGACACAAGGATGGGTTTAGTGAATAAAAATATAGTAAGGAGAATATGGTTCTGGTGTGGAAATATGAGAGAGTGCTCTGTAGTTATAGAAATGAAAATCAGCCGGTTTGAAGGCAGGATTAGTGATAAAATCGTATAGATACTGTGATACTTAGACAAAGCAGAAGGTTGAAGAAAAGAGCTGGAGGAATGAGGATTTTATACTCTATTCACAAAAAAGGGGGATGGGGGCATTTAAAAATGACAATAACTTCCCGGTGCAGTTTTCCACCATCAGGAATTTTTAGCCATTGTAAAAATCCAAGATATCTCCTGCCTGGAGAGAGTTTTGTCCCCGTTTCTCATTCAGACATCATTTTTAGTCCTATCATAGCTTGCATCTGGATTAAATTAAAAGATTTAAAATGTCTTCTCATTGTATAAGAGGAAGTTACACACCAATACTTAATTGTTTAGTTTTTAGACATCAATCCACTGTTGTTATATTCACTTACTATATATATATATATTTATTTATTTTTAATTTAATTTTTTTTGCAATTCTCAGTTTCATTTGTATTTTATTTGTTGTAGCTAGGATTTAATTGTATCCCAGTATTTAGATTTAGACATCATCTAACCGTCTTCATTCTTCACATGAATAAAAACAAGATAATTGACACTTTCTGCCTCTTTATCCCGCCTATGTGCGTCTCTCCAATTTCTTACATATACCACTTTCATTCATTTAACTCTTCGTGTTGAATATGTATTTAACATAACACCACCTTATTCATGATTAATCAGTGCTGTGATGTCTGTTTGTCTACTGCGCTCAGCTGCCAATCAGGTGGCTGAACAGACAAGCACAGCATTGCTGAAGGTTAAGTATATATAAACCAAAGACCAGACACAATGCAGTAGATTTTGAGAGACGAACACAGGCTTATATTCAATGCCCTTCTACACTTAACAGCTTTCCCATTATCTGTGCCTGTAAAAGCAATGTATCAAAACATCCAAGTAGCAAACCTGTGGGAATGTATCAGATTTATTGAAGAAAGTGCATATAACTTTCATTGGGATTCATTTCATTTGATAAATCTAGTGCTCTATGTGTGCTGTGGTGTTGAAGGCAGATAACTATGATAAATGGCTGTATTGAAACGGCTGTGTAAATGCAGACAGTGAGGCTTCAATCCATTGGTATGGTTCTTGCTTGAAGCATCATACGAAAACCTGTATCGTCTTCCAGGTGTAAGGCTAATTATCGCTGTAAATACTGCTATAACTTCATCCATAGCTATACCCAGCTGTTGATGTGAGAAGGTCTTACAATTATACTAGTGAAGTATGTCGTCATTGGGGCACTCTAAGCAACACTATAGCAAGCCTGAACCAACTCACAGTTTAATGTCAAACAATATGGGAACAGGTTGACATAATTAAGTATAAAGCGCTTACCGGACAAATAAAAAACTGTTTAGTGCATAAGTCCTCATTTAAAGACTGGCGAAAGTCACAACAAACCCTGGCAAATTCAGTAAATACTAAAACTTAATTTACCACAACAGTGGGACATGGGTGCAGTTAAACAGAACAGAGGGGCGATATTCTTTAAAAAGAAAAAATATTTAAAGAAACACTTCAAGCACCACAACCACCATAGCACACTGCCGTGGTTATAGTGTGAGAAGTGCCCTGACTTTATCTGGCTGGCAACATTTAGAATTTCACACTTCAGTAACAGTGTTCTGATACATTCATATGTTAACCTGTTATTGGTAGTTTCAAAGGGAAAATGAGCAGCATGGTTTAAGGTAGTAAATACTTGCTTGCCATGGAACTGTTTATTATTTAAAGGTTACCAAATAATTGTAAGCGGAGAGCATTAGACAGGAATGCATGCTCTCCTCCTTATGGCCAGATCAGATATAAAGCTGACTCGGGGATATTTGCTCAGAAGGATAAAGAAGCCTAGACTGCCCATGAGCAGCTTAGCTATCTGATATGTGGAGAGCTGTTAATATTCTGAAATAAAGCCCAAGATGCCATCTGTCAGGAGGTAGTACTGTCCAGCAAAGGCTTTCATGATATGACATGGCAAAATGTAAAATAAAGGCAGTCGTCTCATTGAGTAACTCAAATATGAGCTATTGCTCTCTAATATATAATATTAATTAAAGTGTGCACAGATTTACAAACATGAACTCTGTGATGTGCCCAGCATCGCACAGTGCAATAAATGGAACACGTGTAGCGCTTGGTGTTTAATTAAAATATAGTAGCATTATGTCTGTGTGTGCAGACCCAATATACATTGTAGGCGTATGAGAGTTTGTGATAATAAAATGTATGGCTAAATTGCACAGGCCACTATCACAATACAATAGGTCTGTAAAATTATTGCACATTACCTCCGTTGTTTCCATTCGAAGAACCTAGTGGAGTAGTTTAACATCCTGGACAAATATTAAGGGTTTTTGCTGATTACCTCTACCTTACTGGATTTTATTCCACACATATCATTCTTTCCTTGTATGGTAACCACTACTTCTTCAAAGCAATGGGTCGGGGCAATGTCAATTTTTCTTTGTTGGAGTTAAAAGAAAAGAAGCGGAAGTTACATAATGAGGGAAGTGTTATGAAATGAATTAGAATTAGTAAAATTACTGTTTGGTCAGTACTGCTCTTTCTAAAGTACCAACATAGTCCCCCACTGAATCAAATTTGTAAACAAAACAATTACTTCCAAAATGCTCAGTTGTACAAGCAGTGATGAGAGCCCTATTGAAATAAATGTACACACTAATAATTACACACATATGGGAACATTAATCTATGTGTATTACCAGTATACAGTAGTATGTGTCAAGTAGAGGAGAACATTGTACTCGGTTTGTGACAACTATAGTGAGGTGACACAAGGTAAGAGTTGATATTTTCCCTAAAAAAGTTGGCGCTAAGGGAACTTCTCATAAGTCTGAAGACAAGTTGAAAGTCTAATGCTGTGTTCAGATGTTGACTGGAATAATGTAGAAGCAATATAAATTGTTCTTGGTAGAGTGTAATTGTTGGCACAGGAGGTACAGGTATCCCCCTGCTTGCACATTCCTCATATTGGGAGACCATCAAGCTTTAGTATGTGGCAAACTCAAGGCTTCTCTGGAGGAGCATTGTGGACATATGACACATGGACAGAAATCACAGCAAGCCACCAGTACAGTCCTGCTCTATGAGATGTCTATGTAAATCTATTTTGCTCCAAAGCCCAAGGTGGATGTCTGATTGGCAGCCACTAGAGGTGTTGGAACTGCAAAATAAAAAAAAAAAAGAAGAAGCTGCACTGTTTTTGTTTGCACAGCTACAAGGGCAGCATATATACATTAAATATCACTTCATTAAGATGAAGTGATGTTTACAGTGTCTTTTAAATGCTCCTCTGTTTGTCTTTATTTTGGTCTCATTTTAAGAAAAAATATTAATGTAAAAAGCTAAAGCGCCTTTTTCTTTTTTTTATGATCTGTGCATTTGCTTAAGCGTATAATTGTGCTAAAACAACATCTCTAAGGATTGTGTTTCCCCCTGATATAACATTTTCCAAGTCTTTAAAAATTAATTGTGAAACATTTTACAGGGTCGTTGTTCAAGGGAGAACTGCAAATATCTTCATCCGCCAACGCATTTAAAAACCCAGCTTGAAATTAATGGCAGGAACAATCTTATCCAGCAGAAAACAGCAGCAGCCATGCTTGCCCAACAGATGCAGTTTATGTTTCCAGGAACTCAGCTCCAGCCAATGGTAAGGACTCTCCTGCTGTGTGCAAAACACGTGACCATGATATGTATACTCATCACGCATAGAAAAATTAACAGAGACATTTGTACTCAGTTCCCACCCCACGTTTTTAAATAAATGCATTTCCCACTTGAAATCACTAGTTGGCTGGAATAAATATTTAGGTAACCAACACCTTGGTTAGGCAGACAACTGTAATCTGACCATTTGAAGTGTTAAACATTTTGGTGGGTTTAGTCTACGTTTTATTTTGAAATACCCTTACTCTTCCACAATAGACTTATACACTCGTGTTCAGTAGAAACCTTGCTAATGCTTTTTTAATCCATATAAAATGGCAAATGATTGAACTGCAACCTAGATAATCAGGTTATGCCCTGGAACATAGAATTACACTCATTGTGGATAAGATGTGCCATGGGAAATCCTGCTATAAACCATTAACACACATTACTGACATAGTTCTATTCTGCAGGGGCAGATATTAATTAACATCTCCAGGTATTAAGTCATCCTAAAGGCAAACCAGGTTTGCAGCCCATACAGATTATGATCACTAGGTGGGTAGTAAGGTAAAACATGTTGATGTTCAATTTGTAAAATGATGTATTTATTACATTGATACCGCAGTCATCCTGAGATTTATGGGTAGTGCACATATGACAATATGTGCAAGGTATTGCAAAATCTTTACATTGTTACATAAAGGCATAGATATGCTTGTTTTCTGGGCATTATCACAGCTTGTAGAGAAACTGAAATTGATTACAGCCTGAAAGAAACTGTAGCAGCATACATTATTGATATGCTTGTGTGCAGTAATCAATAATATGAAGACTTCAGGAGTCTTGCCACTGTGAGTGCTAACAGTAAAGAAAAATGTGTGGATGATATAAAAACAAGTTAAATATATTGTATGTACTTTTTATCAATAAATATACACGCGGCAACAAAAGTGACACAAGTCAAACACACAACTGATGTGTTAGCTCACATACACACTGACACTTTATAGGTTACACATTTTTTATGGAAAAATGGCACATTAGGAGGGACCTGTACTGGTTTTGCATACTCTCTCAATTCTGTTTCTTCATGCTGTCTAGCTGTGTGCAGTAGATGGAGAAAAGATCCTCTCCTTCTCGTCTCGTCTTCATTTTGCATGTGCATGCCCAGTAACCTGTGAGGCAGATGGAAAATAGGAAAAATGGTACACACTAGGAATCTTTGTAAAACCTTGCAATCCCTCAATAGAATATATAGTCAGATGCAAAGGAGCCAAGATGGAGACAATGATTTAAGATGAAGAGGTGTGAATTTCTACATTTAACTTAACATCTCTCAAATACATATTTGTTAAAAGTAGGGATTAATTAGCAAAATATTTAAAATCCTGGGCAGTAACAATTCCCCTTTCATGTACTCTTTTTCTGATAGCTGATGTACAAACACTCTATTAAAGTAACAAACAGCTTGTGTATAATCGAGCATTTGTGTGCGCACGTGTGTGCTTACGTAGAATGCAGAACAGAGGGACAGGTTAGGTCAGGAGAGGAGAGCAGTTTGTACATTTATACAAAGACTTGACACATTTATTTTGAATCGAGGAGCCAGCTAAAAAAGTTAGGAGACAGTATTTCTTTAAACTAACAAAGTTTCATTTTCAATGAGAAACATGCAATTCTTAAATGGACACTATAGTCACCAGAACAACTACAGCTTAATGTAGTTGTTCTGGGGATATAGCCAGTCCCTGCAGGCTTTTCAGTGTAAACACCGCCTTTTCAGAGAAAAGGCGGTGTTTACATTTCTTCCTAGTAACACCTCTAGTAACAGTCGCTAGGGTCTTGGGTCAGTGCTGCACAGTGTGCAGCACCTAATTTTAACATCTCCACGCTCTGCATGGAGGTACTGATTCCTCCCCATAGAGATTCATTGATTCAGACAGACACACACAGACAGGGAGACAGACACACAGTCATTTTCTCACACACACACAAATTGACATCTTTATTTTAATTTATGTCCACCCGGCCTCCCTACCTTTGGGAAAGCTGAGGGGATCTTTCCCTGGGGTCCAGTGGGGCTGCTCTGATAATCTTCTTGCAGCTCCTCGCTGCTCCCTTGTGCTCTCTGCTGTGATGCCGAGCCGGAGTGACATCATATTCCAGCTGCTGAACAGCGCACTAGGGAGCAGAGAGAAATTTTAATAATATTACTGCTCTTTTGCGTGCCGTCTCCTTGCTGCCTCGGCCAACCACCTCCATGCTCCTCAGGGAAGCCGGATCTAATGTTCCCCACGGCGGCAGGCTCCAATGTTCCCCATGGTGGCCAGTTCCAGTGCTATCCCAGATGACCACCTTCGCTAAAGGACTAACAAATCTCAGGTGCCAGGGCAAAATTTCTAGTTGCCATGGTGACCTGGCGCCTGGGATTTGTCAAGCCCTAATTTATACAGAATTTGGACAAGGACCCAGGAGAAAATGCTATCTTTGACAGTTTTATGAGGCATCTACTGTTACTTTGGAGGAGAGTAGCACATTGCTAGGATCAAGAGTCATGGAGATCCCCTGCCACTGTGTAAATGTGTGTTGGGGAAAAGGTCCAGCTGTACTTATGACCAAGGGATTGTGCAATCCTTAATAGATTATTATGATGGGGGTTTAATTATGTCTGTTGGGGACCTGCACATTAACATGACAAAAATAATATTTTGACCACATAAAGCTTATCTGAATTCTGAAGAAATGTCTTATAATATCATAATGATACAGTGGCAGGAAAAGCAAGATTCTAGTTAGTATAGGTAAGACATTTAATAAGGGGCCCCTTCTGATTTCTTGAAAATCAATACCATGTGCTCATATTTCTTTACCAGTTGAACTAATGTAAAGGAGGCATCTCTTGAGTCTTAGGTGTCAGAGCGCTCTTACAATATAATAATATTATAATTAGGGCCCCACCCATGTGCATGGATGCGGGACAGGTGGAGGACATCAGGTCCTCACCCTTTCATATTTTAATTAGTGCCTCCTACCTGCCGCTAATGGATGGGGGCCAGAGAGGGGATGCTAGGTCCCCCCTATATTATAATAGCCCTTATTCTCTGGCCACGTGTGGCCACAATGATCCGTCCATCCCGTTATTTATTTTTGTGCCCAGAGTGTGGGCGGGGAGGACTATACCTCCCTGTTTTTTCACAGACTCCATCCGCAAGGCAGGTAGGGATATGGGAGATTTTAAAGCTCCTTTATAGTAATAAGGGGTTTTATTGATCCCCATAGCATTTTATTTTTATTTGTTATTTTTTTATGTGACAGCTGGCTAGCAAGCACTGGAATGCACATAATTAACTCTTCATTACTGAGGTTTTTAACTATTTGCCCACTGGGCAAATCTTATTAAAATCATTCACATGTTAAAAAGTAAGTGAACAATAATTTGCGAATGTGCAGCCTGCCAGATGGATTTGGTTACGAATTTCAGTAAAACCTGTGCTTTGTGAATATATACTGAAAACTATGTTTTATATAGGATCCAGAAGGGAAAACACCAGTTTTGATCTGGACATCAAATATATCTGTAGTACAGATGTACTGGATACCGCACTCACCAATTAACCCAGGTGCTCTTAAGCCAGGGCTGGTCAGGCCTCCTTTCCAAGATATGCAGAATAAATAGCGGTCAGACACTCTGGAATAACAGAAATAGCAGCTTTATCGGGGCAAAAGCCTGGTAGGGTCGAGACGTTGCTGCTTTTGCCCCAATAAGGCTGCTATTTCTGTTATCCCAGACTGCCTGAACCATTATTTATTCTGCATATCGAATGTATTTTGGCAATTGCTGCAGTTTTGCTCATGCTGACCGAATTCAGACTGCATTTGGGTTTAGTAAATATATGAATTGCCGCTGCAAGTGAATGAATAATAGTAGTGATACTTTTACTGATGACGAGACTACTCTTTGATTGGAAGATTGTTACAGTCTGACTCTGTCATTAAAGAGATACTATAGTGTGTTTCCCCTCCCCCCTCCCCCCTTCCCCCCCCACAGTTAATATAGGGTTAAAAAACCTTAGGAAACATAGGAAAACATGGGATCAATGCTTTTATATGGGGAAATAGCTGATGCTGGATGTCCTTGTGCAGAGCGTGAGGATGTCCAGCATCAGTTAGTGGACCAAAAGTCCAACATTCTAATAGACAGACACTACAGGATGCTACAGTTTCTTTCAGGCTGTAATCAATTTCAGTTTCTCTAAAACTACAATGTTTTACATTACAGCACTGAGTGCAATAGGGACACAGTACTCAGACCCCTTCAATGGGCTGAAGTGGTCTGGGTGCCTATAGTGTCCCTCTAAAACTATTTGTATTTTTGTTAGAATTGCCATCCCTATGTTTATAAGTTATTGCAATCTAATTCCGATAACACTGCTTATCAGCATTAAGTTAATGCACTATGGGTCACTACTGTTCGGTAGTTAGGAGATTATATACAGCTAATTATAACTATACTGGTGCTTACTATGCATCTATGCTATCTGTTACAATATAAGATTCTAGAAATATTTTTTAATATATCAACTCCATATCATACATACTTTTGCCCTCTTCCAAATCGTAATGGGAGAGGGAACAATCACTAAAGGTAGCATGCCAGTGACAAATGTGACAAGTCAGATGGAAGAGAACTCGTTAGATAAGGGCGCTTTTCTGTCCTGTTAGATGTGGCGGCAGTATGCTCATGTGCTTTGGGTTGATAAATGTAAGCATCCAGAAACCATCAAAAGACTCCAGCGACACAGTTCATTTACTTCAGGTAGTGCAGGTTTATTGGTGCAGACTCATTAAACAGAGCATCATCAGATTCAGTTTAACCTCCAAGCTCCACAAACTTCTAGTCAAAAGCTTACAACATATGGCAGGAAAGTGTAATCATCGTAGTAACCATATCAGGACTTTTAATGGGTCTGTACCAGTAAACAAGCAAACATGCACTACCTGAACCAAGTGATTGTTAAACACATGAGCCTGATGGTCATTGGACTGCAGTGTTGTGTATGGTGCAATCAGCCAGGCACATGTACAAAGCACTGTAAATTTACTGTCCAATGCAGGCTCCCTAGTGTTCAATGATGGGATCGTACTGCATTTTTGTGTGGTTTCCTCTAGTGTCTTTTGGAAGGATATCAGTAGAGACTGTCCATCCAGCGCGGGAACAATTGAAAGGAATGTTATATTTCTAAGGAGCCATAAAGTAAATACCTCTATAATACTTTTATCAGACATGTTACACTAAGTGGGTAAAAAGTCTGAAAGTTGAACTTTATAAAAGCATTATCAGATAATTAAACTTGCATACCACTCCCAGTGTCAATATCTTTGTACCTTTTCATAGAGACTTATGACCTGGTGAACATTGACCCGGCAGTTATGAGGATATTGAAATTGAGAGTAGTCTGTAAATTAATCTGATAGTGATTCTAATATCTACTAAAGACAGGTAGATACAATGTTGCTGACAGATGTTATTCCCATTGAAAATTGGATTTTTGGAAGACATTAGATGGGTAAAGCTATATATCAAATTATACTATTATTTTGATATAGCATTTAAATAAATATATAAAGTGCAGCCCTAGCCATCTTTGGTTTGATTTATTTATATATATGAAATATGCTATATTAACACAAAAACAATGCTATCTTAAAACAATAACATAATTTGAGAACCAGTTTTCCAAAAGGTTTGAGTTGTTTGCAGATATACTTAAATGTAAAGTTATGGGGTGATTATTTTAGAAAATAGTATTTTTCAATGTGTTTATGCCTCCATGTGCATTTAAATCTCGTCTGACTGTTTGTGCTAATTCTGTCTGGGATCTATTTACAAACTGCTGATCAGGTATGTGAATAGGAACGACACAGAAGTATTAATCCGTATTAATTGCATGTTATTTAGGTCCACTTAGGCTCATGTCTAAAACAAAGTCATTATGGTCTCTTTCAACCTCTGACCCTGGTGAGTTCAATGCAAGGTGCATAGGCTGAATCCCTAAGTCACTGAACACAATGAAAACCTGCTTGCTTGCTTGCTTGCTTGCTGCAGTTTGGCAAATTATCCCTCAAATGCCTGCACCGATACCCACATGCGTCCAAGTTACACTGAGTTCCAAGGAGTTTTAGCTCAGATGCAAAGAAGTGAATAGAACCTTATTATAACAGCTTTTATGGTAATGATTATAACACCTATAGCATTTTCACAATCAGCATTGGTTCTGTAGCTCAATGTAAGTAATACTGCAGGCATATTTGGACATTGTAACAGTGCAAGAATAGCAAACATTACCATGCAAGGACAAGCCAATAAATACAACTTACCTTTTCCACATAATTACTCTTTACACAAAACCGACATTGGGACATATTTTTTATTACATTTTACCAAACAAATGCAGGTAACTGGTTTCTACTGTATTTGCTCCAGCCTCCTTACGTGAGCCTAAAATTACAGTTTAGAAATATAGTTACCGTAATCCTATTACTTATTTAGCATTTTCTAAATCCCAAATATCTGCAATGGTGCATTCATAATTTGTGTATAATATAATGTTTACATTAATTTGAATCTGTTCTATTACTTGTATTTTTCTATCTATGTTGTTTGTATTTCAATTTCCAGCCCACATTTCCTGTAGGCCCAGCATTAGGAACAAATACAGCTATTAGTTTTGCTCCATATCTTACACCGATGACCCCTGGAGTTGGACTGGTCCCTACTGAAATGCTACCCTCTACACCTGTGATTGTTCCAGGAAGTCCACCTGTATCAGTTCCTGGCTCTACTGCTACACAGAAACTTCTCAGGACAGATAAACTGGAGGTACTCTTACCAATATGTCCAAAACAAACAATGTACAGCTGTGAGAAATCTAAAACTACACCTAAGCAAATATTTCAGAAAAAAACTAAAAAATGCTTTGAAACAGATGTTTGAGTGGACCGGTGATGCAGAGCTTGACAAACACATGGTGCTTGTTTAAAATAACACCAACATATTGGCTTTTTATGAATACTGTATGGCAAAGAGTGGGCTATGGTAGCTGTGTCATGTATTGTTATAAAAATTACTGCCAAATATCCACATCTTATAGATGTGGTTGGTTTATAGTGCTGTACGAAGCATGATATCAGCAGTGATGCTTGCCACCTCATCTATTTCCCTGTGATCAGCTTTGTCTTCTCACTGAACAATAGTGTCTGTTGGAAATTTAAGATCAGAATCACTTATGTATTATAATATATACTAATTTTGTCAGTGAGTGTAGTTACATGATATATGGTTTTGTGTACAATGTGTGATTTGGGTTTAGTGTGGTTACTACTTGTGATAAGGTTGTCAGTTGACTTTGGAATATGGTACCGGTGACGTAGATATATCAGGATATCATGTGGGTGCTGCTTGTGTTATGGGTAGCATGTGATGCTTCATGTGGCCACAATGTAAATAGGATCAGGAGTAATAAAACGTAAAAATAAGTAACAAAAGGTACTTTAATGCTGCCTAATGTACTTCTGTACTCTTTCAGGAGATATAAATAAAGACACTGCAAGCTGTGTATAGCAGCCATGTTTCAGTTGTTACAGGAAGGAAGTACCCACCGCAACAGGAAACACTTGCAATAGAAAATAAACCATAGAGTTAGTTGCATGTAAACCAAACATAGCATCCATAACATAAACTTCTAACCTCTGTTGTTTGATCAGGAGGACAATACAGGTGATCATGAGCATGTGGTGTTTCATGCAGTATGGTTCCTCCAAGTCATATGGGTTAAATGCAGTAAGGTGCATTACATTGGTATAATGTAGATTCTGCATGGGGTTTTGGTGCTGTATGTGAACCCAGATGTGTGTTCTGAATTCTATTTGACTATGGGGAGTCATGTAGGTATTGCATGTCTTAGGGGTACTGCCCATTAAGTCTTGACATGCGTGCTTAATTTGATAAAGGTCTCGGGTGGTAATTTGGTAACTGATGGGTACTCATTTTAACTTTTGTTATATGTGATGTTGTTGCCATAGCTGCTCTATATTAAATTTCTAAAGTATTAATGACTGCTGAGTGCAGTTACAGAGCCATCTCATTTATGTTTGGCTACTAAATTGTTGCTCTGTCTTACAATCAAGTTAAATTTGTTAAGCCCTTGCCATAAAGTAACACATTGATGTGTTGAGAACTGCATTAAAGTGTTTGTGCAATCAAATGTTTGAAATGGTTGATATGTGTCTCATATGAGAGATATGCTGTCAAAATCTAAATGTAGAAATTAGCAATGCAGAATACTTTAGTCATGCATTTATTTCATACGTGATAACAAACTTTGTTATATCACCCATGATATATTTATTACTCAGCTGCTTAAACCAAGACATGCATTTTTTTTTATTTTTTTTTTAAACACGAATATTTCCGGGAACCACATTTGTTGGATGGCACCATGCACTTAGCTCTTTGAGGGCAATGCTTTACTAAAAATCCTTACATTCTATAGATTTACTATTCCTTACAAACACAACCTACTGAATTCTAATTGTGTTTAGACAACTAACGAGCTGTCAGACTGTGATATTACTGGAAAGCTTTGTACCAAACAGCTTTTTCTATATATATATTGCATATGTTGTTTTTGGTCATGCCACTTATGTCAGAACAACCCAAATGTGTAGTAAACTGAGCATAATGTAACAATAACAATATGATATAAATTAGGTGTATTCATGAAAGATCGAAGAGAGAGATTTCAGTAGAACTATGTTATTTGAGACAGATTGACTAATATCACAGTATAACATAAAATTCATTATTAGCTTTAGATCCTTAATATGCCATGTTTTGTTATATAGAATTTGGCCCAGTAAGGTGGGCCACAATTTTAGGAATGTGTATTTTTTAAGTATTATAATGTAATGCGATGGACCTTATAGGTTTCTTATACAGTACAAGCATTTTTTTGAGCCAATGGTATAAAATGTGGCCAGTTCTGGGTTAAAATATAAATGCCTGCTATAAATATAAAGTGTCCTTTGTTTGTTTGCTTGTTTTTTTCTTTGCTTGTGTGTGTGTCTGGGTATGTTTTTCTTTCAAACTATAGCTGTATAACACTGAAAGCCATTACTGGTCAGATACACAGTGATTTGCCCTGGTTTTTCCTATGTAGGTATGCAGGGAGTTTCAGAGAGGAAACTGTGCAAGGGGAGAGACTGATTGCCGCTTTGCTCATCCAGCAGACAGCACGATGATTGATACAAATGATAACACTGTAACCGTTTGTATGGATTACATTAAGGGTCGCTGCATGAGGGAGAAATGCAAATATTTTCACCCTCCTGCACACTTGCAGGCCAAAATCAAAGCTGCACAACATCAAGCCAACCAGGCTGCAGTAGCAGCACAAGCGGCTGCTGCAGCTGCAACAGTGATGGTAAGTGGAAGTTCTCACCCATCTGAAATATCCTTTTGGAAGAGCATAGCTTTACCATTAACGATTAATTTGTGTATGGTTTCTAATTATATATATTATAAAGCATGACATTGTACAGTGAATTTAACATTATTGTGCATTTCATGTTGGCTTCTCACTGTACAGTGTAAAAAAATAAAATAAAAGTGAATTGCGCAGCAGAACAGGTAATTTCAATAAACTGGTGTCAGCTCTGCTTGAATATAACCAAAGGCTCCCACATTGTTACCTAAAAAATAAACGTTAATGCAAGTACAATTCCATATTTGCTTTATGTGTGCTTAGTAAAACAGGTGTGAATAGAAAATACTCTGAATAATCAATGATTATTACGAGTAATCTGGCATCAGAGATACACTTTTTGAATACAGCCATAGAAATTATAGAAGATCACACTTTTTTCTATACGCACAAGAGTGTGTATTTTGTGTTCTTTGTTCCGTATTCTCTCTTTCTCTTGAATAAAAAAAAAAAAAAAAGCTTTTCATAGTATTGGCAAATGTGTCAGTGCACACTGATATAGAATATAAATGGCTTTTATATAAAATAGTTCATGTATAAATGTCCTGGGATGCAAGTAATAATTATACAGCTTACCTATTAGGCATTGTACTGCTTATAGAAGCTCTAAATGAAGCAGGTAATTAGAGTTGTAGAGAGAGAGACAGAAAACTGACATCGGCTTGAATTCAAAATTGTATTTTTTTTTTTACCAATATGAAAATGTATATATATATATATATATATATTAGAATATATTAAAGGGACACACCACTACCCAAATATAATAATATAATAAATAAAAATCAATGTTTAGTAGATACCCCAATGAAAACAGGCATGCATTTAATTATGCACTGCTTCTTTGGATTAATATCTGAAAACAGCTTGCAAAAGCTGCAGATCTCTTGTCTGAAGCTTCTGCAAGCCCTCCCCTCTTACTGCGCCCAGACTTACTGTGGCTGTGCAATCACAGACTTCCAAATGCAGCTTAGTGAGACATCTTTGCAAGGCAGGTTCTCTGGGCAATTGCTTGTATCTTGAGTTTAGCTCCACTGCGCTAACCAAACCAGGAAGTAATAGGACCAGATTGATAGCCAGGGGGATGTAACAAGGTTAATTTTTTAAAACTGCCAATTTCTATTGAAATCTATTTGTAAAATAAACAAAAGAGGATATAGTCTGGACACATAAATCACTTCAGAAGTAAGCTAAAGTGCTTTAGGGGACTGGGGTGTCCATTAAGAGGGTGCATAGGAACTTAAGGAACCATTGAAATGACGTTGTTATGGTGCTTAAATGTCCCTTTTCATAGAATGCTAAAGTATTAGGAATACAAAAGTGTATTCTTAAATCGATAGTGCACTGCTAGCAATTTAGGTTCGAGGTCCCCACCTGTAGGGAGAAAATAAGCCATTTTACTTTTAAATTTTTCCAATTGTTTTTTTTTACCTTTTCTCCCTCATAGCACTGTTCCGTCTCCATAGTTGAGATCATTAAGATTGATGATCGTAGCCGATCCAGCGTTTTACTATACAAAAGCATTGGGAGGCTAGTGGCTAACTAACTGCTCCAATCAGATGGTCCCTATGAGATCATCTGATAGAAATAGCAACATTTTACTCTGCTATTTTGGTGGAAACACCTAGATAATTCCTGTCTACATGGGTGTCCACATGTACCAGCATTGTTATCAAAGTGTTTTGTTTGAAAAAATTGGTCTAAATGTAGAAGGAAATGGCATTTACCTGCTGGTTCCACTGTTTTCCATAGTGATTGTCACACTTTTAATACTTCACATCACTTTTTAGAACGGAACACTGATAAACCTTCCCACTGGGTCACCTGTTAGAACATTTTTGGATGTATTGCAGATATAAATAACCTACTTTACCCTACCAAATGTCTTTCTTTCTCATTTTAACTTCCAGCAAGTACTTTATATGAGTACACCCATGTAACATAAATTCTAGAATAGTTTCTTTGAACAAAATGCTTTCCTTTAACATCTATTTGCCCTTAAAAGTTACATTTTGCTGTTTGCAGCTATTCCCTTCAAGAAGAGTGGGATTTGTAGGTACAGTTTGCCTATTATATTTGTTTCAGTCCTATTATTACACCCTCATAGGCAGAAAAAATATACATCCACTAACTTTAATCATTATTGATTTAATCTCTGGAATACAAGCCATCAAATGATTTGTTTTAATATTTGTAATATGGATTGTGAAAATAATAAAATCTACCTTGTTGTATTACAGCGAGATTGGTAGAGATAGCTCCGATTGTCAGCATATACCATTGTTTGTTCAGCTGAATGATTCCATTGTACCTTGAATTCTGTTACCCAACTGTAAGCGTACAAAAAGGCATTGTCAAAGTTAATAGCACTAAACAATGAGTAAGAATACATTATATAAGTGTGGCTTGTCATATCACATGTATGAATAATAGAATCGTTCAAATCACGTGTAGTAAGCTTATCAAGTGTAGATTTTAGATACTAGGTGAAAGGGTTTCATTATTTATTATAATTAAAGCAATGGCAACGTATCGTTAAGGGTGAAGTACTGCATATATGTCAACTCTGGCTCTTTTGTTTGTACCTCTTTTTCAACACTGCAGTCATCTGTCTAATGTGGTTCCCTATACTGTGCTTTTGAATGATCAAGTCATTTGCCCACACAAGTGCAACTTTGACCTTCTCCCCTCTATTTTCTTTTTTCTTAATTCTTCTAATGCAGCATGAATGCAGTTCATGGAGACAGTGCTAAATTCGGATAGAAAGTGTTACATTTCAAGAGGAAATAACTGTTTATGCCTCATTGTTACTGTAACATTTAATAAGCCACATAGAGATTAAAAACAAAAAAATAAGCAGAATCAGAAAAAAAACTTATTTTTTTTAATGTTTCAAAAGCACATAGAGCAGATTAGTATATTTCATGATAATATAGGGAAAATGTGTGCATGTATTATATATGTATAATGAGCAATCACCATGGAAACCCCGTAGAATGTATCTCAAAATTTAGCACATTCTTCCAGTATCGCATCTATTTTATCCAGATAAATATCGCCAAATAATTCATTTAGCTCAATATATTTTGGATATTATCCTCCTTTAAAGTATTTTTTGCTTTTTATTATATTTAATGTGAATCCAGAATTGTGTAGACATGTGCGTCTCTTTCCTTAAAAGCCTATGAGCAAGTACATTGCATGGCATAGTCTCAATTTGTTGCCATTTAAAGGGATTCTGTAAGCAAATCTGTATTCTTTACATTATAGTTTTATTTTATTAACCTAACAGGTTAGCAATGTAGCTAACATGTCAGTAATCATTTTTATAGCAACTATAACGCTTTTTGTCACTGGTAGTCTGAAAATTAACCCTAAACATTGGAAGATGTGACCATTTTTACACATTTCAGAATATTTTTCAGGTCTCCTAGGTATTACAAATTATATTTTGTACTTTCCCCCCTTTTTTTCAGTGTCATTGGGATAGCATCATGTACATGTCAGAAGGGGCCAGCTTGGGGTTGTCAGTGACATATGTTGTGTACATATATCTCTACGTGCCTATGCTCGACCAGTCAATGTTATTATAAGTACAAAATGCTGAAATGAACCAGCCTAATATTGTTGCACTCAGCATTATTTAATAGTACTAGTCACTAACTGTAGCTGGGTAGAACAGGTCCCTGGACCACAAGAGCCCAAAATGTCCCTATAAAAAGCAGATATGTTGACAACTATGTCCTCACCATATTATAGGTACATTTAACACACACAAATAATATAACAAGCACACTATTTGATTGGTTGGTCAAATGAAGAATTGTACAATAAACAGGCCTATTTTTAAACATATTTACAAATGTAGGGCAAAATAGATGCACTGGGGAATCCTGATTCTACAGAACTGAGTTTTTCCTCAGATCTGCTTTTTTTTTTAATTGAGCGTTTTCAGGTACCCATAACGTACAGTCTACAACAGTACAGTGATCACTAACCTTGGCACCTCACATGTCTGTGATTATTTTCCTTGGTTCACTGAGCATTGTGGGAAATGCAGTTCAAAATCATCCAGATGCCTAAGTTAGCTAACACTGGTTTTAAATATTTGCAATATCTTTGACATAAAAAAACACAATTCATAGCTTATTGTATGTAATAAAGCAATTTATAGTGACCATTAAAGCCCAGTTGAGTCAAGGGGAAAAGTTAATAACTGAGAATATACCGTACTTATAAAACAACTACTAGAGACTGTTAAATGTAATGCTGAAAGCACATTTGTAAAGCTTCTTCTTAGACCCTTAATACCAGGGACAATTTTCCAACTTCTGAACTAAAACAAACCCTGGAATTTGTGCTATGTGTTTGTTCCACTGTAATTTAAGGGTTTCTCCTTAAGTGCACCCATGCATATTATGTATTGTTTTGTTTTTTTTAAAGGACAGAAGTGTATTTCTTTTGATATCATATATGTATACCTAACACAACATTAAGTGTGATTAAAATGGGAAAGAATAATTTTTTTCACAGTTTTGCTTATTATTTTTGCACATCAAATGGAACTAAAGACTAAACTCAATATACATTTACAGTACTATATCAACAGAGGGATTTCCCAAAGTAAACAGTACAGGGTGCTCTGTACTGTATTATTACAACATGAGAGGGAGATCCCCCTGTCATGCTGCAGCTCTTGCTTGCTATCACTGTTGATCACACAGTGATCGATGCTAGGCAGCTGGCAAATCACAACTGTGATCACTGTTACCAAAGTGACATGCAAGGAGACGCTGGGAGTCTCCTCTGAGTACAGGCAAGCTGAGTATTACCACAACTGAGCAGCATTGCCATAGGGCCACAGCTCATCTGTCAGTCCAGGGCCACTAAATATGAGCTCCATGTATCAATTGTTCCATGCCATCCGAACTGCTTTAAAGCTCACTATATTTAGGACAGCATGGGATGTCCTAATGTCGCTAATGGGTTAACAATGAGAGAAGCAATGTAATGTATAAAAAGTGGAGGTTGGAGCTTCTGAAAAAGAAGTGGAATTATAAATACAGCTAGTTTTCACTTGCATTTCAAGGTAACTCTGAAAACATGTTCCACACTATTAACATTTTGTCCAACTCTGGCCTGAATGTTGCAGCCTGGCTGTAAATGCACTATAACTAACTTGTATTGCATCTGCAACCTGCCTAACTGTCCATTTCAATTTAGTGCTGTCACCATAGTCTACTGGTCACTTACCTGTTCTGCCGAACAATTCAAGCAAAGTTTGCAATGTCAGTGATTTGTTGCAATGGATAATGTAGAACTGAGAGTACTTAATGGATTGCAGCTCCTAATATGCAGCAGACTTGGCACAGTGTTTCACATAATAATGACATGTACAACTATTTATCTCTTGGCATGTAATCTGACTGAACCTAACCTCACACACCTTATATTACTGGAGACTTTACCACCAAAGGATATGTGAACATCTTCATATCTTTAATGGTGAAGAAAAGAGATAGTGAATTATGATGATTTGATTGTCATTGTTTAACACTTATCTTATCATTTAGAGCAGTGACTAATCTATAGTTGTTCAATTTAATTACAGAGGCTGGCCGAAGTTTATAGGTGCTTTAGTTCAGCAATAGTTTGTGATCTCCTTATGGAGTTGGTCCTTTTAAATTGGTGCACAAGCTTAAAATGACAATCTTATGTTTTTGTTTTCATAAAATCACATTTCCGTTAAGGTAGTAGAAAACTGTAGACTAGCTAAATTTCCAGCAGATGTATAGATCAATATATATATATATATATATATATATATATATATATAAATGTGGTGTTTCACTTTTAAATACATGTACATGGCACATAGTCAACCAACGTGCTAGCAAATAACTAGATCAAAATTCAATTACACATTTCATCTTATTTTGGATATATGTATGTCCTTGGTTTAGATGTGTAAAACCAGTTGTAACAATTATTATGCAAGTATACTCGTTTCCTGAGAAACAACTGATCTAGCCATTTGCCTTGCAAAGATGTCTCCAACAGTCAGCTCTCCACCTCTTGTGAAACTACCACTCCCATGAAGCTTTGCAGCGATGTAGCTGACACACCATTGTGAGAGCAGAAATTAGCAGAGGAAAGCGTATTAAAGTGCATTTATAATTTAATTTTTTAATGGACGAGTATAAACAAACTTAAAAAGAACATCATATCAGGATTTTAAAGAAAATCAGGAAATGTAGGTCTTTATGCAGCCCTTTTCTTATTTGTCCCACACCACACCTCCCCCAACGTGTAAGCACATGCTAATGTAACCTCCTGTGTCATCTATTAATTGAGTTGAGTACTTTCATATCTCAACAACCAAGAGACAACTGCTAATGTGCAACACAACCACTATTTAAACTTGTCAATTACTGTGCCATTTGCTGACTGCATCAAACTGGGATGCTGAATCATTGATCTATCTCCAGTTTACATCTTTACATAAATACCAAAAGTAAAAGCAGAAAGGTATTCATTGTTTATGCAAATATTAAATCAGTTGCTTATCAAGAAATAACTGAGGGCACTGTTTCAAAACATCAATTTGTTTGTTTTAATAATTGCTAGTAAGAAAATATGAATTTTCAAATGTTGAGTTATATTATCAGCTTCGTTTGCTCTGAATATCTTCCTACATAGTATGCGTAATTGCTCTATGACAGCTAGTTATGTAATATCTCTTTAAAGAAAAAGAACAGTAACCTACTTTGATATAGGGATTATGTTTTTTACTTACCTCCTGAATATTTGACCCCTGCAAACACTTATAAAGTAAAAAAAATAAATCTGTTCTGTTTGTATACATGCACATATTTGTATGCATACACACATTGCTTGCATCTGAAACAGGGAGTAATAAAAACATATTTATCTTTGGATAATAAGCCATGCTGTCTAAATTAATTTGTGCATACATTATGTTGTTATTTAGAAGTTACTTTTCCAAATCAATTAATGCCTAATTAGAGAGTTTCGATTTGTGGATGGAGAAAACTGTCAGAAGCAGCTCTATAGAGAATGCTGGTCATTTGTGGGTCAACCTATGACTGGAGTGAGCACTGATGTGGTAAGGGGCAGCACCACTTGGCAAGAGGGTCCCAGAAAGCTGAGTGTAACAAGTGGCAGTGCCACCTTACGTTCCCAGTACACGCATCACTTATTAACTGGCACACAACTGACCAGGGCCACACTTGTGTTATTGAACTCTAGAGCAGAGTGCTGGCCTTGATAAATTTTATTAAAATAACAACTTCATCTAGGCAGCATGGCCAGTAATATAAAGATTAAACAAATGTTTTATATTACTTTCTCTTTAGGAATTAGCCAATGTTCCATGTGGAGTATTTACTGTCTTTATGATTGTACATAGCCAGTATATGACATAGAAAAGCTATAGCATTTGGGCTGTGAATCATAAAATTGGTAGCTTAGCCCTTGCAAAACAAGAGCTTCAAATGACAAAAAAATGTATATTTTTTCATATGCTTTAATGTTACTAAGCAATAAACAAACAATTGCTGAAAATTCTTGTAAGAGCAGTAAAATACAATGAAAATAGCTTGCTCAGATGGCAGCAAATGTCTGCTAAAACTCAACTAACATCTAATATTCAGTGGTGGAAGCTTTAATCTTTGCTATATTTCAATCATTTGTAATATTCACATGCTTTATGAAGTCTGAGAGATGCTATATTCATTTTCCTGTATTTCAGACATCTGTATTTTACTCTCTTATATGCTTTTAACTAAGATATAGTAGATGCATTTTTGCTTTAGTACTAATTCAAGGTATAATATTCATTTTTTTTTTAAAGAAACATTTTCGTTGTTGTGCATGCCTAGTGTTTTATATGTTGTATACTGCATTCAGAATATTTTTTTCCTTCTCACCTATCCACAATGCAATGCCGTTCCCATGATGCACCTCTGCTTGCTGTTTACCTGTATGTTAATTCGCTTGAATCCCATTGGCCCACTGCCATCATGTGCTCGCTGCCTGTTATTAAAAGACGCAGTCGACTGCCAAAGCAATGAAGCGACCTCTCGAAGCAACTGTAGATCTGGTACTTTGACCTTTCACCTTTTGCTTTGCATGTAGCTTTTTTCAATGAAGCAACTAATTTTTTATTGCTTTTTTAACATCATCTGAGACAAACAATGCATATAATTAATGTATGGAAAGTTATATTGAGCCATCTCATTTTTCCATGTGTGAAAACAAAATTTAAAAAACAAATTATAAATCATTTGCTAAAATAAATTTGATTACAAAGTACTTGTATACAAGATTCAACTGGATATTTTGATTATCTTAGACATAATTTAATAGAATAATGAACTTTTCTTTTGCTATTTTAAATTGTTTTTCATATTGATATAATTTTAAATTGATATGGAATGCTTTATTCTGCATCTTGTAGAATATGTAAAATTTTAAATTTTATCTTTAAATTAATTCAAGCCAATGCTATTTTGCTGCATTACACATTAGATCTTGTCTGTAGTCGGTGTCACTACAGGTTTAATGTAATTAAACCATGCTTTTGCTACCAATAACAAAATCTCATTTTGCATTGCCTCAGTTTGGGTTAAGGTGCATGGCAAGGCATCTTTTCTGTTTTTACTTAGTTTTACGATGTTACCACAATATGTAAATATATGTATGTATGTATGTTATGTATGTGTGTCATTTCAGAGACTATACATGCATTATAAACTCTACAAGTGTCATCTAATTTTTTGTTGACAGGCGTTTCCTCCTGGCGTGCTTCACCCATTACCAAAGAGACAAGCTCTCGAAAAAAGCAATGGTGCAAATGCACTTTTTAATCCTAGCGTCTTGCACTATCAACAGGCTCTGGCTAATGCACAATTGCAGCAACCTGCAGCATTTTTCCCAGCAGGTATGTTTCACAATCTTTGAAGCAATCACATTTACTTTGCACCTTCACCTATTGCTCTTAGTAAAGAAATCAACTTGTCCGTCGATTCCTTTACTAAGATCAATAAGTAAAGGCGCAAATCCTATTGTTTTGTCTGAAGATAAGTTATCAAATAAACAAAAGAAACATCCACATTGTTTAATAAAGAATACATGTTGTCCTCAGAATAATTTGCTTGTATATTACGATGTTTATAAAACCTCATAAGCTCACATACAAAATTAAACCATTAACCACTGGTTCTGGTGATTGGAGAAATAACTTGCTATTTTTAGCAGAGTTTGGAAAAAATCTGAAACTCTACCAAAATATTTTCCAAGTTGCAAGTTGATTCTCAAGTCAACAAAGTTCACTGGTTTTTGGAAACTTGCATTTAGCTACTGACAGAGTCAAGAGGATGATAGATATGAATGCTGAGTTTAATTTGTTTTACAGACCTGTCGGTACCATATATAAAAAACTAACAATAGTTTTTAACAACTGTTGCAGTTGTTAAGCTGCATTGATAGCATATTTAGGTAAATAAAATGAATCAGAACATATGTGTGAAGTCTGTGACCAAGTTATCATTAATAAATCTAACTGAAATGTAATATAACATGTATTCTGAGAAATACAATATTTAATTACATATACCATGCAGAGTGACCTATTTTATTAGTGCTGTGCAAACAAAATAATCTATGTAGCAGGGCTGCCAGTCATGGGTTTTAGTCTAGTAGGTACATTTTGTCAAGAATATGGCCTCAACAAGTTTTCCAAATAATTCAATACCGTCAGATAAACTTTCCAAATTATTTATCTACAAAGATTCCCATAGACTTTAATGGTGACGTCTCCAGATAAATCACTTGAAAAGTTTTTCTAACAGTATTAAATCATCTAGAAAGCTTATTAAATCAAGTCCATTGTTAGGTTTCACACCGTGTTTATAAAACATTGCTGTGAAGACGGATATGGCTTGTAATTAGTTGGGGGGATGGGGGGTTTCTAAGCTTCTATTATCTTCACTCACTAATCCTTCACATGTACATGTAAACTTAAAATAATCTAACATGTCATATTTGTTGTTAAAATTAAAAAGTGTATATATTAAGAAAGTAAATGATTAATTAATACAGAGAAGCAAATGTTAATTTTAAAAAGCTGGCGGAAATTACATGTATTTTTTATGAATAAAACCAATGCAAACATCTAATCCTCGGCGCTACTATTCACTCTATAAGAGTCACTTGTTTTCACATGTATTCACTACAAGCTAAGTAGATGTCTATAAGATTATTGTAAAAACAGTGACAGTAACCTCAATCACCAATAGCTCACATGCCCATGCTGTTAGTGGTTACTGATTGGCTGTGCTGTGCTTTGCACCTCTACCTTATCTTCAAAATATAGAATTATATTAATTACGTTGAAAAAAATGACTTGCCAATTTCTAACTGTTCAGTCTGTCATTCAAACTAAGTTTTGCTTCTGTTAACAAAAAGTTATCTTTATAGCTTAGTGGCAAATAAACCATGTCTCCTGGTAGATTTTAACCTTAAGACTTGCTCACTTGAGTAAAGTATATCATTACGTATTACTTTAATATTTTATTATTTCTATATGTGAGTATTCTGACACCTTTGTATCAAATAAGACTGATTTACAAAACACAACCATGCATTTTAAAGACCTATGTGCTAAATGAGTGCAATTATTCTTGTTTGGCATGGAAATAGTTAACAATAGAAAGTGTTAATAATATATATAGAGAGAGATTCTCTATCAAATCACTAATATAAATGGTTGTATTAAGCAGCCAAATATATTTTTCTCTTTAATACGTACAAAGTACACTGGTAGTAAAAAATATATACTTTTTGAGACTAATTTATTCTATATAGCCCGTTAGGATATTTCTTAATAGTCACATATGTATCTACTTTATTAAGGCATACAAACTGTAATTTTGATTGTAATATAAATATATGATGTTCTAATGTTAAAATTGCAGCTAGGTATATTTAATATTTTTGGATAAGCATTCCAAATAATTTAATGTTTTGGATAATCTTTTAAAATGATTTTATATTTTGAAAAGTATTTTGATATTTTTTGATGTATTAATATTTCTTTATATGTGATACATTTTTTACATTTTAATATTTTGAAAAAAATCATATTAAACGTTTCTACAAAATATTAAATCATTTGGAAAGCTTTCAATATTAAATTGGGCTTAGTGAATTCAACCCTTTACAGCTTTAACCCTACAAAAAAAAGTGAGAGGAACTAAAATGTTAACCAGCTATGCATTCTATGGCTTTTCATTTTGTATATTATCAATCTACCAGTAAAGTCTATATGTTATCATGATCTAGTTTAACAAAGTTTTAAAATCAATTTAAAAAGTTAAAAATAAGGTTTAAAAAAACATGTTGGTCAAGTCATCATACATCAGTTTGAGACACTGACGTAGAGCATAATTTATTATATATTTTTATTCTAATGCAGATATTTTGGCCTCACAGTTGACATCAACTCACCACAATTTACTGTTGAGTGAGTAACCCCTCTATACATAGGTGTCTCTAATTTATAGAGTGTGACACACATTACTGTGTTTTTTGTTTATGCCAAGGGTTTACATTTCTAGCAAATGATTCAATATTACTGTTGACAATTATTTGATTTAATACACTAATGTTGGTTGGAAAATGTAGTATTTTATTAATTATATCAAGGTGCTCAGATATTTTGAGCACTTATGTTTGATTTCATGTTTAAAGAAAAAGTTTCATTAAAACTATATTTTTAAATAATATAAATAAGGACATATCTCATTATTGGAGTACAGAGATGCAAATAAATAAAATGTAATAAAGGATTACAAAAATAGCAAATATACTGTTTGTTTTTAGTTACCCGTTTATTTTCCCTGACAGAATACCACTGATGTTTTTGGCAAACCCAACTTTGTTATTTCCTGCCTTTTACTTTAAACTGAAACAGCATGCAAAGCTGACTATATCCACTCTTTGCTGAAGCTATCAAGCATTCTTGCTAATTACATCCCAATGAGAGGCGCAAAGCAGACATAGTTCATACCAAAGCAGTGTAAACATAATTATACGGTTTTCAACTAAACACATAATAAAAAATAAACTTGTGACTTTTCTTATTGCTACAATCAAAGAATCCTACTTTTATCCTTCTTTATTAAATATTTTCCTTTAAATGTAGCTAAATTAGATTTATAATGTGAGATAATGTAAGACTACACATAAGACCACACGATAAGAAAACTGATTAAAAAGATCAGGTTTAAAAGGTTAAATAATTCATCACATTTGCAGCTTTATCAAAATTGAAATGTTACTAAAAAACATTATTATAAAACTCTATAGTCTTTTCCAACCAGTTAAACAAGCAATAAACAGATGCAGCCATTTTCCAGATTATATAAGAATCTGCCTTACTAGTTCTCTTATGAATAACTGACATGCCTAAATTGAGTGATTTTATTTCTATGTATGAATGTTCCCAGTCTGATTTGCTATGCTATGGTCTTTTAGTTAATTATTCTGGACTGCGTCCTACTGCAGCTGTTTATTTTAAGAATACATTAACAGCTACTCTGTGAACAATGTTTAGTTTCTGTACATTATCCTTCACTCTAAGGTCATTCATCGTTTTCTTTAGAAATATTGAAGACCAAAACAAAAATGCAAACATGTACTAATATACTTCTTCACAACAAGGGGTCAGGTAGGCCTTATTATAGCATTACATATGTGGTAAGCCATTGGTTGTTGGGAGGTTAAAGAGCTGACCCCAAAAATAAAGTATCAAATGTAGTGAAAAGCTGGGAGACATTGCTTAGTTAGAGACATATAGGGTGTGAGAGCCAATGTTATTTTCCAAGTTTAGTCCCTTTTAAGAGTTTATGAAGTATCACTTATCATACAATCCAATGTACTAATATTGTTTTTTTTCATTGATATTGAGGGAAATGTCTTGGCCGAAATCATAAAAGTCCACAAAACTGTTTACTATCTGAATTAAAAAGCTAAATGAAAAATATATTCTTAGTTTTTATTTCAGTCAGTCATATACATTATAATAATTGTGATATAAAAATCCCTGTGCATTATAAAGCATATATTTTTGCATTATACTGCATGAAGTAAACCCTTTTGTATTTTGTAAATCAGAGTAACTGCAATTTTTTTTAAATAAGAATTGTTGCACTTTACTATCCCTTTAAAAGATAAAGCAACTCTTGCAAAATACTGTTAGACTATGATGTGATTAAATGTTTGTCATTTCTTTTAAGTTACACTGCACTTTTCAGATGCTAAAAAGCCATGGCAGATAGACCTATTTTATATCCAGTGTATTGGCCTGCCCCAGGAGTGAACTGGAAAATTAGTCAAATATAGTGTTCAATATTCAGAAATCAAACATGAACCTAATAAAATATTTTACATTTGTAGAATTATTTGACAAGTGTAAATGATCCCCAACTGTATGGGGCATTGTTTGTTTTTTCATGTCTAATGCCAGTAAATAGTGTAAATGTTCTCACTAACACAATAGAGCAAAATAGCACAGTGCATTGAAACTGTGTGTGACCAAATGTCTTTCGTATTATGTAAATTTTTGATTGTCTTTATTTGTCTTAAATATTGCCCTGGAACATCAGCACTATAAAGTATTTTGTTTCTGTTAAGGCCAGCAATGTGACAACATGCCACTTAAAAATCACAGTATTTAGTTTACATTTGGTGACATAAGTATTTTTAAAGAATTGATTCCATTTAAACACATCACTATTTTCAACCAGCTCAACAGTTTATAAGTGTAATTTACATTTGGATTTTCCTTCTCCATCTTTTCACTTCTTAGTAAATGTAGTGCTTGTATTATTTTGACAAAGATTTCGCTGTGTTTATACAGCCTTTGTTATTTAACTAGCTGTAAGTGTAACTTTTTTTTAGTAGAGATGTTGCAAGTTGGCATCAACAAGGTACATGACAATTAATGTAATTGTAGCAAAGTTAAAACTAAAAATCCATTAATCATCAACTAGGGTATCAATCATCAACTCAGTTATTACACAGCTTTTATGTACTTGGAGCTTAAACCCATCTTAATTATTTAAGTATTTAGGACCCTGGAAAAAAATCTGAAACAATATTAGCTTCTTAATTTTGTAGGTAAAACTTTATTAAATCCTTTGCCTTAGCTTCCTATGTGAATTTAACTAAGTTACTGATTTCCTACCACTTTGTAGTCCTAAACCAAATATCTACAGAAGTGTAAATAATAGATGTTAGTTGTTAATTGTATGCCACTGAGAGGTAGCAAATACTTGCAGTGTAATGTCATTAACATACTGTCACACCATATTAAGAATTAAACTTTTGAGCAAATGATAACAAAATGCTCATAGCCTGACTATAAATAATTCATGTCATGTCAATATCAAGTTTGTTGAGAAACTATTAAGTACAACCAAATCATATACATAATATTGCATTTAATGTCATTCTGGATTTGTCTGCTCAGAATTTGCATGGACCAAGATTAAAAAAAAAAAAAAAAAAAATCTTCAAAATATTTTAAAAGTGAAATAATAATACATTTATAATTAATGCACAATGTTAAAGATTTATATGCATGTGCATACTTCTCTTATTTAAAAATGGCAAATTTAAGATATTTCAGTGACAGACTTTTATCAAAGTGATTATGTTAACATTCTGCAAATTATGACATGGAAACCTCTAACCTTGCCAGATTTTCTCTAAAGCAGTGGTTCCCAAACTGTGTGCACACAGGGGTGCCGCGGAATATTTCCCTGGTGCTATGCTCAACAGGGACCCGGTCAAGTGCCGCAGTCCATTAAGACCGCGGCCGGGCCCCTGTAATGTTGGCTGGCTTAGAGGAAGTGACAGTCTGTCACTTACTCCCAGCATCCTGCAGACAGACAGCGTGGGAGGGAGAGGAGGCAGCCGCAGCGTGAGGGAAGAGGAGCTCCAGACCTCTCATTCCTACAGCAGCAAGACTCCAAGCCACCCTCCTGGCACATAAGGTAAGTTAACAGGAGGGGGGCTGGAGATATAAAAAAAAAAAATCACAAAATGTGAGTGTGTATATGTGTGTGAGTGTATGAGTTTGAGTGTGTGTGAGTGTTTGTATGAGTTTGAGTATGTGTGTGAGTGTATGTGTATGAGTGTGCGTGTGTCAGGGTGTGCATCTGTATGTGTATATATATGTCAGTGTGCACATGTGTGAATGTGCATCTGTGTGTCAGTGTGTGTATCTGTGTCATGGTGTTGGCATGTATCAATGTTTGTGTGTGTCAGGGTTCATGTGTTCATATGTCGGTGTGTATCTATCTGTGTATCTATATGTGTGTATGTGTCGATATCCATATGAATTTGTGTGTATATGTTGGTGTGTTTATATGCATCTGTGTGTTAGTGTGCATGAATATCTGTGTAAGTATGTTTGTATGTATGTGCATACATCCAAGCAGTCAAACACCAGTACAACATACAAGCACACTCCTGCAATCTAACACAAATATTACATACAAACACACCGCTGCATTCAAACTTAAAATAATTATACAAACACACCCCTTCATGCAAACACAAATACTTCACACAAATGTACATCCACATTTAAAAGAGAACATTACATTCAGACACACCCCTGCAATCAAATGCAAATATGACATATAAACACACCCCTGTATTAAAACACAATAAATGTATACAAGTACCCCTTCAAACACTGTACATTACATTATAGCGCCAATAAATGCGGCAGCGCTGTACAGAAATACAACCTACACATTTTTACTTGGGGTGCCTTGGAAAAATACTGAAATATTAAGGGCGCCTTGAACCTAAAAAGTTTGGGAACCATTGTTCTAGAGGCTCCTGATTGGCATCTAATTTTCTGGCCTTTTTTGAATTTTTAAACAAAGCAAAAGTTGTCCCCTATTTGGACAGGCTCCATGCCTACTTGGGTCAGAACCACAAAAGGAAGGAGGAAAACACTACCCTTTAGATTTTTTAATATGATCATATATAGAAAAATTCTAGAACCTTCAAATTCTGTCGAATCTTTTACACATTGGAACATGTCAACCCATTGAACAATACAGATCATGAGTTTATTCTCTGCCCAATGTGAAAACTATTGTAGGATTAGGAGCAATTTAACAGATGCATTATAAAACAATGAATGGCCTGGGTCAAATGATGTCTGCACTAACTCCTACTTATCTAGAGCTGTGCTTGAAATTCACTCTGAATGTTAACTCTTTGTAGCTAACCTGTTTCTTTCCCTTTATTTATTTTCTCCCACCTCTCATTGCATGACATGCAGGGTCAGTTTTGTGCATGACACCAGCTACCAGTATTGGTAGGTTCCTATCTATTTTTTAATCTTTTATACTGCACAAATTACCTTCTGTGAAATTGAATGTTTTTTAATAATTGTTCTAGAACATATTCAGCTATGTTAGCTCTCAACATTATAGACTGTAAAGCCTTTAGAAATCTCGCCTAGAACGTTTTATATGCATTCACTTGCTTTGTGGTTTAATAATGACATCAGTAGTTTCTACTGTTGTTTCTAATATTGTTGAGTATATGAAAAATGAATTGTAAGTAGTATCACCTGTGTGTAAAACGTCATAGTGTTGTGTCTTTTTCTCTCCTTTTTGCTGTGTCTAGAATATTTCATCAGAGTTTCCCAGAAATCCATGCAGTAAAAATGCCATTTACTTAATTAAATTCTATAATGCAATAAAGAATTGTTTCTGTTTGTTCCCTACTGGAATATATATAATCATAAAACAATGCTACATCTTGCTTTCAACATACATTATAAGCATAGACATTTGAGTGGACAAATATTTAGTGTATAGGCATATATATGGATTTGGATTTTAATATTTCATGAAATTATATTATGTATATTTATATAGAGGGTTGTTGGACATTTTTGAACCCTCTTTACTGTGATTGATGACATCATTGTTATGTTATTGTGGAGCTTTAATTCAACATATTTTATTTTAGTTAAATTGGTTGCTTGAAAATATAAAATGAAGAATGTAAGCTGTAAGTTTAAAAAAACAACAACATGCAGTGAAAACAAACTTGTTTCCTCCAAAAAGCTAAAGCCTCCTGCACGACCAATTCCCAGTTTGCAGTAGATTCAAGCATTACCTCTCATGTAATCTCTAGAGGTAAAGCAAAACGCCTGGTTTCTGTTTTGTGTCCCTCCTGAGAAGCTATTGTGGAGGCTTATTTGTACAGTGCAATCACAGTAACCAGAGGAGGCTGATAGAGAACAGTCACATTGCAAAGCCAGAAAGGTAATGTGAGAAAAGTCTGTGGTGCTGGGAATTGATTGGGGGAGGAGAGTTGGGCTCTAATGCAATACTCCATGAGATAGGAAAAGGTTTTATTATTTAAAGAAAATTTTGTAGCTTCCTGTCTATGTGATTCTGTATTGTCACATGGACAGTGTAAATGACCATAATCACTACAGTTTATTATATTGTTGTGGTGCAAGGACGTCATTCCTAGTAACATTTTCCTTGAATTCTTGCTGTTGCTTCTTTTGATTTGTATCTTCTTTTACAGTGCAGGGGCTCCCCTTCCTACCCAATGACATCATGTGGGTAATGCTAGGCTCCCCATTGAACCATCTAAATGATTCAAATTAGTTTGTTTCACATGCAGGAATTCACACAGTGCAAATATTATGATGGCCCAACGGGGAAGCTAGACTTACCCATATGACATCAGTGGGAAGGAGGGTGCAACCCAAATGCCATAGATGAAGATATACATTTTACTCAGAAATTCCACATAAATAGAGTCCATCTAGTTTTATACAGTGTTGATGTTATTTTATTGTAAATCGTATTAATTTAAGGCAAGAAAATAATAATAATAAAAAGAGTAAATGATGTCACTATTACATTTTCTACTATATATATATAATAATCAACCAATAAATCCAAAATCCAATCTAAGACTGAAAAGAGTGTAGTGAGAGAGTTTTACATTTTTAAAAATGTGCTTTTTCTGGGAATCGCTGATAATATTTTTTTGTTTATTTATTTATTTTACAAACTTCCTTTAATTGTACCTGTAATAAGCTTTTTTCCCTTTTTTATTTCTCTCCCACGCTTTCTTGCTTTGCATTGTGATTGCATGCCATCTGCTGGTTTAACCCATGATGGCTTGCTGCTATGTGATATTCACCATGCCAAATCCACTTCTATTACCATAATGCTACACCCTCCTGTTCATTGCTTCCATGGTTCCCCTCCTGAAAGTTCCCATGATGCACAGCGCTACGTCCGCCACTGTCTCTGCAGCAACAACTCCTGCAACAAGTGTCCCCTTCGCCGCAACAGCCACAGCCAATCAGGTTTGCTCCTTTTAAAGCTTTCTTTCACAAATCCCAAAGTGCTAATAATTAAAAAAAAATTCTCTGCAGAATTTTTTTTTTTTTTTTTTTTAACACATAATTGTTTACCCATCAAATTTTTTTTTATTAAATGTTAATGGAGAATGTGTTCCTGGGAGGTTTCACTTATTCAGAGTTACATTTTGCAAGTATTGATCTTTCTGTTTTATGTTTCTGTTGTATGTGTTTAGAATAAGTTAGAGCAATATTCTTAAGAAATACATGATAGGAAAACACAGATGTATTAACATAGCAACAATTCTAAGAGAGTGGACAGTTCTTGGTAGGGGTAATAACTTTCTAGTGACGCAAAGGTTTGATATAAAACAATTATATGACCCTATATAAGTGCTTGATACATGTATTTGTGGGAGAAATCCTGATATCAAATAAGATTTCTTTTATTATTTATTTGGATGTTTCTGTTTTTATTCAACTATGATCCAGTTGAAGGATTAATGTACCGTAAGTCTGAAACTAAAAAGCCAGTTTGTGGTAGTTTATACAAAATGGCAGAACATTTTTGAACTCTTTACAAAAGGAATACTGCCTTTTTAATTTGACTTCAAATGTGATCTAATCCTTAGCACAATGTACGTCCTTATCTCTTCATTTAAAGGGACACTATGAGCATCCAGACCACTTCATCTCTATGAAGCAGTCTGGATGCAATGTCACTCTTGCTATAACCCTTCATTGTCATTCTGCTGGACCGGCAATGTTTGCATTGCAATGTTTTATACTGGCAGCCACTAGAGGCTTTTCCACAAAAATAGCTGAGTGAAACTCTACTACATCAATCAGATGGTCTTACAGAGACTGTCTTATTGGTGCAGTGTTTTGCCATGCATGCGCACTAGCCACGAAAGCAATGGTTTGGCTGTGATGATCAAGATCGGCCGTCCGGCGAGAAAGTAGCATGGCATTGGATAAAAGGTAAGTAAAATACCTTTTTAAACCTTGCGTCTATAGTGTTAGGAGTACACATTTGTATTCCTGATGCGATAGTGTTTCTTTAACACTTTAATCTTATAACGACTGTACTTATTGTAAAACATATATAGAATGTGTAGGAATCAGATATATAATTTGTTTAATTTCATATGTTTCAGTCAAAGATAGCCAGATGTTATTTTAAGGCTCCTATTTCCCTCTGTTTTTCACAATATTGGTGTGTGAAATGATCTATGCTGAACTTAAATAAAAATGAAAGGGTATGTATCATGCCGAGCATCACAAATGTTCTTTTGAAAGAGAGTAACATTTTGTCTATACATTACGCTAGTAGATTTGCTAGTAAATGTATAGATTGGGAGAAAAAATAACTATTTAAAAATAGATCTTTCTTCCACTTGACAATCAAATCTGTGGCACGGACTCTCTGCAAAAGAATTGGATGACAAGGGATAGCAGAAAAGACTTACCCCAGGCTGTCCTTCAGCTCTTCACATAGAGCAGCCACAGTATATGTTAACTCGCTAGCCAACGCTGCTAGCACTGGTTAGGGAGTATAGGAACGGCGATGAGGCCAGCGTGTAGACATCTTAGAGCAGGAGGAGCAAGGAGCAGATTGGAGGTGGTGTAACAAAAGTGTAACAACCATGAAGACAAGGACATGGTGGCACTGGAGCATCTTGTATCTTTGCGATATATGATGTGTTCAGTGTATTTGGGGCTATTTATAAATATAAGTGACAGGTTTACTTTAAAGAAACGAGTTGTTGATACACATTTAAGCAGCAAAGATTTACAGGCTTATATGCTAAAGTGTGAATTTAAAGTGAATTTCATATGATAAGCCAAAGTAACCGAAATCGAAGTATAGCTGATACAGATAATTTAACCAATTCGGCATTTTTGGCCTTAAATTTGAAAGTCACTTTGAATTCTCACTTTACTGAATAAACCTGTTAAATGAACACTAGTGTTAGGAATACAAAGCCCTATTGCACTTAGCATCATAGACAACCTGCCTAACCCTTAAAGGGGTGTTATCCCAGTGTCCATGCATAACTAGTGACATGTTCACTGATAGAGCTGCCATCCAGAGTTTAAATGCTCCGAAACTGCTAAAACATGCATAGTAAGCACACACTTTTATTGTATCTTCATTAAGTATTCCCAACAACAGATAATAGAGCTTGTCTCTTGGGTGATCAAGAGCACAGAAAGAAAGCTAAGTGTCAAACAGGAGCATCATTGGACCTGGCAGATCTGGTTTACACTCATTGAAAGAACAGCTTTTAAGGGAGTATGTCAAGATGTAAGGCCTACAGCCTAACATAATCCTAAACACACAAGTAAATATGTTATTGATTGTCAGAAGCAGAGTTTATTTTAGCAGTTTGGTGTGCCCAAGTCAAAATTCTAACCTTAAAATTACACGCTAGCTAGCACCAAAATCACTATGAGGGAGATTTTGTCAAGGGATAAACAGATGCTCTTCTGGGCAAAGTGTTAAATAAGGAGTATTCATCATGAAAACCAACAAAATGTATCTCAATAATTAGATTTTTTTCACCCAATGTAGCACCTGTTTGGCCCTGATGTACTGGATCCCCTACTTCTTAAGGTAGTGCTTTGATGTTGAAATGCTGCCCATTTCCTCTCACAAATATATAGATACTACCATTTCTGAGAGATGGCAATGTATACATTTGTAAAAGATCTTCAAGTGATTGACACGCTGTCAAGCTTGACCTGAAGTAAGCAGTTCATGCAAACACAAAAATATCAGTAAGCCCTACCAGCTACTAATTGTAAGGGTTCTCTTACATAATAGTGTGATATCCTTATCCATGTAATGAAAATCAGAACACATTATATACGTGTGTGTACAGGGAGTGCAGAATTATTAGGCAAGTTGTATTTTTGAGGATTACCATGTTCTCAATGAACCCAAAAAACTAATTAATATCAAAGCTGAATATTTTTGGAAGTAGTTTTTAGTTTGTTTTTAGTTTTAGCTATGTTAGGGGGATATCTGTGTGTGCAGGTGACTATTACTGTGCATAATTATTAGGCAACTTAACAAAAAACAAATATATACCCATTTCAATTATTTATTATTACCAGTGAAACCAATATAACATCTCAACATTCACAAATATACATTTCTGACATTCAAAAACAAAACAAAAACAAATCAGTGACCAATATAGCCACCTTTCTTTGCAAGGACACTTAAAAGCCTCCCTCCTATTGCTTTATGCTAATGCTACACAGACTAGAAGTAATGTGTTCTATTTTCATTTAGAGACAATCCTTAAATGACCTATTTTATAGAATAATTCCAAACATTGTTTATGTTAGATGTACTTATTTTAGTGGTAATCTCTCTAAAAATAGATGTGAGTTGTAACGGGGCACCCAAAGTATCACAGTTTGTTATATTGGATGCATGACCCAAGAGGTGATAAAATGTAGTAACTTGCACTTCTTTAAGCTAGTGATGCCCCAAAACAGGTGAACACATGCCATTAGCATTACTTGTTTTTTGCTGCCTATGAGCAGTTAGTGAAGTGAAACTGATATATGACTGAGACTGTACACAAACATTTTAACTGTTTCCTTGGGTTCATCTCAGATATGTTTTGCAAGTTTATATATAATTGCTAATGGCTAGGTCTAAAAAATGTTTTAAACCCAATTTTAAAATAAGTCAGATGAGAAGAAAAAGCCAGTTCAAGACAGCTGCTTGAAGGCAGCCATAACTCTTGCCATATACTAATAGCAAAGTATGGGGAAAATGTATCAAATTAAGACGTTTTTAATTGCCTTCCAATATATCTTTGGTACTGATTGACTGTCAAGTATTGCTTCTAGACAGCTGTCAAGAAGAAGAAAATCAGCACCAAGAATACTATCAATGAGATAAAGTCAGCTGTCAGCATGAAAACTGTAAAATAAATAAAAAGGATCACTAAACACATCTGAATCTCCAGCTCTTCACAATGTACTGACACATTTATGTTATCCCCTGGGACCTGGGTCAGGGCTGTAACATAAGTTAAGCTCCAGCCTCCCTTCTGTGCTCTCACTCTCATGAGTGATACGGTCCGAGTAGTAAACACATGGTGTATGAGCCCAGCAGCTTATCCCACTCCTGTTTTCACCCCATATTTGGTGACTTGGTGATACAATGAATACAGTTATATAACATGGACCTGCCTCTATCTCCTGGCCCATTTATTTTCTGACCCACAAACGTTTGTGTCACAGGGTTGCCCAGGGATTTAGTCACTCCTGTACAAATAATGGCATCTTCCAGCCCAACCAATCACATAGGTATTCCACTTAACGCTGTAGAAATGTAGATTATGTTAATGCACACACATCTATTTGAACCAGCAAGCTAGAATTTTTTTAATGTTATAGTTTTTATTTTCTGTATGTAAGTCAATTAAACATCCATGATAATTGTTATGCAAGATAACTTCTGAGTGTAGCTGAAGTTGTTTATTTTCCCAGCGTAAGTGAAGAGCTTGCACTACACCAGGAAACAAAAATGGCATTATTGTTTAATTGTATCTGCAAACAGCAAAACTTCCTCACTATTTGCAGTTATAATGCTGCCAAGCCAGTAATAAGAGGGAGCAATGCAGAGTGCTGCCCTGTTTGTCACACTAAAAGGGAAATTAAAATGTTAAAATAATTCATTCAGGGGTCAGTTGCTAGAATGCTTTTTGGGATAATTCAATTCCAACTACACATGTAAAAATGTTTCTGCAGTAAAAGTAGAGATTAGAACCTGTGGATGGACACATGTATAGCATTTATACCATATAAAATGCTTTTTTGCCTTTGCATTACTGCAATACGATTTCTATAAACAGATAATGGCGCAGCAGTTTCGATGGTTTCCTAAGGACTGCTTGCACCACATTGGAAAACATTTACTAATTGGTCTCCCAGCAATGTTATGCCACTTGGTAAATATCATTTTTGACATAAATTTGCTGGAAAGACAACTTTTATTGCATCAGGCTATAGTAAATTAGAATTTTAATTTGCCCACTAAAATAAATTTAGATTTGTGCATGTATATACTTGCTAGAAGGACCAGTCCAATGCAATACGTTATGCACATTACCAATTACTTCGTACATATGCCACAACAAAAGAATAGATAAATGGAGTTGAATGAGGCAAGATTTTGTCTCTGTCATCCACTTACATTGTGGAGAACATGTTACAAACATATAGACACAAACTGAGAAAAATGTTAGTAAGGATCTTTCTTTGCGCATTCGTAGTCTTAGCAGCCTCTAAGTACATTCATACTGTAGCATATAATAGACATCCTAAACCACCCATGGATATTCTTGCCTGCTTCGACAATACACAGTACCTAAAGGACTTTGTTAGTTATTTTTCAGCCATTAAATAATAGAGCAACTGCACCATTTCCTTTTAAGGACATCAAACCTGGTGATCACTGCAGTTGTGTGTCTCTAAGCAACAGTGTTTGATTGTGTGAGTTGCAAGTTACGAAATAGCTATCATTACTAAGTATATAAACATTGAGTTTGTGCCCATGTGACTTCACATTAAAATTAAAGGTTATGAGGGCAACAAAAGTTGTAATAATTTTGTTAACACTAGTAGATAATGGCATAGGGAAGACTGCCCTGTGAACAGATACCATGTAGGCAAAATACAGTCTGTCAGGTTATAGTCACATTAGCCTTTCTTCATTAAAGATATCAGATCAAAACTTATTTTGTTTTTCTGCTCTTTTTTAAAATTATCATGAAAGAGGCCTTCACTTGATTTACAAGAAAAAAACAAGCCATTGTTAACCCCTTAAGGATGGAGCCAAATGTACACGTTGTGAACAAAACAAAATGTAAACAAAACCTGGCATTTGCGCTACATGTCTGTCCAACCGTAATTCACCTCTTTCATAGTAAATGTACCCACCCTTATTATATATAATTTTATTCAGGGGAAACAGGACTTTCATTTAATATCAAATATTTAGCTGTGAAACATAATTTAATATGAAAAACATGGGAGAAAATAAGATTTGTTAAATTTTTTTTAGTTCTACATGACATTTTAATTGGCATACCATTTGCAATAGTAGACAACCCAAGGTATTGCAAATGGGGTATGTCCAGTCTTTTTTAGTAGCCATTTGGTCACAAACACTGGCCAAAGTTAGCGTTAGTATTTGTTTGTGTGTGAAAAATGCAAAAAAGCCAATTTTGGCCAGTGTTTGTGACTAAGTGGCTACTAAAAAAGACTGGACATACCCTGTTTGCAATACCTTGGGTTGTCTACTATTGCAAATGGTATGCCATCATAGGGGTAATTTTCATTCTTGGGCTACCATAGGGTCTCAAAGGCAACCTAACCAATCTGGCAAATTTTAATGTGAAAAAAATGAAACACAAGCCTTTTATTTGAAGCTGTAACTTTTGAAAACACCATAAAACCTGTACATGAGGGGTACTGTTGTACTCAGGAGACTTCACTGAACACAAATATTTGTGTTTCAAAACAGTAAAAAGTATCGCAGCAATAATATCGTCCGTGTAAGTGCTGTTTGTGCGTGAAAAATGCAAAAAAGTCACTTTTACTGGCGATATCATCGTTGTAATACATTTTACTGTTTTGAAACACTAATATTTGTGTTCAGCGAAGTCTCCCGAGTAGAACAGTACCCCCCATGTACAGGTTTTATGGTGTCTTGGAAAGTTATAGGGTTAAATATAGTGCTAGCAAATTAAATTCCCTTTACTTTCGGCATGGGTTGTCAGGCAGGTCCCGCTAATTGTAATTAATTAAGATACCTAATTATGTAAAAATATTACATAAATATATATGTAGAATTAATATATGTATATATATACGTATGTGTATATATATATATATATATATATAATTTTTTAAAAATATTTTTATTTATATATACGTATATATTTATGTATATAGATATATATATTATTTCGTTCTACGTGTATTTTGATATAAATTTATATATATATTAATATCACAATACAGTTAGAACAAAATAACATACATCTATATATTTTTTTTTTTAATTATTTTTTAATTTTACTTTTTAACGTATTTACATATTTTTTTTTATATTAGATATAAATATATATATACCAATAATTATTTATATATATATATATATATATATATATTTAATCAGTATCAGTCTACGTGTAATTTGATATTAATATATATATATAATTATATATATATTAATACTAAAATACACCCAGACAGTGTATGTGTGTGTATGTATATGTGTATATATATACTTAGATCATATATATATGATCTAAGTATATTATTATTATTTTTTTACACAGATTTAACTTTAATTTATTTTATTTCCAGCCAGCAGGGGGGACTACCTGTCATTACAGGCAGTCCCCCTGCTGGCAATACAGCAGGCAGCTAACCCTGCCATGTGATTGTGAGGTCCTTACGTTAAGGGGTTAAAGGACAACTATAGTCACCCAGACCACTTAATCTCAGCAAACTGATTTGGGCGCAATGTCTCTGTCCTTTTAACCCAACAATGTAAAACACTGCAATTTTGAGAAAATTCATGTTTACATGTAAGTTCATTTCTTGTAGCTCTCAGTATGACAGCCACTAGAGGAGCTTCTGTGGCATCGACCGCGTAAAATTCTGTCATATAAAGCGGCAGCCCCATAGGAAAGCATTGATTCAATGATTTCCTATGCGAAAGCTTGAAGGTGCAAGCAGCAAACACCACACATGAACATTAGGTCCTCAATGCTCCTCTTGACCCTACCTCCAACATGATGATGTCAGGTGAAGTGAACTAAGCAGCATTGAGAGAGCCTCGGCATTCGAATTAGGTGAATTTAGAAAAAAAGGCCTTTTAAATCATTTAGGTGCTGGGGGGAACAACAATCTAATATCAGCCCAGACAGGGACTCTATAGCGTTACAAATACAGATTCCTAACGCTCACATGTTCCTTTAAAATCAGTTGCACTACTTTTAGGCATAGATGGCTGTATAGTTTAAAAACAATTGTAGTAGATTTGTGATAGAAATAACCTATAGTTAAAATTGTAATTGAGTTTGGAAAATGTAGTATATATCCCCAAAACCTAATTAAGTTTATTCTATTTTCAACCCTTGGATATATGCTGGACCATAACTTCATCTTTTGCTGGAAATTTATAAAATCACATATATAAACTCCATAGGCAGAAGTAGATTGTTGTCCATCTGTACAGTCTCTTGTGTTTGTGCAAAGAACACTAATGTGCTCTTAAGTCATAAAAAACTTGCAACATGCAAACTTATGAGCACAATTCACAAATTACTGCAAATGTTTTTTCTTGATGTACATGCTGAGTTAGCTTTAGTAAATATGATGGAACTGGCAAATTACTAACAGCAGCAGCAAACCATCTTCAATGTTTGCGGTCATAATGAACCTTTCCAATGAAAAGAGAGAGAGCTTCCAGCATGTACCAAAAGAGCATTTGGAAGTAGGTAGGACCATTTTATTTTGGGGTTGGTGTGTATTTGTAGTGTCAGGTTTATATAAAAATTATACCAAATACTACAATCTACTAAATAAAGTATAACTACACTGGGTGGCTATATTTTAACAAATTTGGACTAGTGTTTTGGGGGTGTGGGGTCGGTTTAATTAAAAGGACACTAGATAGGCACACAGACCACTTAATCTAATTGAGGTGGTCTGGGTGAAGTTATCCTTTCCCTTGGCCTTGCAATGCAAAACTGTAGGTTGAAGACTGCTTTTAGTGGCTGTCTCTTAGACGCTTTGCATGAAGATGTCCAGCGTCTTCTAAAGCATTGAGCCAATGGTTTCCTGTGGGGAAGCCTAATGTGTGCGCTGAGCTCGTCGTGCATGCGTATAAGGTTTCCCCAATCAAAGTGTTTGCAGGTTTATTTAACCCTTTTATGGACTGGGGTGTGCAAAGGCAAAAGGACACTTTGAAAATATAGTTTTGTATTCCTAACACTATAGTGCTTCTTTTAAGTATTATGTCCAGAGTGTTTGGGCAATGATTGCTCCAGTTATTACTGGGCTAGGGGGCTTGGTGACTCTCTAGCCCCATTATTATAATACCTTGCATCCTACATGTTAAGGTTAAGAAATGGGTTAGGGAACGTCAACCAGAAACGTACTACACAGCTCACAGTGTGGTGGAATGTGTATGGGTCCAACAAAGTATTTGATTTCCTCCACTTCCACTGCACATTATCATGGTCTTGGAGACCCTATATATTATTTGGTTAAACCCTATTCAGTGTGCAGCATGTAGGGTCTGATAAATGCTTACCATATATCTTTTACTATAATTTTTTTTTTTTTGGACAAATTAATTTTCTCTTTCAGCACCACAAATGAAAAATGCACATTGTGCTGTTTTCTGCGGTGACACTGGAAAGGCTAAGTTAAACAATGGCATGCTTGACCAGGCAGGCTTTGCTATGATCCCACTAGGCATAGAATTTTTTTTAATGCCTAGGAAAACTGCAACACCATCAAGTAAATATCTAATAGTGTATGGCAAATTTTGGAGCTTTGGTGGAGGGGAGCAGGAGGGGAGCATGGCAGGTGATGTGCACAAACTAGTAAGAAGCATTTTAGTGTAAGTTTACCACAAAGTTAGAAAAAAAAAAGTGTCAGCTGCTACTAAATCAACCCTTGTGTTTTTATATGGTCATTCATTTACTGACAGTCACTGAATGTGCTTCATAGCAGTTATTTTTCGTTTTTTACCTTGTTATCCATCGGCAAGCCATTTGACTGCAAAGAGAGGTTAATTTTTTTTTCTACTCTGGAAGCTCTAGTTCCAGATGCTGCTTTTCTGGTGATGTTATTACTCATTTTAATGGTATTTCTTTGTAGGTTGTGTTAGTCATTGGGCAGTCTATCAAATGACCCACCTTCTAAGTAAGATCTGGCCTAAGTAGTTACTTGGTGATAAGATAGAAGGGAGCACCAGCATTGGTTGTGTGGGTTCTGTTTAATGCTAGTTTTGATGTTTTTTTCTAAATTTGTTAAGTGAAAAAGAATGGCTTCACTATGAAAGCCTTACTAAGGTTTGATCCTTCCAATATGTGTGTGCAGCACGTGTATGCCACATGCATTATTAGGGTAAACCTCTGGCTTTTCCCCGGACATAGGTTAGCCTCAAACATGCTCAGTTGAAGGTTCGGTACATCACTGTATGCAGTGCTGGTCACAAAACTGTGTATAAACCACTGCGTATAAACTGATAACTGCTATTGAGCTTCTTCCTAATCTCTGTTGCCGAAGCATGCTTCTGCTAGTGTAACACGTTAGTAAAGTGAGGGTTTTTTTGCATCATTTTGTGTGCATTTTCTATATGACATTGAACACTTTTGCTTAACTAAGGGTAAAGGATATTGTGAAACAGCAAAAAAAAAAATGGTAGCAAGAAATTGTCAGATTTTCAGTTATAAAACATACCTCCTTTTTATGCCAATAACAATTGTTTAGAGCAGGGGTTCCCAGCCCAGTCCTCAAGTAACCCCTACCAGTCCAGGTTTTAGGGATAACCCTGATGTGTCTAAAGTGGTTTTGTTTTTTCTCTCTAAAAACACCTTAGACACAACTGGGTAATCCCTAAATCCTGCATTGGTAGGGTGTACTTGAGGACTGGGTTGAGAAGCACTGGTTTAGAGTATACTTCAAACATTTACAACACCGAAGCATTTACATGCCCAGGTAGGCTGAGCTTGTGTTTTATTTTCGGCATAACAATTATAGATGAAAATAGTTGTCCCCAGACAAGAGGAACAACATGTAAACAAAAATAATTAGCATTAGATTTCCTTTCAGTTTTAAACATTGCTAAACTAACATATTATTCCTTGACGTGTAATAACTGATGGAGAGGTCTCAGTTATACAAAACGGATTTGTATTATACTACAATTATTACTGTCTAGGAAACTAAGAGGGAGGAATTAAGAGTCATATACTTTCATTCAGCATGCTTCTTTGGTTTATTCCATGTTGCATTCTGATTTCAATTGCATGTGGTTTCCCTATTGGCTTTAGAAAATGTCGTGCCATCTAGGAGCATAACATATGTCCAGATCATAGAAACCTATAAACAAAAACAGAAGGTATTTTGTCAATACTTGCTAACTCAGCTATGCTTTCTGTGTGCTTTCAACCCCCTGTCTTCTTGTAGGCATTTTGCTACTTAATTTGTGTACTTATGTTTTTCAGCTAGAATGCTAGATATGCTAGTTAAAGTAAATGTGCTGGTCTTAATATTAATTTTTAGTAATATTTTAACCATCCAGAACATAATTAATATGGTTTATCATTACTCTTTAAAATCATTCTAAATCTAAGTGCAGTTCCTTCAGTATTTCTCATTTAGTTGTTCCTTTGGGAAATGGCTAGTGTCCCCAGATAATAGCTAGGTTGGGATGTAATGTTACCATGGCTGTTACATTCAGTTTCTGATCGCTTGGGAAGAGACCACACTCCCTTGTAAATCTGCCTTAGTCTGTCTTAACGCTTCTGCATATTCATGTGAAATCTCTACCTAATTTACTTAATGTCCTATTTATGATTGATGCAAAAAATCTGTCATAGCTAAAGTGATATTAGCATATATCTTTCAGTATATTATATATTCAAAAGGAGATTGAGATTGAAAAAAAAAAGATCTAAAAATAGCTCTGGTGTAAATATAAACAAATATTATACCAAATATACACAAATTTAGAGATCTTACAAATCTATTAAATCCAAAATGAGTCCATAATTAATTAGGAAAACACAGACCAACTTGTCACAGCTGGAGAAGTGTCTAACCTGGCTCTTTAAATTGGCTTACATAAAAGTTGTGGTGAGTAGACAGACAATAGAAAGGATTGAGACTTCCTTTTGGTGTATCTATTACTGGACACTACCTTGATGCAAAATAACTGAAAACATTTTAATAACAGGATTACAGCTAAGAATGTTTTACTAGAAATGCTATACAGTAGCATATTTATTGATGAAGCTAAAATTAAATTGAGAAAATATAGGGTTGTGCTAATCTAAAATCTGGAATGCTACAGTGAAAATTTGCAAGGGCAGCAGTGCATTTAGAAGTAAGAATTTCAGAGCAATGCTCTTCCGAAACAAGATTTGCAAAACATATTTTTTTCAGTATGTAATGTGATTAAAGGAACACTATAGTGCCAGGAATACAAATGTGTATTCCTGACACTATAGTTCTAATAGTGCTGTTTAGGTCCATGGCCCCACCCCCCCTGGCAGCAAGGTAGAAGGTGATTTTACTCACCTTTTTCCAGCACTGTGCAGATCTCCTTGCGGCTGGCTCTGCCTCCTTGGCTGAGATCAAACGTGATGATCTCAGCCAATCCAATGCTTTCCCATAGTAAGGTATTGGTAGGCTATCGTGCTTGTGCAGCAAAACATTCAGCTGCACCAATCAGCATCTCCTCATAAGCATGCATTTAATCAATGCATCTCTACGATGAAGGTTTAGCACCTTCAGGCTGAGTGTGGAGATGCTGAATGCCAGTGCTGTACATTGTGCAGCACTGACTCAGGAAGCACCTCTAGTGGCCATCTGAATGACTGCCACTAGATGTGTTACTAGGCAGTAATGTAAAAAATGCATCTGCTCTGAAAAGGTAGAGTTTACATTGAAAAGCCTGTAAGGACATGCTATAGACACCAGAACAACTACATTAAGCTGCAATTGTTCTGGTGACTACAGTGTCCCTTTAAGTGCCAATAGCTTTTTCACCTTGTCTACCAATAAAATCAAAGTTCTGCATCTAAATACAGTACAGAAAAATATCATAGGTCCCTATAGATTATTGAATAATAATAGCTTTTCTTTGGGATCCAAGATGTAGATATTTGGTTTAATGTTCACACCAGTTCAAGTTTAAAGATACACTATATTCTCCAGAACCACTACAGCTTAATGCAGTAGCTCTGTGCCTGTCCCTGGAACCCCTCCAGTGTAACACTGCCCTTCCTGGGAACAGGCATTGTTTACACTGCTGCCTAAAGAGACCTCTAGTGGCTGTCACACTGGCCTTCCTGGGTTCAATCCTGCAAAGATTGCAGGGCCAACGTTCTGCATCTCCACACTCTGCATAGAGACACTGAACACTACCCACAGAGATGTATTGACTCAATGCATTTCTATTAGGAAACATTGGATTGGCTGAGATCATCAACATTTCTCATTCTGGGAGGCAGGGCAGGCAAGATGACGGAAGAAAGGTGAGTAAAACTTTTCTTGGTCGATCTAGGGGGGTCCAATAATCTAATTAGGTAGGGTACACAATAGCATTAGGAATACATGTTTAAATTCCTAAATGTATAGTGTTCTTTTAATATTTTGAGTGTATAACCTATACATTTTTGTGGTCAGTCATGTAACTTCAGTGCCTCCTCTGATAGCGATGTGATAACAAGGGATTGGAGAGAGAAGATGAGCTTGTCCACTTTTGAAAGTCAATTGTGATGAAGAATGTCAACAACTTGAACTCTAACAATTGTATTTTTCATTTCCAGATCATACTGAAATAATCAACAAGAGTATAATAGATCATCAAGAAGAGTCACAGAAGATATCAAAGCATCCATATTGTACATATTATCCAGCCTCCTCCTCTATAGAGTTGCCACAAACTGCATGCTAAAAAAAAAAAAAAAAAAGATATTCTCTTTATGGACAAACAAAACTCTTAAGAAGCTAGTGCTGCTATATTTCAAATTGATAATATATATATATGGTATGCTTAATATATTCCAACTTAAAATAGTTAACAACCTGATACCAGCTGTGATGTTAGTGGGTAACATTTACTTTTTAATATTTTGTATACATTGCTCCCACTCTACAATAATGTCTTATCTCCTGTTAACCCTATAGCAGATGTAATGATATAAGTTCTATCCAGAGTATATACATTTTACATATTGGAAAGCATTTTATTAGCTACTAAAATAATGTTTTCCCAATGGCTAATATATATATATATATATATATATATATATATATATATATATATATATATAAATAAGATTTATATAATGATTATTATTAACACATAATTACTCATTAAAGCCATTAAAACATTAAAAGTAAATTATCATTTCCCCCTCTGCAGAGAAGACCAAGAAGTAAAAGGATTCTCATATATGGAAATAAGCTTGTGATAAAGCACAAATTTGAAGAATATAAACCAGTCTCGTATCAAGAAAATGTTTTGTTGGAATAGGTGGGATTTAAAAAAAAAAAAAAGCAAAAAAGAAGAAAAATGATATATAATATATACATATATATATATATAGAAATATATAACTATAAAAAGGAAACATTTGCACAGTATGACTGTCATACACAAATGAAGTCTTGAATACTCATTTTTGTTCTGTACTTACATTGTTTTCTTACCAAGACTTTGCAGAAGTGCCTAAATTTTGCCAGTACATCAAACGCAAAAACACCGAGACTGATGTCAGCTCCCCAGTTTCCACTATTCAGAGATTTTTTTCCAACCTGCAATCACAGGTTAACTACATAGCATCAGAGGAGGAGTTTTCTTAGATAATCGAATGTACAAAAGAATTTATCAGTCACACAAAACTTGACGGTGACTCTAATCTATGTTATTAAACATTTTTAAGTATAGTAAGAGTTTTATGTTGACCCAGTCTTGTGCGCTAGAGGCCTGCAATATTTTGCAGAGCAATGGTTTGCAGGCCCCTTACCGCCAAACCTCTCTGTTGCTAATATAAGAAAGCTATATATAGTTTTGCTTAGAGCGTTTAGCTACCGAGAGGTTTAAATGGGTTCCTAGTGTTATACTTTTTTATTGTTGGATTTTAGAGGGTTGTAACAGGATTACAGCACAAGGAAAAGAAAACATCTTTTAAAACATATTTTATGGCTCAAAAACCGCGAAGAGTTCTTGCTTATAATTAAATACAGAGAAATACTTTATGGATAGAACAGATATTGATGTTTACTTTTACAGTAGGCTGTTGATTTAAAATGGTTATGTCTGTACATTTAATATGTAATTTAGTTCAAGATTTTTTTTTTTCAAGCACTATTGTACCAAATATTTCATGTTTCTATGTTGCACATTTGTCACATGAAGTGAGTTGTTGCTGAATTATGGTTATGAAAAGAGAACAGCTGTTATACAGGAATAGTATACTTAAGTGTTAGAAGTCTGTTTATTTTTTTTTTCTCTTGTAAAACAATATTAGTGATTGCAGTATTTTAAGAAAATTTTGAAAGTTGAATGTAAACTATTTTTAACGTGAGCAGCCTGCTCTAAAGGAAGGCGCTGTAAATCTATATAAATTGGTAATCAGGAAAAGATTCTGCCTTTATTTTTGTTTATTTTTTAATATAAAATATGTTTTATTTGTACTCATATATTGATACAGCAGATCTGATTACTCAACACAAGTTAATCAAAATTCACGTGATAGTGTATTTTAAGTACAAGATACATTTAAAGAAAATCTATTGCCTTATTTTAAAATCTGTAATATCAAATGTTCTACTTTTTGCGTGTTCAATTTGTACGTTGGTTAAATTCTTTTTGAGTGTATAACCTTAGTACAGCACCTGTCCTCAGCTAGCCAAACAGCTGTAACGTATGTCACACACATCACTAAGAACTCGCCTGCTATAGGTATTGCTGCAAATTCACCTTTAGTACGCAGCCTGCCAAGAGAACCTATGGCATTTTCAGCTCTTCTAACTTCCCAAACCCACACTCCAGGATTTCCTCTTATGACCTCCTGTGTCTATAGCTATGAATAAATAAACAGAAAATGGATTGTTAAAAAAAAAAAAAAATCTACTCAATATTTTATATTACAGATTATTTAAAAGGTGATAGTTTAAAGATTTTTAACCTGCCTAAACAGGTTGTATCATCAAACACCTATGTTACGTCCTCTTATTCTCTGATCTAAAGTTCTAAGGTTACAAATGGATGGTCAACGTTCCAATTTTTTTTTTTATTCAGCATTTGAATGACCTTTGATCTTTGTGTTTTTTTGTATTTTTCTTTTTATAACGTCCCTGCATTAAGTAGTCTATAAAATAAGGAATAAGAAAGTTAATGCTTCTGTTATAGTAGAGCAGAGGCATCATAGTGAATTTGTGAAAATGTTAAATGGCAGGAGAAAGCCGTCTTTGAGAGCTCGGAATATAACAGAGCATGACTACCAATACAGTTGACTGATAACCAGCCATAGTTTGCATCCGAATACTTAAGTCTACAATGCTGAAGCAATATTGTAACTCCCTACAATCTGAATTGGTTTGTCACTGTTGTTTATAGCACTGGTGCTCTACAGGTGGTTGATGCCAATGTGTATCTTCCATTTATAGTCAGCCTGCCACAAATTTATTATATTCAAACACCATACTTTACATTTGTACTTAACTTCAGTTACGAAGGGGTTTACAACCCAAAACCTTCAAAGAACCAAAAGGGTTACTAAATGACTAGGTGTTTGTAAATTGTATAACTAAAAAACAAGACCGGCACCAAAATCACTGAACGAAATCTGGTATTGATACTAAATTGGTGAATTTACTACATTCTCAAGCAAAGAAGAAAATGGATACACTTTGGATCTGCTTCTTCAAGGTCTTCTCTTTGTATGGGGATGTAAAATATTGCAGAAAGTTTAATAAATTATTTTGGTGCAGGAGTTCTTTCTTTCTTTATGTTTTTATAACTCATTTATTTTGTATTCATTGGCAGATGTATTTGTTAATCTAGAATAACACAAAATATTTTCTATATATACACACAGAAAGAGTAAACCACCCTAACAAAGTGTGCCTTACAAAACACTGCAAAAAAGAAACAAACAAATTATTATATACGTCCCTGAGATGGGGAAGTATATAATGGAATAGGGGGTTTATGGATTACATCCAGATGGAAACAATACAACCTGTGAATCCACAGTCTGGCACAATATAAATCTATAAATAGAGAGGACAGTATATGGTGAAGTACATAAGGGTAATAGAAATAGTTCCACGAGGTAGATAACTTACAAAAAGTAAGGAATAATCTGCTTGTCTCCCCTCAAGAGTATATAGAATGATGGGAGATCAACTCCCATGATTCCCTGGCTATCTGTTTCATTGAACGAATCATGGGAGTTGTAGTTCAGCAACATCTGGGGGGCCGCAGGTTGGACAGGCCTGTAGTAGATAGTCGGTATCCAACGCGTTTCGTCATGCTAGTGACTTCCTCAGGGATATGCTACTGATCAGGATCTTCCTCATTTATATAGCGATCATAATTCCATTCCGCCGTAATTCTGCCGTCATACACAAGTTCCGGTTCCGGACAGTTGTTTCCTGCGTTCCAAGGTGGTACGCACATCGAAAACTTCCTGTTTGCATAATAAAGGCTAATACTGCAGTTTGTAGGAGAGAGATCCGTGTCTACATTCAAATGGTGTGGCACTGAATCTCAACCTCCGAACACACTAATAGTGAAAACAGAGTTCCTACTCTTCAAGATTACCTTGTGGAAAGCATGTTGAGGATATAATATTGACAAAAGCTATATACATGGCAGAAAAATATAGGGGGGAAATAAAAAGGGAATGCCCCCCCCAAAAAAGAACATAGATGAATAATGAAAGGATAGAATAGAAAAAGGAGAAAAGAATAATAAAAATGGAAAAAATAAAAAAATGAATCTAAAATGAAAATCGGAATAAATAATAATCCATGAGTAGGTATAACATATAAAAAAGGGGGGAGATACATAATCTATGAAAAATGGTAAATATAAAAATATATATGTACAGAAAAATATATATACACCCCCAAAAAATATATATAAGATGTATAAAAAAACCTACATAAAAAATGTATACAAAAAATTATGATAGTGAAAAAATTAAATATAAAATGAAAAAAATATGTATACCATAAAAAATAATAATATGAAAATAATGAAAAATAAGAATAAAAAATAAATAAAATATAAAAATGATAACAAACAAAAAACTAAAACGCATGTTAAATATATATTTATATTTCCCATTTTTCATAGATTATGTATCTCCCCCTTTTTATGTCTTATAACTACTCATGGATTATTTATTCTGATTTTTATTTTTTCATTTTAGTTAAATTTTTTATTATGTTTTTTATTTTATTTTTTCAATTTTTATTATTTTTTTATTATTCTTTTCTCCTTTTTCTATTCTATCTATGCTTTCATTATTCATCTATTTTCTTTTTTGGGGGCATTTCCTTTTTCTCTCCCCCCTTTTTTCCCTCCTTTATTTTTCTGTCATATATATAGCTTTTGTCCATATTATATCCTCGACATGCTTTCCACAAGGTAATCTTGAAGAGTAGGAACTCTGTTACCACTATTAGTGTGTTCAGAGGTTGAGATTCTGTGCCACACATACATTTGTATGTAGACACGGATCTCTCTCCTACACACTTAGCCTTTATTATGCGAACAGGAAGTTTTCCACGTGCGTTCCACGGTGGAACACAGGTAACAAGTTGTGTATGACGGCAGAAATACGTCGGAATGCCTGCGAATTTGGAATTATGATCGCTATATAAACGAGGAAGATCCTGACCAGTAGCATATCCCTGAGGAAGTCACTATCGTGACAAAACACATTGGATACCGACTATCTACTATTTTGTTGGACTATTTTTATTGATTTTATTTGTTTTATTGTCCAAGCTTTTGGTTCTTCAACTCAAATTGGAAGTTCACCATTGGTCCACTTGTCAGTGGAGACAAGCCTGTCTTTTTATGCGTATGTAAGTGCAACCTGTAATTCAATTTTGTATATTTTAAAAATTTTGCACTATTTTGTTTCTTTTGATTTTTTGGGAGGTTCGTGGCTCCTTCTGATAAAGATCTTCATCATTCTATATACTCTTGACGGGAGACGAGCGCATTATTCCTTACTTTTTGTAAGTTCTCTACCTCATGGAACTATTTCTATTACCCTTATGTACTTCACCATATACTGTCCTCTCTATTTATAGATTTATATTGTGGCTGACTGTGGATTCACAGGTTGTATTGTTTCCATCTGGATGTAATCCATAAACCCCCTACTCCATTATATACTTCCCCCATCTCAGGGACATATATAATAATTTGTTTGTTTTGTATTTGTTAATCTCTCTCTCCACACAACACATCATTACATACATTTTTAGCTATAAATCACATTAAGCCCCAACTCAATTCATACCAATGATTGGAAAGAATTGAACAGGTAAATTATATTGGCAAATTAAGCTTTTTTAGAGCTTGACTATTTAGCCGTTTTGTAGTCTGTACTCGGCTCTCCTCACTTTAGTAAATAAACTCATTGAAAGCATTTCCTTATAATCCCATATTTCAGTTGAATTACTTTACCCACATGGCTTTGACTGACAGGTATGCAAAATTGTTTGATGGAAAAAAACAAAACCCTATAGCTATAAAAAAAAAAACACCCGTAGAGGGTTAAGTATAAAACGTTTTCCTTCCTCGTTTAATGCAACTATTCTAGTGCACTTTCATTAATGTCCATTTATGTCCTTTTTCTTTTTTTAAATTCTATATTTATGCCACATTTTGACCTATACATTACATTGCATTTGTATTATTCACAAAATAGAGAAATAATGGTATTACATACACACAGCACATAATCATAAAATAATAAAGAGGGTGAGGGAGTTGTAGAAGTAAAAAGGAACATAAAAAAATACAATCAAATTATATGCCATGGGTAATGACATCACAGTAAGGTTACTAGTTCAAATGAACTAAATAAAATAGTAGAAACTGTAAGCAATACCAGCAGTTAAGATTGACAGCTCCAAAAAGAAAAGCTTAAAGGGTTTCTCTCACCCTTTCTTGTTTAATCTAGAATAATATATTGGCATTATTCTATCAGTCCTCCCCTACTGAGTAGCTTTTAGGGATGTGCATGGGCAACAAATTTGGTTCTGATATTCGGATAAGTAAAAAAAATTGTCTGCTTCAGCAATTTGGACCAATGTCGTTCGGTTCGGCACTTCGAGAAACTGCCAAACGTCGGCACTTCGGACAATTGTAAGCATCTGAAAATCCAAATGGCATGAAATTCGTACAAATGTACATTCAGAACAAAACGAATTGCACATGTCTACTTTATATATCCTATATAATAATTGGCTAAGGATGTTTGTCCGATGCAGTCATGCGCAGTAGAGACTGCATGAGACAAACATCCCATGCCAGGGCGGCGAGGGAGCAAAGTACTTCCTTCAGGGTCTGCTGGCAGCTGCGATGTGACGCGTACAGGATATGACGTAATTTCACAAAAGGAATTAGCTTATTGGTCAAGATTCCTGTTATCATTCACGTAATTTTCCCTCCCTCTCTCTTGTTTTGCCACTTTTCAGAAATCCAAATCACTTTGGCACTTAGGACATTCGTAAGCATCCAAATGGCATGAAATTTGTACAAATGTACATTCGAAACGAATCGCACATGTCTAGTAGCTTTGCCAGTGAAGGCTGCTCGGTGGATCCCCATCTGATATCATCATAGAGATGCCTTTGATTGTACCATTTCTTGACTCAGGGCACAGGTGCACACTCTGAGCTGGTGAAGGAAAAGGTGGTAGGACACGGATTTTCTTTTTAAGTTGTGGAGGGGATTGAGTGTAGGGAGGGCTTCTGTCAGTGTGGGTGGGGAAGAGAGAGGGGAGACAAGCGCTTTCCTAATTGTAGGCTTCCTTGCGACGACAGTTGTATTTTATACACAGAATTGACATTAGGCAGCCCGAAACAGAGTTCAGAGCTGCCTAAGTCGTGTTTTGGGGATGCAACTTGCACATAAGTGCAAATTACTCTGGATGACCAGTGTTTCAAGCAGAAATACTGCACACCTAGACTCCTACCACTATGACCACTTCAAAAAGCAGACGTGGTTGGAGTAACCCTTTAAGTGAGAGGCATTCAGAAGCCAGGGGTATGATAATAAAAACGGACGAATAGCCAGTAAGGTAAAAAATTAACCAAATGATGTCACAAAAAGAGCAAATAGTTATGACAGAAAGAAAAACATCAGGAGAATATACAGGCACAAAACAATGGCAAGGTGACTCCCAGCAAAGTGAGATAGTCAAGCAACTGCTGCCCCCAGAGTGCTTTGTTCCTCTGGTATAGTTGTACTGAATCATAGGAGTGAGTGGAAGTTCTCTTGGGTCCTGCAGTGATTGTAAGATAGTCCGGGGCAGGGCCTAGCTTATCCAGGACAATGCCCATCTTAGATATGTCAAAAACTCCTAGCTCTTGGTTATGTTTAACCCTTAAGGACACATGACGAAAATATTCCGTCATGATTCCCTTTTATTCCAGAAGTTGTGTCCTTAAGGGGTTAATAATCAGTGATCGTTCAACACTCTTGCGGTATCACAGGTCCTGTGAAGATAGAGAGCGCATAAGTCGGCAAAATATATTTACTATACTTTACCTCCACTGTAAGTTGGTGACAGGAAAGCAGTTTCTATGTTCTGCTTTTATATTGCCAATGTGCCTTTTTCCTGTAATAATACTGATGGTTTTATCAATTAAAAACTTTGCGCATTCCACATAAGCAGAATATGTATGAAAGCATGCATGACCATTTTTAAACCTATTCCTCATAGTTTTCTAAAATGTCTGTAA